GTCTCGTTTGCGAACGAACGGCCATCGATGACGAAAGTGGCGACCAGCTGTTTCTGGATATAGCCGGCTGGCTTTCCACGGAAGTCTTGGAGGAATCCGACTCGGGAGCTCCTTAATCTGGGCTCCGAGTCTTTGGGCGGCGGACTGGGCGAAGGTTGGGCTAACCAGCAAACGGGTTTCGGCCCGGTATCACAGAGGAGCGGGCAGGTAGGCTCACACCATCCACTTGGACTTGACTTGGCAGAGTGAATGACTTGCTAGACCTACTCGCTGTCTGTGACACCTTAGGGACCATCAAGGAGTCTTGTGATGGTCCTATTCGTTTCCGAATCTTGATCAGAGTCGTTGGCAGGGACAGGGACGGAGGCGACACGGGAGACAGCATGGGTGCGGTCGGGACACTCGCGAGAGAGGTGCCCTGTTTTTCCACAAATAAAGCAGGTGCCATTATCCTAATGGACCCTTTTCATCGTCGGTCAAGGCTCTGCCAGCATCACGCGAGGTGATAGGGTCGAGCCGGTCTTGTTCGGAGTCTTGGCGGTAGTCGGAGCAGTCTTAGTCGGCGCGCGGCGAGATCGGTCGGAAGAGCGGGAGTCCTGTGTCTGCCTCATACTCCTCTTCTGGCAGTGGACAGCGTCTTTAATGAACCCACAGAAAACCTCGTAGGTCACGGACTCGTCGCGGGTCTTGGTCAAGAGGCTGTTATCTAGGTTGGCCGGGATGTGCTGCCACAGGGTATGCTTCATCTGGTCCTCGGGCACACGACCGGTCGCAGTTAAGTAGTCAAATTCCGCAAGAAAGTCCACAATGTCGGTCTTCCCATTCACGGTAAACTGGAGGCGTTGCAGGCGGTCAAGAGCCTCGGAAAGCTCATTCGGATTGCCATAGGCGGACTCAAGGGCTTGATCATCTCTGCCACTCCAGAGAAGGGTCGAGTGTCAGAGGAGAAGCGGGTTTCAAGTGCTCGGCGGGCTTTTCCTCGAGCAGGTTATACAGACAGACCATCCGGCTGTTCTCAGTCCGGAAGGTTCGCACGTCTTCGTCAAATTTGTTCTTTATGCTCAGGATGAAGGAATGGAACTCGTCCTTCTTCCTGAGAACGTCGCGAGACCTTGATGCGCGATTTGGCGGCGTCGCTGTACTCGGGGTTCTTGCCCTCTGGGAAGGGGGCAAAAAGGCCAGGCAGCTTTGCCTGTTGGTCGGAAGGCCGGGCCATTTGGGCCGGCAAAAGCAGTCGAGGGCTCCCGGTGCTGTCGATTTGATTCAACAGACGGAGAGCGTTCATTTAGACGGGCCGTTAAGGCCGCATCTGTTCTCTCATCTCGCGGATGAGAGCGTCTTGGGGGTTCGGGGCAGCCATGGCTACTATTTCGGATTCAGTGGCTTGGCCAGCAAGCCGGGTGGAACGGCGAGGCTGATCCGATGGCAGGGCTTCCTCAGATATCATAGTCTCGAGGTCAGAGTCTAGGGTCGGAAATGATACCACGCGGAATCACGGTCAGATGCCTGCACGAGCAGGGACGGTCGGAGGTCAGACGGGACGAATCCCTTGGTCGGAACGGTTGGTCGGACGACTACACACACGCGTAGTCTTGGTCGGAACGGACGTGATCTCAGCCTTGAGGATCACTTGGTCGGTGGTCGGAGTCTTGGTCGGAACGGTCAGAACGGATGCGCTGGATTTACGTCAGGCGCGTGTGACGTGAAAGCTCGGTGCCTATTTGCTTAATCGCTGGCAAGCGATCTTATTGAGCTTTGAGTAGTGTTACGGCCAGGCACATACGAGCCTTGACGGCTATAAAGATGTATTGGCACTATGAACAAAGACTCAAAGCTAAGGAGCAAGAAAGGAAGACTAGACTACACGACCGAGCGGGCCCTTATATAGACACGAGGTCGCGCGTGGGCACGTGATGCTGCTTGGGCACGTGACACTGGTGAGGTTCTGCGCTGGCGGCTCTACGCTGGCGCCCAGGGTCGTGACAGAGGGAACCCAGTTGGTCTTGTAGATAGAAAGGTGGTATGAAAATGGAATGTCCTGATGGAAAGAGAGAAATGCCCCGTGTACAGCGGATAGGAGATACCGTTATTCATCATCAAAAAGACAAGGCTTAAATTGTCACCTTGCCAATGTCACAACCTCGCTAAAGGCACTCTGGGTCCTCGTCCCCAACAATTCTGTTGGCAACACAATCTGCCGGGGGTGGTGAAGTCAGCACAATTTCTTACCGGTTTCCTTTGGAATATACATACCAGCACCAGCGAGAAGTTGGTTGCAAGTTCCCGTATTCTGAGGGCCAGTGTGCGACACACAGATGAGATCAAGAAGGCAGCCAAACTGTTGGCTCTGAGTGAGAGGTGTTTTTGCGTCCACGAAGTCGCGAACAGCACCCAGGGTATCCTGACAGATGCCGTTACCATCCGCTGGATTTTGCTGGGCGCTGACACAAAGCTGATCCGCAACTGCGCTGTATTGCAATGTCAATAGAGATTCGTCAAAGGGCACTGCCATATGGGGACAGACTCAATATCCCCAACAGTCTGTTGCCCAATAAGAGCGTCTAAAGCCGGCGCGATAATGCTGCCAAGCATATTCGCGACTGGGAAAAGGGGACCCAGAGGCTGAGAGGAATGCGGGACGGGGCAAGTTGAACCGATTACTGGATGGCTTTTATTGTAAGTCGGACCCTGGGCACGCCCCTGAATGGTTGCTGGCGCAGCGAGAATTCCGGCGGCGAAGGCCATGGCGGCGGCAAAAGAGTACTTCATTTCTGCTTGGTTGAAAGATGAGTCGGAATTGCTTGGTAGATGAATGGTTGAGGTTGCTTAGCAGTGAATATTTGGTCGGGTGTGGTAAGTTATCCATTAGAGAGAAGATACTGCGATTTATATAATACCAAGACCTGGACCTGCCGCTATGCTGGAGAGCCAGCTCACATACAAGCCATCGTCGATGACGGATCAGATGCCATGGAAGAAGGAAAGCTTGATATTGGAGGCGTTCCTGCGAAGCTAAGGAATATCCGCAACGGGAAGGAGCACGCTAACTGGTTGATCCTACCCGGAATCAACACGCTATCGATACGCTACTACTTAGCAATTAAAGCGTCGATCTAATTCATGCTACAAACTTGCACTTGCCAGGGCCGTAAGGCATATATAGAGACGCTATTAAGTTACACGCGGCGGTATAGAGTTTATAAGGCCCTTTCTGCCACTGTATAGCTCACAGCCCCATGATTCTTAGACTGCTATTCTCTAGTCTCTGCCTCGCTCGTGGAGCGGTAAGCCTAGTAGATTATATATTTAGATTTTCTTCTGCTTTGTCCTACAGCTTTGCAAGACAAAGGAAGGCGAATGAAGACTACCGAGAGCACGTGGTCTAAGTCAAAGACGCTATAACATAACATCGCGCCAAGACGACTCAGGGGTCGTTGTGTTTATGACTGGAATACGAAGTTCACGTCACTAAGAACCTGCCGGGATCGCTCAAGACGACAATTAAACGGGAAAGCCCTGTCGACACGGAACGTGAATAAAAAACCATATGGGAATTTAAACAATAGTCCGTCAGTCCTGGCACCACTGCTCACCCAGTAATCAAATGGCCGGTTTTTCTACCTACACCTAGACCATCCACGGCTTTCCCTGCTCGCCACGCGTAGTTTCGGTTCAGCAGCGCAAGAACTCGAGTTGTCTTACAAACCTACGCAGGAAGCCGATCGTCAGGGAATAAACGAAGAGGGGGGGGGGGAGAAGAGTCGGGGAAATGGGTGTCAAAGTAGATAGAGATGGATCCGATGCCGATCGTCGGCTGCTCCGTCGGAACTTGATGCAACGCCGACTCATCCTGGCCGCCGGCTCACCAGCTCTCTGACGTCACTCGATCTAACTGCGTGCCGTGCCTGGCGGTGTGAAGGAGCACGATCTGGACAAAATTCGCAGATGCAATGCAGGCGTGGCCGTTTGGAGGCCACCCCTGAGGTATAAAACAGAGCTATTGGGACGGCTGTCGCGCAAGGCTTCGGGCCGCTGCTTGTGCTTGCCGAGCAGCTGAGCCGCCGAGCTAAGAGCCGATCTTTGTCTTTTGTCTCACACTTCTTCCTTTTGCCCTGGCCTCCTTTGTTCATGGCGCCATGAACATGTTATCTAGCTGCACTCGAACTCGCTCACGCAGCTTACGAGCCTTGTGAGGACGTTATTAGTGAATTGCTTGCGAGCAACCCACATACATATCAGTGTCTCTACGTCGTTGAAAGTACGGCGGGCCACGCCACGTCGTAGTCAACGTGGACAACTCTTACCGCAACGCTACGGTGCCGCCAAGTTCAACAGAGATTCCACCATATCCAGAAACTAGCCAAGTTTTTAGGTGCGTGTTAGTGCTTGGGAAAGAAACTTGAGGAGTGGGTAGAGTTTCTTTGACTGTGTTTCATCTTATAACTCTTGAGACGAGACATCGTATTCTGCAGGCAAAGGCTTTCTCTTTTCTCAACATTCCTTGATCCTGGACCTGCTGCTGGGTTGAGTTCTCGCAGTAAGGTGGCTTTGAGAATGTCCTACTAAGTCATCTTGGATTATTTGTGCCTGAATGTACATCTCCGGTCTGGCTACTAGGGCGTTAAGCTTTGCCTCGTCATATTCGCTCCAAGGCTCGAGTATGCCTTCAGCCCTCGGCTCCACACCTCGACAACGCATCTACTGCGAGGTCAATAGGTGCTTCCAGGCTCGTCCTCGTAAATCGTTGGGTTTCTTCCTCCTACACTCGCGCATCTAGCACATTGGGCCGGCCGAGGTCCTCGGTACGGTGCGCTGAATATGTCCTCTTGACGCCTTTACGTCATCGCACGCTCCGTCCAAAGAGTCGACGGCGGCTCATCGTTCCATCCCGCCCTCCTGCGCGTTAGGTATCATGTCTCGCTCCCCCCAACTCCAAACAATAGAAAAGACAAAAGCCAAGGACAAAATCCTCTCGTCGTTTCTCGTCCGCCGCGCTCGCCTTATCCCATGCCGGCCTCTGATGCCATCTTGCTCACTGAGCCCCGGTCTGGCGGCCTGTCTACCAAGTCTGCGTACCCGTCCAAGCTTGCCCCCATGACCTTGATCAAGTCGAAGATATGCGTCCCCTTGAACGTCTCCGCCCAGAGCCGCACCACCGCGCTCGCCAGCTGCCGCAGCTTGGCCCCGTCGCTAGTTGCCATATCCATCTGCCCGGAACCTGTGCTCGGTCCTAATAGCGACGGGTCGACGGGAACCGCAAACTCCGTCTCGTCCAGCAAGCGCCGAACCATCTCCAGCACGCCCTTTTCTTCCGGAGACGCCGGCGGATCCGGCGGCCTGATTGCCGAGAGGGCTATAAGCCACTTGGCGAGCAACATGGCGCACTCAAAATTGCACACTACCAGCTCAGTCAGCACTTTGCCCCGGGTCAAGGAAAGAGACCGTAGGGTCCAGGGGCCACTTGCGCGATAGCTGGATGCCCCATTCCGTTGACTTGGCCCTCGCCACGTAGTTTACGCCGGCTTTCACAAGCATGGACAGCGCATGGACAGCCTGGAAAACAGCGCGGTGCAGTCTTGGGCCCCGAAGCAGCGGAGGCGTGGCGCTCAGCGCCGATGCGATCAGCGTCGAATCCCTTGTCTCCAGTGACCTCTTTGGTGCCATGTCCGCGTAGAGTCGAATATACACAAGCCGCAAGAGAGCCGTGGCGTTAAAGGTCAGCGAGCCGCTGCTCAGAGATTCCGGGCTCACGAGATGCCCCGTCTCCGCTGCCCTCAACTGGCGACGGTGTTCGAAGCTCGTCTGCCAGACGCGCAGTGCCTGCGTCACGTCCTCCGCATCCTCGGGCTTCAGTATCTGGCGGGTACCAAAAGGCGGGCCGGCCGCAAACGACGTCTGCTTCAAGAGGTAGACGTGCTGGATCAAGGTATGAATGAGAATATAGTAACCCAAGGACGACAGATGCGCCGGGAGCCCCTGATTGGCTCGGTCAAATAGTCGCGAGACGGCATCATGCACGGTGATTTCGGCCACGGGTGTCGACTGTCGAAGCTCCTGCCACTGCCAGGCCGTCTCGGCGCGCCACAGTCGGGCGCGCAGGGGTAAGTAGAGATTCAGTTCCGACGTCATGAGCAGGGGAGGCATGTCGTACGCGGTGCTGCAGAGGTTAAAGAAGCAATACGCGAGGAGTTTTGTCCTGTTGGCCCCCTCCAACCTCACCCACGAGTCCCAGTCAGTAAGCATCGCCTGGCTCGCTTCAACATGCAAGCCCTCCTGGCGGATCAACATGGACAGGGTGCTCTGTAGAGACAAGGCGTCGTGGAGTATCGTCTTGGCGCCCCAGAGACCGGCCGCGAAGAGGATCAGGGCTGCTTGGATCGTTTCTAGTCGAGCTTGGGGGTTGTTGGGAGAGCTTTCGTGACAGTTGTGTCAGCAGCGCGTCTATTTTCACGGCGAGAAAGGGGCTTGACTCACTATGGTTCACGATGCGTGTCCTGGGTCGTCGGCCTTTCCGACTGTGCCGAAGCAAAGGAATGCCGGTAGCTGGTACTTGGAGACGGCCGCGTCGAGTGCGGGCTGTAGGCTGCGGCTGTCGGTAGAAGTGCGTGCACTTCTGAGCTGTGGCGTCTCCGAATCTGCTCCGCTGCCACGGCCTTGGCCGCATACCAGAGGGCATACCCCCGATTGCTCTCGAATCGATATTGAGCACCGACGGCCAGTATGGCGAGCAGCAGTTCTGGGCCAAGCTCTGCCGGCGCAAGCGTGGGAAGGTGCAGAAACGGGAGCTGCTCGTGGAATCCGGTGACGTAGCCCTCGAAAAACCTAGTGAGAGTGTGGCGAGAGGGAAAGACGAAGTCGCTTGGCAAAACTGCCGAATACTCCTCCATCCGGCTCCTGATGGAACCGTGGTCGAGGGCGGAAATGCGGAAAGATGGCGCTCGCGAAAACTCGTCGTGTGGGCGATACAATGAATCTCCGGGTTCACGAATATCTGGGGCAACAGATGCGAAGCGAGAGGGGAACTGAGACGGAGGCCTGGCAGGCGAGCGAGCCCACGTGGCAAGTTGCTCATCCGGCTCAAAGTGCGGCGGGATAAGATGCGGCGACGCGGCCAGGTCGTCCAAGAAGAGATTATAGTCGTCGTACAGAGGCTGTGGCGGCTGCGGCGCAAACCCGGAGGAGAGGGCGTGCCGTTGATCCCCCCGCGGCCTGTCGACGTACCCTTCCATGGGCTCGCCGTAGACTTTGTCTTGAGAATGAGCAGGGTGGTCCGCCATTTCGCTCACCATTGGCTGCATAGGATTGACCTCGGTGGCCAGCGCCGCCGCATCGGACAAGACATCGAGGTTGCAGGCGACCGGCCTAGGCGTGCAGCGGAGGTCTTGGGGAATGTGTAAAGACGCGGTGCCGGGGCTCGCGGGGCCATGATGATACTGTTGTAGTTGCGGTTGATGTTGGTGCTGCTGTTGTGCTTGAAGCCGTTGTGGATGTTGCTGTTGCGGTTGTAAAGGGGGTTGGGGCGGAGGAGGCGGAGCATGAGGCCGTGCAACATCTTGGTGTGCGTTTGCCCTGCCATGGTCGTCGGAAAGAGAAGGTTTATGTGACGAGGTGACGGAGAGGGATTTTCTCGACCGACTGTTGTCTTTGCTGCCCTCATTGAGATGCACTAGCTTCTCGTGCCTGACGAGAAGATCACTGATGTCCATATAAGTATCTTGTGGGCCCAAACGCGGTGATACAGAAGCAAGATGCGACGAAGAATGGAGATGGATGGATCGCTTTCGGAGACATACGTGAGTAGGCAGCCGGGTGCACATGGTGAACAAGTCAACAGGCACGAGGGGGTTGAGGACGAGAGCAAGGCGCTGAACTGGGGGCGGATGGCGTATGCACTACCTCGCTGTAAGGCATTGGATGTGTGTAAGTCGAGGAGGGGGAAGAGGGGGAAGCGTGAGTGGTGGGAACTGGCACAAACAGGGAGGCATGGCCCAGGCAACTTACCGGCGTCCAAAAGTCTTGCCACAGCGGTCCCAGTCGCAGGAGAAGGGCTTCTCCTTGGTGTGGGTCCTCTCGTGTCGCTGAACATGCTCAACGCGTCTAGAGGACGGTGAGTCAGGCGGGCGGCAGCGGCAGAGAGGCGGCTCGGCACTGACCTGAAGCGCTTGTTGCAGTACTTGCAAGGCAGTACCTTGGGCTTCTGGTCACGGCTCTGCCCCGGTTCGGCTCTGGTCAGGGCGGCGCCGGGTGGGCGAGCAGGCAAGCCCTCGAGGGCACGGTGGCCAGGGAGCATGACGGCGGGCGCAGCAGATGACGGGCCGGGCTGCTGCCTACACCCTCTGCTTGGCGCCCAGAGGGAGGGGGTTGGGGTTCGGCGCAAAGTATTGGAAGACGTTGGAGTTGTTGGAGGAAAAGAGGAGCGAGTTGCGGGGTGCGTCGATGCCACCAACGGGCCGGATAGGGGCGGATTGGCTTCTTGGGGGACAAAGCTGACAGTATGGGGAGGACGAGAGCGAGGAGTAGGAGGGTGGAGGCGCAGCAGCAGCAGGCAAGACGGACGACGGCAGCTTGTCAGCCCACGACGAGGCCCTCTAAGCCTTCCGGGCGCCAACTGGCTCGAGGAAGACCGGGACGGGACGAGAAGGGCAGAGGGGCCGACTCGGTAGCCCTCGGGGACTAGTCACCAACAGAGGGGTCCCATGGGCCAGCCAACCGGTCTGACGCGTGGCGAGGGGAGGGACGGGAGAGCGGGGGACAAGCAGCCAAGAGAGAGGGCGAATGGCGAGCAATCCCTCCGTCCGGCAACTCTGGGGGATTGCAGCTGGGGTAGGATTGGAGGCAGCCGGGAAGCAACCGCAGCGGCGGCTTGTGCCCGAAGACGGCTAGGAGGCTAAGGCCCGGCCTGTTGAGGCACGGGGGCCAGGATTGGGCGTACAAATGGCGGCCGAGGAGCGGAGAGAAGCAGGAGCCAAGGGGCGGCGGACAAGGTTCAGCCAAGGCGGGCGGGCGTCGGGGAAACGGGGAGGTGAGAAGTGAGACAGCAGGGCCCCGGGGGGAGGGGGTGCCCTTGTCTTTTCCGGTTCCCCTGTCACCCTCTCTTCCTCTAGCCTCTCTGTGTCTCTTGCCCTCTCCGTGTCTTGTGAGAGGGTGGGTTGAACGAGCGGTGCTGTCGAGCAATTCTATTTTTACTCGACGGGGGGTCAGCGTGCAGCTTTTTGATGCCATGTAACGAAGCCAGAGTGGAGGGTCTTGCCGACCAAGATTCCGAGGGTCAATGAGCGGTGGATAGAGGCGAGAAGGCGCGGGCGAGTGGCCGAGGCTATCGTGAGCCGTTGTTCTCCGTGGGGCAGCGGAACCAAAGAATGCCCTTGTTCGGTCAATGGTTGTGATGGGCCCTCACGGGGCGATGGTCTCGTCCGCCGTATGCCCAGGGAGCTCAAGGCGACAAAGGGTGAGGACATTCAAGAGGCAAACAACAGGGACAGAAACGTCGAGGTGGGCTTTGGTGGTTGGTGGTGGTTTGGTGGTGGTGGTGGTGGTGGTGGACTGGTGGTTGAGTGCGGTGCGGTGAAAAGGTGGGGTCGAGGAAAAATAAAAATACAAAAGAGGGCTGCTTCTCCTCCTCCCCCATGGGGTTAAAAGTCGAAAATCCGGGGTCGACTCCGCATTGGAGACGGAAGGCACGGATTAAAACGTTTCTTTTTCCTGTCTTATCTCGTTTGTCTCTCCCCCATTCTTCATCATCTCTCTCCGTTGAGTCCCGCTACAGACTCGGGCCAACCACCCCCAGGCCATCAAATGACACCCTTGGCCTCGAGCACTCCTCGAGCACTCCTCGAGCACTCCTCGGGCACAGCATTGTGTTGCCTCCAACTGCCTAATTAGGCAGTCATGACCCTTCTCGTATCGTCTCTTCATCTAGCCATGTCCGGCTCGTGATGGATGGAGCTTTGTGCCCCTGTGGCCCCTGTCGGCTGTCAACACCAGACCAGTACACGTAGCCATTCTTCAGCCTCCGCGTCATCGGCACGAGCCTTCAGAGAAATGCATGTGGGGCCGGCCCCGGCTGGCGACTGCGGCAAAAGCGGACCGTATTGCGGACCCGCAGTCCGTCGTCGGTGCCTCAGGAGTCAGGGTTCTCCGCCATCTGTTTACAAGGCCAAGGATTATCGAGCAAAATCCATCGACTTCACCTTGGACGCTTCCGTATATTCCGTTACACTCCCGGAGCATCGCCAACGTCGACATGAATCATCATGCACTGTCGGATCCCTCGCGGCTGCCTGCATGCAGTTCCCGATACACGCCCCGGGAACCAAGTCACGTATGCACATGTAGGCCGCCGCGCCGTCATGCTCGGTCATGAGCAGACTCACCTGCTTCGCCTAGCCCGCCTATCACTTGAAGACGAGATCAAGTGGCGCTCGCCTGGCTGATCTCTCGGATATTTCCTACTGTAGATAGCGTGCTTGGGCTTCCGTACTTTAAGTCTTTCTCGACGTCCCTCTCTTTTGCCAACTTCTAAGCTTCCTAAAGACACATGCTCCTCTTGAACGTGTTCCAGCCTCGAAAGAAGTCGATATCACCATAAACTATCCGTCCGTCTCGACCACTCCTTCCTCTTCTCGGATTACTGAAAGTCGAAATTCTCCGCCTTCTCAGGTAATGGAGCCCTCGGACTTGAATCCTGATGTTGGGAGCGGCCTTGGCATGACACCGAAGCCGGAGGCTCCCATGCCGACACCAACCGTAGTTCGCTATTCGAGGTTCAGGTTGGGGTCAAGGTGCAATATCTGCCAGGTTTGCAGTCCGCGCAAGGTAAAGCTGAATGGCCATCAAACGAGAAACACCGCGGATATCTTCTGACGAGAAAATCCACTAGACCTTCGCACGTGTCGAGCACCTAAGGTATTCAGAGCCGTCTATCCCATCTCTAAGCCAGCTATTTTTAAACTTAAGTGTGTGCTATTTGTAGACGCCATCAGTCGAGCCATGAGCCACCCAGTCTCCGGTGCCCTCAACGTGGCTGTATGAGAAGGTTTTATCGGCTCGATCTTCTCGAACGACATGGGCATGGCTCCAGAGAGTAGGTCCCACGAGCTTATTTCCGGTGCCGGGGCTGATGCTTTGCTAGTGAGAATGAATATGGCGAAGTCTCTTGGGTGTATGGCGTGAAAACGACGCAACAGGCCAGAGGTCTCAATGATTTCTTCAAAGCCGTTTTTCCTGTCGCCAATGAGTCGAAACCTGTTTCGATCTTTGCTGAACATACCCTCTCCAGCCCGGCGGCTGTTCTAAACCCTTCGAGCGACGCGACCATCCCCGACTCGGGCTACGGATCTCACCACGCCTCTGGCAACCGCGAACAAGAGAAGCAAGCATGGCGAGAGACGTTGGAAGAAGCGGCAGGCTCAGTAGGGACTGCTGAGCTGTCAGGCTCCCAGCTAGTGCTTTCAAGGGTTTCTACCATCCAAGACTCCATGTTAGCACTGTACGTCTCCGTGTTTGCTGAGGAGATTGCCGCTGTTCTTTCGCGAACTATTCCCGTCAACCAGCTTCATGAGCTTTCAGCCGCGCTCCCCGGTCTTCTGATGGAATTTGCATACAGGGACTCTCACCACAGACGCGATTACGTTAATTCTTTGGAGGATAGTAGGCTATTAGAGGCCCATCTGGAAGCGTCGGTGACCGTATGCCGATTGTGAGTCCCCAATTTAGTCCCTTGGATGTAACAGGGCTACCACAGTTGAGTTGACGAGGAATTTTCCAGCCGAATTGAGAATGCAGTGCTGAAGACCCTCTTGACCGAGCAGAGAGAAGGTAATAATGGGGCTCTCATCGAAACTGCGGGCAACACCACGTCCGACGTGGACAATATGTCACTTTGGCAGGGCAAGGAGTACGACTCAGAACAAGACACCGCCGACCGTTTATCGTGGGTTCACACCACGGGCATGGATAATGACTTTGACGATTTCCCCCACATGCAGGCATATCTTCACGACCTTTTGCGATCTCCCGCATTCACCTGGTTGCTTGGGTCAGTCCAGAGACAGGTCGAGTGGCGGGTGCCCGGAGTACAAAATTCCCAGGCGGAGATTCGACAGCGCATACTTGACCGCCTGTTTTTTTTAGATGTCTTGACAGAGACTGGCTGGATATTGAACACTTCTTTTGAACTGAACGAGCGAATCCTACCAGCTCCTTCCAAAAGCTTGTTCCATGTCGAGTTTCAACACCCTTGGATAGAGGATTTCTTCGTATCCCAAGGATACGATATTCCGGCCCACGAAGCCCTTGAACGAGTTCTGGTGTTGACTGGCGATGATCGTAATGCCTGGGCCACGACGTGCCGGCAATATGTACAGTCGGTCTGGCCTGACTTCGGACCCCGGCTTCTTGATGTCTACAAGTCACTTCTCCAGGATGGAATGTCGTTCTTGCACAGCCGTAAGTCACACGACCTTTCCTCATCGCTTGTAGAGATTGCGGACTAATAGACTCCATGCGCTTGGCAACATGTAGATCCATATTCATTATGTTTCCAAGACAGCCTATCTTGGTGTGTACAACTGGACGAGGATCAAGAAACTGTGACGGTGATGGTTCGCGGCACAGATTACTTCATCGCCGAGGTAGGCGAGTGTCTAGCATGGCTCAGCACCGCCTTGAGCTGTTCACCGGTCGACGATGGCACTGTAGTGGGCCTCTATCCCTCGTGCGAGGCAGAGCAGCTGTCACAAGCCTCCCCGAGATTGAGGTACAAGCTCGGTCCGCTTCGCGAAAGCTTCTCACGTGGCCTTAGCCCTGCGGAGACGGGCGCAGGTAGATGCTGGATGAGATTGTTTGGCAATACCGTCTTGGTTAAAGGCTACCCTGTGCCGGAACGCCACGACTCAGACACTGGCATCGAGATTTCTCTCGACACCATGGCCAAGCTCGTCAACGCCCGAAAGATTAGCACGTTTGCTGGCAAAATGCTCATCAAAGGGTATTCTACAGTTCTGGTCCCTCCACGACGACACCAGGGCGTCGTGACTTGGCACGCCATCTCCAGTTCTGATGGCAGTTACATCTCGTACTCGGACGCCGCGGCAACTTAGTGCGCCTCGGAAAAGAGTACCCCGAGAAGCTCGACATCAGTGACCTTGAGGCCAGCCGGCACATCGTTGGCTGGAGCGTCCATGTCGACAACTATGCCGGTAAGCACGTATTGAGCCTCCATGACTTAACGCGAATCCCTGACAAAGCGTCCAATAGGTGCTCCAGGTGCCAACTACGACATTGGCTGGTCCAAGTTGTCAAAGCCAGACTCCGGCGGTGCTTTTGACAAGGTTTCTATCGTGGCCGGCACGCACATCACGGTGGGCTTGTCCTGCGTCCTGGGCAAGAAAGACAAGCCTGTTCACCTCAGGGGCCGAGACGACTACATCAGGCGGCTCAAATGGATATCTAAGAAGTTCGTGATACTCTATGACACTACGGACAACAGAGCTTGGCTCGTTGATGGAGCAAGTGCTCTACTGCACCTTGTCAGGGCATCCCTGAAGCGCGACACTTCAGACGACTTCGAGACCCAGTTTCTATATGACAAGTGCTCGATGCAAGAGGCTGTAAATGCTGGCACGGGCAGGGCGGCGTCAATTGATGGGATGGATCGTGCCATCATCATTGATTTTGATTCTTGCCAACAAGAAGGAAGTAAGCTTGGCACCAAGTCTCAATGTGCGACGACAGGGCAGACTTATCGCCGCCGCCTTGTACCGACTTAAACTAAAAATAATGACGCCTAAAAGTCCGATACATGACCCATATATCGTGGCGCTTGTGATTGCTATAGCGCAAGACCAATATAAAGCGGCCTTGAGGCACTTGAAGGATCATAGGAAGGAGAGCTGCCCTGACACATTTCTGGTAAGTAGCCTATATGCCGTTTTGCCATATTTTTATCTGCGAATGCCGCTACGTTCAGTCTAAACTATCATTCTCTATCCCGAAATTAGGGTGCATGTATCTATATACGGCCGACATCTCTACTATGCTCTTCGACATGTTTGATCAACCCGCCGTTCCACCCATAACACAACCGTCCGTCTCAATCAAAGTTACGATTATCCGCTAGAAGCCAGGCAAATCCCTTCGTGATCGTCTTCTTGCCGTCCTGCTCCCGGCTCGAACTCACGGGTTGAACGAGGATCAGAGAGTGGAAGATGAAGCACGCGGGCTGAAGCCTACGGAGCAGGAAATGGCAGCATCCACGGCGTGTCCCTAGTCCAAGTACAGGAATACTGTGATACTGGCTCATCTGGCTCTCTGTGCCAGTCTACTGCAGGGAATCGCCGATGCGGGGGCTGTGGACATGGTTGAAACAAGGCGATAATCTGTCGTCCGGTCAAGATATGCGTCAATGGGCCATGGCGTGCGAGCTATTTCTGGAACATGATTACCCTTGGTAAATACGATATCTTTGGCTTTGCGTATAAGACGCGAGTAGTTCAGCCTGCGTAGCCCATCCGCTTCGTCCCCGATTGTAAAATGTTTAAAAAGGATATTTGGAGTAATGCACTGCTGCTCCTCGAAATCGTAGTAATTGCCTGCCAGTGCAAGTGTCGAAGAGTAAGAGAAACTGCCCAGCGCCTCCAAATCATGCTACCTACGTATCGAATCAACGGTTTGTTTTGACATCACCGTGTCAGGCCATCGGAAGGAGATTGTGTCCTATCCACTGGCCTTGGTGGCATGGGCGGATAGCCATTATGGTACAGACAGCATGGATATGGAAGATTGACCGGCTTTTGTCAGGTGGACCACATAGCTAAAGAAGGTCAAAGCAAGATTCATGCGATGTTGCCGGGGCAGAGGCGTCACGCAGCTTTGGAAGGTTTAGATAATATCTCATAAGCTTGCAAGGCTTCAATGGCCTTACAACTTCCCAATTGCTTGGAAATCCAACAGATCACGGGCATATACATAGGCAGTCATGGCTCAAGCTTCTACTTTGACTGCTTATGTTGTTCGCTTCAGTTGTATTTAGAGAAGCTAAAAAATATCACGCCTTCCCGTCTTATGTTAATGAGTCACTTACAGTCAGAGGGTAACCACTAAGATGTCAAGATTGAATTCAGGGCTCGGGTTGGACGTGTGCTTGTGACGGTTGCTGGTGGCGCTGCTAAAATGCGTTACTAGATGACCGCGCACAGGGTAAGCCAGCATTTGATACATAAGAATCGAAATAAATCGGAAGAACCTCTATAAAGTATTGAGGTGATTGTACTGCATTAATCCATTTTATTAATGCATATGGTGCTGATTGAACGCTGCGTAGGTCGCTACAGTGATAGGTATTACTGCTGGTGAGAAAGGCGGACGTTCATGACAGACCGAGGCGTTAGTATCGCTGTCAAGAACGTGCGAGGCAGCTCAGTTTGCTCTGAAAGGCCGGTCGGCATCCTGTCAGAGCGGTTGTCCTGCGGCCTGCCTAACGAGGCAATGCACAAGGATCAGACGAGTGAGCCGAATGAGGCTCTTAAGAGGTTGATGGATGTGCTGTGTGCATATATGTATAGTTCATGACTAGTCGATCATTGTTGGACGACGATACATACACCACTTCCCCACCCGCTCAGCCCTGCAGCGAGTATCCGACATGGCCGCTCTCGCTGCCCATCTTGACGAGGCGAGCGCGCATGCCCTCTGCGCGGCGCCGTTCAGCCTCGCCGAGCCCGGAAAAGTCAACGGCGCCGACCCAGTCGCCAACGCCGTGCTGCAGGACGTTGCGGGCGCGCAGCTGGCTGCCGCCGACATGGCCGACGGAGCCGTGGAGGGTCATGCGGTCCTTTTTGCTGTCGTAGACGCCGCGGTGGAGGATGTTGTTGTTGTAAAAGGCAATGTCGCCCGGCTCGAGGGTGACGACGAGCTGGCCCGGCAGCGTCTTCTCAAAGGGCCCCGCGGCGCGCTCCGTGTCGGTGCGCGGGCGCCGGTGGGAGCCCGGGACGAGGACGAGCGAGTCGTCGTGCCACAGGGCAAAGTTATACTGGGCGTGAAAGGCCGGGCGGGCGAGGCGATCCATCTCCTGGTCCGCCGAGGCGTCGGCGGGGATGTCGTCGCGGTGCCAGCGCAGCTCGAAGTCGCGGTCCGGGCGGACGAGCATGTTGAAGAGCTCCATGATGAGGTGCTCGTCGTCACACTGGAGCAGCTCGCGCACGATGGACAGGACCTCTTCGGAAAAGTACAGGTGGGTGAAGACGGCGCTGCCGGGCAGGGCCGGGTTCATGAGGTGCTGGACGCCCCAGATGCCCTGTTCGGGGTCCGGGTGCCAGGGGGGGAACTGCTTGCCGACGGTGCGTGTGTGCGGCCAGTCGCCGGCGCGGGCCAGGGCCTCGGCCTCGCGGCTGGCGGCGCGCAGCGTCTCGAGCTTCTCGGGGCTGACGATGGACTTGATGACGACGAAGCCGTCGCGCTCGAGGTCGGCGAGCCGGGCCGACGTCTTTTGCGCGGGCATGGCTGAGGACGGGATTTCCGGTGGTTTGTTGCTGCTGGCCGTTTATTCTCTCTGCCTGCTTCTTCGGTTGCACATGTTCCCGTCACGAGAGGGTGAACAGTGAGGCAGCCAGCCGGTGATGAGGTGAGGTTGGGCGTCACTCTGCGGGGAAGAGATTCGACGGACCGACGGGAAGCCGAGGAGAAGCACCGCTCTTGTAGGAAGGTCCGCACCCCTGGATATAGGAGTGTCTGATATGTCGGATGAACCGCTCTTCTATGCACGTTGGCGAGTCCATGGACAGTCGCTGCATCCAAGCAACCGGTCCATGTGAAGTGGTAGCCGACGGGAACCCATGTGGCGGAGCCGCGACGAAACAAGCTGGCTCATGTTCAATTGGCTAGCCAATGACATGCCCCCGGTGGTGACCGAGTAGGCCTCGCCAGAGAAATAGTGACGAGTACGGTAACAGACAAGGCGCAGTACCGTGTCTCTGGAGCGCATCCGAGTACAGTTCTTCATGTTGCCCAACGTGCTGTTTCCCCTTGTTGTTTGACGATCCGGCTGCCGCTCTGACGAGACCCCAATAATTACATGGTGGTTCGTTTTTTTTTTCAGCAAGTTGCAACAACCTTTGCCGATATTCGCACGACGGCCGATACATGAGCGCGCCCTGCAGTGCTCGCTATCAAAATCGAGCCATGCCGAATGCCCTCACATCATTCCGTCAACCACGTGCCAAAAAGTCGTATCCAGAGTGCATATGCGGGGTAGATGCCGGCGACAGAGGTAACGTGCCATTCATCCCAGTGCAGCCCACCATCGTCGTCGTCACCACACATCATCATCATCACCACGCATCACCACCATCACCACCATCACCACCATCACCACCAAGTACTGTACAGGACCATACTATCCATCGTCGCCCTCCGCCGGCCACCGCACCACAAACCCCCTCACCGTCTTCTGCACCTCGACGTCCCCCGGGTCCCCCGCAAACAGCGGCCGCTCCAGCTTGCGCTCCGCCACCTGCTCCGCCTCGAGCCCCGCCGCCCGCGCCACGTCGAAGAAGCCCATGTCGAGCTCCTGCTTCCACGGCCGGTACGACGTGAAGAAGACGTACGCCGCGCTGGCCCGCCCCGGCCGCATCGTCTCCTTGATCGTCTTGACCAGCGCCCCGTGCTCCGAGTGCCGGAAGAGCAGGTCCGCCAGCACCACCACGTCAAACTTGCCCCTCGAGCCCGCCCGATGCCCTGCTCCTCCTCTTTCTACTACCTTGCCGTCTTCGTATTCGTCCTCGTCCTTGTCGCCGCTCCTCGTCTCCCCGCCGTCTTCCTCGTCATCCACCGGCAGCCTCGCCAGCAACGGCACCGGGTCAGCCCCCCAGACAAACCCCGCCGCGTTCACGGTCCGCCCAATGAGCCCCTGTGGCTCGACCGTGCCGTCACACTCGTCAATGTTCTTCTGCATGTTCTCCACGAGCTCCGGGTCGGGAAAGTCAGTCATGACCACCTTGCGCGCTCCCAGGATGCCCGCCACCAGCGATGGCAGGCCCGCCGCCGCCCCGAGCTCCAGCACCGCCTTGCCGCGCACCCGCGCGGGCTCCTCCTCCAGGTAGTCGGCCACGAACTTGGCCCCGTTCCACAGGTGGTGCGCCTCGGTAGGGCTGTGCCCGACCAGGTGCAGCGTTACCGCCTTGCCGCTGCGCATCGTGTACACCTGCTTGGTCGGCGGCGGCGACGGCGGGTAGTAGCCCTCGGGGTCCTCCATCAAGGACCCCATTCCGTAGTCGTCCATGGCGTTCTCGGTGTCCCTTCACTTGTCCCTCGGGATGATAAGGGAACAGGCTGCTCCTCGTACTGCCGTCTCGGCCGGCCTGGCTGCTGCCTGTCGCAGACTGTCGCGCCGTCCGTCTCCGGCCCAAGACGGACCTTGTGCGCCACGCCGCGCCGGGCCTTCACGTACGTGAGAGCAAACGCGGGCGACAAGAGAAAAGAAAGAAGTGTTGTCCGGAAGCCTATTGATGAGATGTCGGGTTGTCAAGGCCCAATCACAACGGTTAAACTCAAGACCGTAAGGTTATCGGCCAAGCCAAGCCAATCTGCAAGGTTTTAGCACAAAGTGGTCCGCACGGCAGGGCCTTAAACCCCGATCGAGGCTACCTGCACCGGGGCGGGATTACCCGATTCGACCTTGGCGCCCTCATATCTCGTAGCTACCCTAACAGCACTAATGTCAGGGCCAGGGCTCTCAGCTTGCCTAGTAGAACATGAAATCGCTCGAACAGTACCTTGGTTAAGGGTTAGACAGGCTCTTATTTATCTAAGAAGCTACTTACTATATATATTTATATGCAGGCATACCGAGGCCCTTCTTTCCTTCCTTATGTAAGAAAGACTATATATAACCTGTTAAGTAACTAGATACCCATAGATCTAACATCACCTAGGAAGCAATCCTATCCAAGTCGGGTTGCCTCTCTTGGCTATGGCAGCCTATATAGCCGATCAGGCATAGGTACATCGAGCCATCTCTACCGTAACCCTCTGATGCGATAAGGCACTAAACCAACCCGGCGAGTGAAGACGATGCGGTTTGTTGGATGTAGTTGTAGAGATACGATACTGTCAAAGCAGAAAAGGGCTTTAAATACACGTTAGCAACACCTCCAATGGGGGTGCCCCTATTTTGCCTGGTGTAGCGGTAATTTACCAGCTCCACAGATACATCGATTGCACCGTAATATAAAGATGGAAATCGCCAATCCTTCAATCGTAGTATAAGCTAGGTGGGATCAAGAGTACTGGCTATTGCGATGCTTTTGTGGAGAGTGATGTTCGCGCGAAGCTGCGTACGCACACCGCGGTGCATGTAGAGCAAGAGAATGCCACTGTTACCAGTACGGAGAAGCACTTGACGATGGGTAGCCTTATCCCCTTTCACGGCTGAGCTTGGCTGATCATCCTCCTTGGGTACGGTTTACACGCTTCATCTTGGTCCATCCACAGCCAGTGTCGACCGCCTCTCTTGGCTTCCTTGGGTAACTGTGTCGCCCAAAACGTCTGCCCTGACGAGTTCTGCCAATGGAAACTGAGTTCCATCTACGATTCACTCCGTCCAGTCCTTCGGCCGCGTCTTGGCTTCCGTTGCCCTCGGGGTGCCTGAAATACACCTCCCCCTTGCGCCCGTACGTTTCCACCCAGTGTAACTCACTCGGACTGGACTGAGCCGATCCTAGAGCGGACTTTGACAACTCCGCAGTCCGTCGAGCTGCGCTTGGTCGTGTGCGACTCTTGGACGAATGGCATGCACTGGATGTGGAACGTGGGCTAAGTCATTGCCTCGAACGCTTGGAACGATTCGGGTCGTGCTGATGCTCGATGTGAAGCTCGTTGCAAAACTCATTGCCGGTTCATCATGCTCCAACGCCAGAGATTCTTGACTCTTCTCCTGTGACTCATGGAGAATAGCAGTCGCCTCACCGTTGTCTTGGAAGGCGTAGTTGCCGGTATCGGCAATGTGTTGCTGTAGTGCACCATCATCATCATGCAAGGCAATGTAGTCTGCAGGAACCACCGGTTGGTGAGACTCGTAAAAAGTGGCTATCTCATATTCGTGTGTCTCTATCACATCTACTTGAGCAGCCACCGTTTCATGTTCAGAGGCTCTGGCGTTCGCGTCCTGAAAGAAATTGTTCCGGTGCAGTTCCGCTCTGTCCTTAGCATTCTGAATGCGGTAGCTCCTTGAGCGGAGGTCTCATGGGTATCCGTCGTATGTCGGCTCCGCTCGGCTTCTCTACAATTTTTCAGGGCGTGCATGGCACGAGCCCTATAGGCTGCATCATAGCATGGCTGTCTCTGTGCTATAGGTGTGTTTCCATAGCCCTTCAATTTCGAGGGAAAGTTTGGTGCTACCGGAACACTGAGATGTTTCGTCGAGATGGCCACCGATATTAGGTCGTCGTCATTCCTAGTGTCCTGGCTAATGTCCCGTAGATGAGCCCCATTGAAAGTCTGGCTTCGGCCTCATGGCGTCCTCATGTGTGGTAATAGGCTTAAGCGCAGTGAATAGAATGTTCTGCGTGTTGGGAATGTTGGCGTTTCCACGAACTATAGGGATAGCAGTAGTCACGATATCGATCTTAAATGCGGTTTGGGCGTCCTTCTGTTTATAACCTTGGGATGCCCACTGAGGAAAGCGCGATGGGGAGAGATGCTTTTTCAGCCATCAACTCACGGTAATTATAGGCCAAGTTAGCAGGCTCTAGAGTTGAAATGTCATCCGCATAATCAGGTTCTTGCGATATACGTTATAGTCGTTTATATGTTGTTCAAAATCTTTGCTATGTACGGACGATCTTCCGCTTCTTGGCAGCGCTTGTCGCCTTGGTCGATTGCGTCCGTCGACTTGGAAATGATGAGGGCGGAGTGGCGTCCATGATATCTTTGCCTTATTTCGGTTCAGGGCACTTATTTTTTGTTGTTAGCCGGCGGCCATGTATGCAGCCATAGCGCAGCAGAGTCTTAGCCCCCGGAGATGACGAAGATCTGGACCACCATGCCTTGCAAATCGAGCAGGACCTGCAACTGGCTTTGCAGAACGACACTGTGCGTTGTTTCTCCGATCGAGCTCTCGTACGGGACGAGCGGTGAGCAATACAAGCTGTCACAGGATTATAAGGGAAGTTAGCCGCTCGGGGAAGGGCAGTTGTCGACTTGAACCTCCTGGTTGGAGGGTTGTCTTGGGAAAGATGGTCCGAGTTTCTTCGTTTTCGATCCCGCAAGTTCGCCATGGGCGACCCTTATGGAGAGCTGCCATCAACAGGGGACATGTTAGGTCGCGGTCTACGGTGGGTGGCCTCAACGGCCGAGAATCATGGGCTGATGGTTGCATGGACGGGGGCCGGGCTGTACGCTCTCTCCCAGAAGCTGTCAGCCAACCATTAGCCGCTCGAGTTGCAGCCAGGAGGGTGGGCAACAGCAAGAAGCCGCACCCTTGTTGGGTCAAAGACGGGTTGATACTGGTACGTGGCCGTGCGTGTCGGCCATGAACGCTGTCTGCATGTGTTTGCGCTGCTGCATCGAGGCTGCCCGACATGGCTCTTTCCAACGAAGATCGGTGGCCAGCGACGTCTCAAATCTTCAGCGTCAGGCCTAACGTGTTGACGATGCCGATTTCCATGCTGTGCTTCCCTGTCTAGTGGACTTCTTAGTTGCGCCAGCGATGGACCGGCGAATGTTGTGCGGATATCGAATCCTAATGGTCCCCTTTGCGACAATGCATCATGCTGCAACCTATCCAAGGAGGAGACAGAAGACCAAAAACGATTATCAAGGCCTTAAAAAAATGAACAATGTCCGTTACTACTCATCCCTCAGCCAAACCGCCGCTTCGCCAGTTCCTGAAGCATGCTCACCGTCCCCTCCTCCCTCTGCTGCCAGGCCAAGCGCTTTGCCTCCATCATCTCGCGCTTGGCCCTCTCAAACTCCTCCTTCTTGACCTGCCGCTCCGACTTCCTCCGCCGCTCCGTCGCCTTCATCTGCTTGTACTCGTCCACCGAGTCGCCACCGCCCATCAGCTCCTTGTCGTTGCCCGCCTCCATCCCGGGGCTCTTTTCGCGGAGCTGCCGCATCGAATCGTTGGCCTCGCGCCGCTTCTCCAGCTTGCGCTCGCGCGTCCCCGGCTCGGCGCGCGGCGCCAGCTCCTCGAGGCGCTGCTTTTGCAGCGCCCGGTCGGCCTTGCGCGCGTCGCGCAGGGCTTCGCGCTCCGCCTCCTTGGACTCTTGGATAAGCTCGTCTCGTAGGGAAAGGTCTTGCAGCGAGGGTATCTTGGCGCCCATACGGCGTCGGGGGTTCGATCGAGGCAGCGTCGGGCCATAGTCGTCGTCATCGTCATCTCCCCCCGCCGCAGAGCCGCCTTGTTCGTTGCTGGGGGCCCAGGCATCGTTGGACCTCCCCGATGAGCCTTGCTGCGGCGCTTCCAATGCCTCCTCGTCCTGCTCTTCCGCAGCCCACGCCGAGATTCGCGCAAGCATCTCCGGGTCGTACCAACCCTCGGCCAGCTCGCTGCGGTTCCACTTGCCCACGAAGCTCTTCCACCTGCCCCTAAACTCGCGCTCGTCCATGTCGCACGCGTCTTTGCGCTTCTGTAGACTGAGATAGTGCACAAAGAGGGGCTCCAGCGTCTGCAGATCCGCCTTGACCAATGGGCGTGCCGAGTACGGTAGCGGCTTCCTCTCCGCGCCGTCGTCGGCCACCGTGTGAGTCTTGCCCTTTTCTCGCCGAGGGTGCGAGGCGTGGCGCCGCCGCTTGGGCTCCCGAGTGTCGATGGCCGGCGACACGCTCCTCCTTCGCTCCTCAGTGCTTCTGCGTCGCTTGCGCTCGGGAGATGGAGACGTCAGCCTCGGACGCTCGTCGTCGTAGCTGTCTCCATGGCGAGAGGCGCCGCGGCGTCGGTCATTCCTCGAAGGGCCGGGGCCGGGGCGCGCTGGGGAACCGGGCATCTTGGCGGGGGGGTTTCTGGTCTGACGGCTCTGCGGATAGTCTCGGATCAGACGGCGTTGGCCTTGTTGCTCATGATGGTGCCAGACGCTCGCCGAGGGAGCATGCGCTGGAGGGCACGGAGCGAGGTTGCATTGTTGTAGAACACTTGCGCCTCTGCACATGGAATATGGAGTCTGTACGATGTATTCTTTGGCTTGGGGTACGTTCCCAGCCCCCACTTATCCGAAGCGTCTAGACCATCTCCATCATCTGCTTTTCCAACGATCCATCGACAAACATCATGCTTTGTAACAAGCCTTGCTCATCCACAGACTGGTTCCGCCATTTCACGTAGGGGAACGCTCCCGGACGCCCACGAGGCCATGGCCATCCAGACAGAGCCAAGACGGGCTCCAAGTTTGCCCCCGTTGGCCGGCTTCCTTTCCACACCACAGCCTGTTCAGTAGACGGCATGGCAGTGTAACCGTCATACGGTGTAACCCTCTACTTCGTAAAGCCTCCCGCATCTCAAGCCCTGCCAGAAGCACGCACAAAGCGTCATCGCCATGAGTAGCGTCAAGTCATGCTCGTTAATGGCACGGCCGGGCATCTCTTCAAATACTGCGTCTATGTCCGCATCCCCGCCGTACCATATCTGGGGTATCGCTCTCCTCAACACAAATGCCTTCACCCTCAGACGCCGCTGGTTGTCCACATGTCAGGATTATAACCCCTGGCTTCCGAGCCTCCGAGCCTCCAAATCCCTCTCCCACGCTCTGCGCATGGCCACCTTCCCCTCATGCCCTCACTCGGCATGACCGTCGATATTCTTCACCCGCAGGACAGAAACGTGCGACCTGCGCTTTCAGAGAGGCGTCGAGACCCCCGGCGTCTCGTCCGGACCGGGATTGTTGTGAATCACGCAACCGATGCACTGGCAGTCGTCGCCGCACGGACAGCTCGCCGTGTCTCCCGCGCACGACTCGCCAAACGGGTAGCTGACGAAGAAGAAGTCGTTTGCCGACAGCGTCTGCTCCTCGCTGATGCCGGACGTCCCGTCGGATGGCGTCTGCGGTGCCGGGGGCGAAACCGTGCCTTCCGCATGGCTCGTGACCGGTGTCGTCGCCTCATTTGTAGTCTGCTGTTCGTGATTGCTGTTGACGTGACCATTGACATGGATCGCCGCGCCGTTGGCTTCCGCCCGTGTCTTCTGTCCATCCTCCGTCACGGTGCTCCACGCCGAACGCACGTAGTTTTGCGTCGCCTCGTTGTAGGGATGGGCTGCGCAGCCAACGCACTGACAAGAATCCCCGCAGCTGCACTGGTGAGACGTCCAAGACGTGCCGCCCGGCGTCCCGGGGAGATTGGCCGCGCTCGATGCACGATACGGCCCCGGCCCCGCCATTCCGAAGGCGGTGGGAGGCACGGGTTGCGCAAAGCTCATTGTGGCCATGAACTGCTTCCACTGTTCCGGCTGGAGAGGTTGCAGGAAGGAGCCAAACTGCGGCGGATAGTTGAAGATTGTCGGCTGGGAAAAGTAGGGGTACATGCCGTTGGGCATGGCCATGGGAGCTTGGAAGGGCGACATCATGACACCGTTGGGCTGTTGGACGATTCCGGGGCCCGGCAAAGAGTCGGCCAGCGGCCTGTGCTCGTGGGGATCTGTCTTGGCGGAGCAGCAGGAGGCCTTGGCCTTGGTTTCGCCGGTTCCATTGGCAGCCGCAGAGGGCGAAGACATTGGCTGGGGTGCGGCCCGGACCTGGGCGCCGTTTGCGCCGCCGCCACAACAGCCGCCAGGTGTCGACGGCGTTCTCCCCGATATCGAACCGTTTGTGGAAGACTTGGCGTGTCCGTTGGCCATGGGCTTGGCCGAGCTTGGGGTCATCATGGGCGACTGCATGGGATATGGGAAGATGGGAAACATGGTGGACTCGGGACTGAAGGAGCTGTCAACGGGCGTGAGTCCCAGGCCGTAGAGCGACATGTCGGCCATGGGTGGCATGTGAGCGCCATTAGACACGGAGCCATTATAGGCCGGCAGGATGTTGAGCTGGCTGGCGTCCATCCTCCCCAAGCCAGCGAGGTCGACCGACTGCTTCCTGCTCGGGGCGCTTTTGGAGGACTGCTTCTGGACTCGAAAGGTGGTCTTAGGGGGGCTCGGCGGGGACACGTCGGCGCTCGACGAGGCGCTTGCCGTGTCGTCGGAGGGCGCTGGTTGCGAAGTGCCGCAGTGGCATTTCTGCTTCCTCGGAATGGCGGCGGTGACGGCGGCGCACGAGCATGTGCGCGACGAAGGGTGCGGGCAGGAGCTGAGCGGGCGACCGGGCTTGCGAACGGGCACCATCAGCCGCTCGCTGGCGTGGGTGCACTTTGTCGAGCGATGGCCGCGAATGCAAGGCTCGCTGCGGCGCGAGGATTAGCTCACGACTCGCGGCGTCGCTCGCGGCAGAGGACATACCAGGCCATCTTCTGGCCGTTGATGAGAGGCATGGCCGGCTCAGGCAGCGTGTTTGCGCGTGTGTCCTGATTATAGGTCGATCATGTATTCAGGGCCTGCGACTGAGGCCTTGCCGGTGGGCGCCGCGAAGCATCAAGTCTGGAGACGGCGGCCGAAGTGAAGAGCCGGGTTCGGGTTCGCGTCGGGGGGGGGCGACGGCGGTTCGGATCGGGTCGATGGAGGGAATTCGACGGTAGCCTCCATTGGCGTGCCTTTTTTGCTGCTTCCTCAAACCATCGCTTGCGTGCGTTATGCGCCTTTTTCTCCGCGTCTTCTACTACCTTCCTTGCTTTAGCAATCTGATCATCTCCCCTTTGTTGCACCATTTCCCGTCCTTGGGCCACTGACAATACTCCTCCTGATTGTAACTGTATATTCTTCATAGCCTTACGTTGTTTTTGGATCCGCTCCGCCATTTTGGTTCGTCCCAAGTCCCTTTTAGTCTGCACGAGCTCAGTCGCCAGAGATAGCGATCCTCGAATAAATCGACTGAGATCGTGAGAAAAGTCGGGATCCAGGCTTTTATCGTCTTCAAGGACGAGATCTAATTTGTCCGCTACCTTGTTTATTTGTCGTAGAGTCAATGGTGTCTCGAAAGGTGAGGAGTGTGGTCCTGAATTGGGAGGAGGTGGGTGTCGTGGCTTGACGAGCTTCCAAACATTGAAGTACTACTTGTGGATTGAATGGGAAGATTCCTGTCTTGCGAAATGCGGAGCGTATAGTACTCTCCTTGAAAGCATGCAATCGTACTTGTTGAATGCAGGAGAGAAACTCAAGCTTGGTTATGTTGACGAGGCCATCTCGAACCATGACATCTAAAGCCTTGGCGTGATAGTGCTTTAGGGGCTGGAAAACGACAACGTCCAAAGGCTGAAGTGCATGCGTGAGATTAGGCGGCATGCCGAAGGGAATAATATTGTGGTTGTCGCAGTATTCAATGAACTGCCTGGTATGGTGAGAGCCATGACCATCAAGAATTAGAAGTCGCTTCGAGCTTCTTGAGCTTTTTTCCGAGTGCTTGTCAAAATGCTGGAGCCACTCCAGACTAATCACGTCGTTTGAGTAACCAGTAGGCGTGGGTCGAATAACTGTGTCAGGATCTAGCTCAGGTATTTGATACCATGAAGCCATGTGCATCTGGCCAGCGAGTATCAAAAAAGCCGGAACAACCTCCCCATTCGCCGAGATAGCTTCGATCGCAGTAGCGGATTCCTATTCTCAGGAATGCCAAAATAATGAGCTCTCCTCCGTTTTGTCACAATCAGCTGGTCTTTTCCAACCCCGATGCGAAAACCAGTTCGTCCATATTCCAGATATCCTCAGGAGGTATACCATTGTCTTGGATAACCTGCCGAAGATGCTGGAAATACTGGTTAACTCGTGTAAGATTCTCGGAGACTTGGCGCTCTGCTTGAAGCCTTTTTTGGCGCTTTTTGAAGTAGCCGTGACGCTTTAAGAAGCGAGAAGTCCAGTTTGGCCCCACGGTAGGAGCGTCGCGCTGGCTAGACCGCTCGCGCAAGATACAGTTTGCCGCGTCAGTAACGAACTCGACGCGTACCGCAAGGTTTATATTATCCAAACGATCGATATAGCGACATAGGGCCTTCTCTTCTGGTTCGGAAAGCCTCGTATTTCTAGCTCGCTGGCCAGTTTTAGGAGGTCGGCCTTGAAGACGGTATCGCAATCGATCACGTGTTACACCGAATTCTCGCGCTACGGTTGCGACTTTAGCACCGGAAAATTTTCAATATATCGAAGAGCGTTTTGTACACGTGCTTCCATTTCGGCTATCGACGAGATCGTGAATTGGTTAAGATATAGGGATGCTGAAGTCGGGGAGTCGAAATTCTGGGTATTCCGGTGGTGTGGGGATACTGGTGGTGAGCACCAACTTTAGGAGGTGGGAGCTTGCGAATTCCAAATAAAGTGGGGCGTGGCACGGGTATGTACACTAGAGAGCGAGTTTCTTTCTGATGGAGCGGGAGGCACGCACAAGCCCACCGGGGGGAGAAGGGACCCTTTTCTGAGCGAATGCCTCAAGAGCTGGCTTAGCTGCTTCCCCCGTGGGGTCTGGGCGGCACACACGAGGTCGCACCACACATTGCAGAGCAGAAGAGACGACGAGGAATGAAGCCGCATTCATCAGCCACCACCACCAGCAGGTGGGATGGGGGGTGGGCGGCCCCGGGAGCCCCCTGTCGGAATTCACAGCGGAGGGAGCCATTTAAGCTACTCCGTACACATTCAGATCTTCTTGCAAATTGGTCGTCGACAGAACATGGTTCTCTTGTTGCTCGTCTCTGGACATTAGACATTGAAACTTACCTAGGCGCCTTCTTCATGTCGGGACGCGCAATGCCAGGCTCGGCCCAAACGCGCCAAAACGCCTTGAAACGGTGCCAAATGCCCTCGGTCAAGCGGCCGAGCGGCGCACCCGAGGCCCCCTCCAAGGCCCCCCCAAGGACCCCCCCCAATCCACGCGTTGGAGAGGCTACCTACCTAGGTATTAAGCAACCCATCTCGTGCGTACTGTACGGAGTATGTATGCATGCACTCTAAACTACTACAGTACCTACTTGGGTATATCCTCTCCTTGCCCTTCAGCACACCTGACCGTCTACTAGCCGAGGCAGGTCGGTCCAGGACAAGCACGCACCTCCCTAGATGGGCTACTGCCGTGAATTGCTCCGTAAATCATCATCGTCATCACATCGTCCACGCAGTCCATCAACCCCCTGCTCGGCAAGTTACGCCCGGCTACTCGTACATAGTCCAAAGCCAGTGCTTACATCGTCTGATTCATCTTCGTCCGTCCCGCCATTTCAGGCCCCTCCACCCCGTCACAGTCCCGGGTGAGCAAGTTTCCATTGGCGCTTGGCACGCACGGCCCGACAACCACGCCCGCCGTATCCACATGCACGCTTGCTGTTTCGCACATCCTGCCATCCCTCCCACGTTTCCAGACTGCCTCGCACCCGCAGGTCCCTTTGCTCGCTCCACGTGCCTTGGCTACTGCCCCAGTAACCAACAAGGCCTCCTTCATGTCGGGAAATGCTCCGTCATTCGAGGCAAATGGCTTCGCATGGTCCAACATGCCTTTGTTCTTCCCTGTTCTCCTCGACCCATCTTGACCCTGTTTCCAACCTCGCACTCACTGCCTTCCATCCAGTCGTCACTTGCCGCTGCCGTCTGAGTCGTCCGAGTTGGCAAACATGTCGACGGCTCGGATGCGCTTTCTCTGTCCTTGCACCCGTCCATCAGCTGCGCCGGTCTGTCCCTGGCCCGGCTCTCCGCTCGCATCCTTGATCGCGCCATTGTCTCGGTTGCCATTGTCGTCCTGGTCCATCGGCTCGCCCGCGCCATCGTCGCCCTCGCCCGTCACACTCTTGCCATGACCGCCCACGTCGGACTGCATATCACTGTCAGAGATGGGCTCGCCCTCGATATCGTCGTCCAAGATGGGTTCGCCTTCCACATCGTCTTCCGTAATTGGCTCGCCCTCAACGTCGTCGTCCTCGATGGGCTCTCCCGTGGCGTCGTCTTCAACGTCAGCCGCCCCATCTCCCTGCCCGGGCGGAGCTTCGTCTGCGGCAGTCGACTTGGTCTTCAACGACTTCCACTTGCTCCTGTCTGGTGACTCGCCGCTCCGCTCCTCCTCTACCTTGGGCGAGGGTGGGTTCTCGAATGTAGACATGAAAACCTCTTGAGTTTTGGTTGGGAACACGCACCACCCTTCCCAGAGGTGGAGGACCAGGTTGATGCTGCGTTTCCACTTCTCCGCTCGCAGGCGCCCCCAGCCCTGCTGCTCGGGCATTGTGCCGAGAAAGTCAAACACTTGGTAGTCATTCAATGCCCTTTCAAAGAGCCCTCTGAATCTCCACGCGTGTCGAAAGACGGTGGTAGAGGACGAGGATAGGATGTCGCTCACGAGGTACAGGCCAATCAGGCTGCCGCCGCTGGTGTCCGGTCCCTCGTTAGCCGTTCCCTCTTCCGTGCCCGTAGCTTGCTGTGCCTCCTTCAAGTTCTTGTTCCTGTCGGGATTTGCGCTCGTAAATGCAAAGGGTCTTCCAATGTTGGATATGATCAAGTCCACGACCTCGCCTGGGCCCCGATCGGCATGCTGGAGCGCAAAAGCCGTCACTCTCGCAACGTCTCCTTTGCGAAGCTTTGAATGACTTGTCGGCAGTCGAGCCAAGAGGTGGACGAGCTTGGCCTTCTCCAGCGGGTTGAGAAACGGTGACTCCACTTCGCCGGCGTTGCCATCTCGGTCCATCTCTTCGTCGTCCGAGGAGTCGTAGTCCGGGTCCGACACAAGCTCATCGAACTCGCTGACGAACTCGAAAGGCAGTGGGTCGGGCACCTGCCACGGAGCGCTGTCCTCGAATAAATGGACGTATGGCTCCTTTTTGGGGTTGGCCTGGTAGCCCGTCTTGAGCTCCCAGAGCCGCCAGCGATACCAGATGCCGCCAACGCTTTTCGAGTCCCACAGCCATGCCCACTTCTCCTCGTGCTGCACCTCGGGCCTGGACATGAGGAGAGCCTCAAACTCGGGTCCGTCTTCGAGAACCCGTTCGACAATCATGTGGATCATTCGAACCACTCGAATGTCCTCGGGCGGTTTCACGGGGACATAGAAACGGTCCGCAAGGTTCGTGCCACTGCCAGCGTGGCTGTATGACGATGGTGGTGCAAAGCCGCGGTGAAATCCGTGTTGGCCCATGTGCTTTTGGGGACCGGGCTTTTGTTCCATCTGCTTCGCTCCGAACGGCTGGGCGGCTGAAGACGAAGGGATGGGGGCAGAAACCGGATTCAGGACAGCCGATGACAGGTGCCGATGAGCGGACAGATAGTACCCATAGCCCAGGTATCGATTCTGGAGCGAACTGACTGCCGCGTCCATTGCGCCCCCCGATGAGTCCCTGGAAAGCGTGACAACTGCATTAGTGCACTTTCTCTCGCTGCTGGGGCCTGCGGGAGGCTCAATCTTGACCGCGTCGACGGTGAGAGTGTCCGGGATGAGCGCCTTGATCGCCGCCGGCGACGTCCCAGGAGGCATGTTGGACAGTCGAAGCTGGGACTTTGCTATAGCCTTCAGCTCTGCTCGTTCGATTGCATCTCGTTGGATATCATTCTCGTCATCGCTCACGTGGTTGAAGATTGTCGAGACCGACTTGGGGCCGCCCGGGGGCTCCTGTTGGTTAGGCGGGAAGTCCCTCTCCCTGGACCCCTTTGAGAAGTCGTTGTAGGATCTTTTGGCGCCATAGGAGCCAGGCACAGGGCCCAGGCTTCCGGGCCCGCTCTTCCTCATGCTCGACATGGCAAAGTGCCGCTTGCTGGTGTTGAGGCCAGAGGGCGGACCGCCAAAGCCGTGCCGGGGACGCTGGGGCGCAACGCCGCCACCTGGTGCGTCGTCATCCTCGTCGTGGTCGAAGCTCTTGACGAATTCCTCGTACACGGCTGCTGTTTCGGCCTCGTCGCGTTTGCGCTTGGCTTCGGCTTCGGCTTTGGATCGTTCAAAGGCGGACTGCTTGATGGGCTTGGATAACTTGGCCTCGGCGCCCGGGAAGCCTGCGGGCGGTCTCCCGGAAGACATGTTGCTCGGGTTTGGCCTGGCGCAGCACGGCTAGGCCGTCATGATTCGTTGAGCGCAGGCAATGATTTGCGTGAGGCGCTCGCAGGGAAACAATGGTTGAGGGCGACAGGAGAAGCGTGGTGGGGCTTGTAGCTCTCGCGCAGTAACCCGCGATTGCGTAATGGCCCCGTTACAAGCATCAACACATCAATGACACGCCTACCCTGGGGCCCAAGAAGATCGCTTTACCATGACCGACGACATACGAGTCCAGTCTTTCCATCAGGGACTCGGTCCGAGGCCCGCCTAGAGGGTTGGGCCAGTTCTCGCAAGCTCATCCTGCCAAATCGTTGCCGGACCACCTCCTCGACTCCCGTCCCTTGTGACTAAACGATTGAACTTGCCGTCAACCTCTCTGCCCTCTCCATCATCCTCAATCTCTCTCCATCTCCACTTCTGCCCCAGTTGCCCCCCCTGTCCGAGCAAGCAATCCACCACCTTTTCGCCCAGCACGGGAAGAAACTTGAACCCGTGGCCGCTGTCGCCCGTGGCCAGGAAGAGGCCCTTCCAGCCGGGATGCCAGTCCACCAGCCAGTCCCCGTCCTTGGTATCCGAGTACCAGCATAGTCTGGTATCCCGCCATGGTCGGTCCTCCAGGCCTTCGACGGGCACCAGATGCTTGAGTGCACGGCGCACGTTGGCGTCGGCCTGACGAGGAAGACGGCTGACACACCCGTCTCGCCGCGTCACCGGCCGCGAGACTACGATGGGCTCGCGCTTGGCTGAAGGGGATAGAGGCAGGGCGGAGGTGACAGCCTGCGGGTTGTAGTAGCCGAAGCCGTGATGCCCGACCTTGAGCACCTTTTCTCGTGGTGGAAGGACAAAGAGGCCTGATGACACGTGCAACACCGCAGGCTGCTTCGACAAGACGGCCAGTTCCTCGTCGGTAATGTCAATGTATGCCAGAGTATGGCCAGTCGCCTCGACCCTTCCCCGGAGATCGACGAGCTCGCCGCTCCAAGCGCCAGCAGCCACGAACACCACGCTTGCCCGCAGGACGGCCCCGTCAGACAATCTGGCGCCGACGACCCTATCGCCCTCGGTCTCCAGGTGCTTCACTTTTGCGTCGACAAACCTGACCCTTTGCGTGGCCTTGACACGCTCGTACAGCCACCTCATGCTCTTTCCGTTGTCCGTCCAGCCCGAAAAGGTGTTCACGTAGCCCCAATCACCAACGTGACCGCGGGTCCCGAGATACTCGTTGAGCGCCTCCTTGCTCTCGAGCGTCCGGACCTTGTCGGCCGAGTAGCCATGGCTGGTGGCGTAAGCCACGACATTCTTCCAGCTTTTCTGGACGTAATCCAGGGACGAGGCTTTGGCCCCGTTTGACTTATCTGCTGTCAAGACAAACCCCGACTCGGAATACCGCCCCTGGCCACCCAGCTCATCGTCCCCTCCCTCCTCCATCCTGCTTGCGCAGCTGTCGCCAAGGCGGTGTAGTCCGGATCCGCGTAGTCTGCTCTCACGATCCTCGAGGTATCTACACTCGCGCTGTCTGACGGAGGAAACTGGCCACCGGCATGATCAACGACGGTGATGGCGGTATCGGCGAACAGCGGTCGTTTGGTCAGCTCCCAGGCTGTACTGAGGCCGAACAGGCCAGAGCCGATGATGAGGATGGAAGCCGGTGGCTGCTCCATTGGCGTATCTTCCATTGTCAAGATTCGAAAGAGCCTGAAAGTACAACGTGCACACCGAATGTACCCGCAGACGCTTTGGGCTCGCGAGTGGGATTTAAATACAGAGCATCGTCTGCTATTCGGACATAAATCGGCTCTCATCTGGGCTTTGAGGCGGGGAGACCCGCTGCAGGTGCTGGATGACAAGATACGCCCCTCCGTACGCCCTTGTTGACACATTTGATCACGTCTTGCATCGAGCTCTCTTGGCGACGCCAATCAAACAAAGGCGCAGCGCTCGGCTGGGCAAAGCCGTATATGCGAAAAGGCTCCCATGGCAATGGCTACGATCTTAGTCAACGTGTACCAAAAAACATGACTCTACGCGTCAAGATATGGCGGTAGCCGAGAGTCAAGTGTAGAATCCACACCTGGTAGACGGGATCCCTCGGCCACAATAGTGGCAGTTACGCAGCGACAGGTCGAGCGGCGCCGGCACGATTTTTCACTCAGTCAACTGATCACGAACGATGGTACTTTGTATGCAGGAGTCGTGAGAATTGTGCCTTATCTGCTAACCATGCCAGACATGTAGGTCAAGTATGGCAAACTCTGTGGTCATTTCGAAGACTCACGAAACAACGCGGAGCCGAAAAGCATCTCCTCACCCGTAACCTCTCATCTCCGCGGCGACAATGTCGCGCTCCTGTGCTGCTCCTCGAAATCTTGCTCCCTCACGTCACTCCTGTGACAACTTGATTCCGGCTCTCACCAACTTTGACTTTTCCCCTCCGAGGGTATTAAGGCGGCCAGTGCGAACTAGCACTCTAGTCCCTCAAACGATGGCCAATGGCAATCTATGTAGTGTTGCGGGATGGGTAGTCTTGTAATTTTCCACCTTGAACCATGTCCTTTGAAAAGAAGAAATAAGACAAGTCACCTCTGCCCTTCCTTTGCCAACGCCAATGCAATGCAGAAAATGGGATGATACATGAGAAACTACCGGGCTTGGTTGTGACCTGCCAGCTCGGAGCATCTCCAGATGGGTTGAAAAGCAATCGTGGTATCGTGACCGATGGTCTATTCGTACAAACCGATGAATGGGGTGCAACGCACGAGATGGATGCCTCGAGTGAACCGGGGGCGCATCTAAACTTTGCGGAAGTCTGTCAAGAGGATTAGTGACGGAAGTCAGCAAGAGTAGGCGACGAGGCAACGAACCTTGAAGCACAGGGTATATCATCTCGAAGGCCTGATAGATTTCCTCTCGAACTTTGGCGCCGGTCAAGACAATCTTGCCGCTGACGAAGATCAAGAGAACAATCTTGGGCTTGATCATGCGGTAAATGAGACCAGGAAACAGCTCAGGCTCGTAGGAGCTGAAATTGTGATGGCGCGAGGCAAGTCCTTCCAGTCGAATGGGAAACTTGATGTCGCAGGAGCCGACAATGTTCTGAATCTTGAAGTCGGTGAACTTGGCGTTGAACCCAAGCTTCTGGATGATGCGAGCGTACTTGCGGGACGCAAGTTTCGAGTCGTCCTCTGACTTGGCACCGGTGACGACCATTTTGCCACTGGCGAAGATGAGGGCTGTGGTCTTGGGCTCGCGGATACGCATGATGACGGCGGCGAAACGCTGGGGAAGGTTAACGAGACTGATCTGGGATGGAAGTGGAGGAGAAGCACAAACCTTGGGGTTGTACTCAGCGTTTCTCGCATGCAGAGCAATCGTCTTCAAGTCCAAGCGGCAATCGAGATTGACGGTGGCAACGATGTTCCTTGAGATGTACGTTAAGTAACGCGAACAGTAATAGCCACGCTCCCTCAAAGTACATACTGCAAAGTAGGCGTGATTCCACTGGGGCCCTGGGTTGCGGCAGGCGTGGCAGCAGGAGTGGCGGGAGTCACCCCATTTCCGTTCGCCGCCTGTTGACCGTTGCCCACAGGCCGCTGTCCGGCCTCGCCATTGCTCGATGGCGGAGTGAGCTCGTTGGTAGCTCCAGGGAAGGACAATGAGCCGGGTGCAGTGAAGGCCTTGGCCTGAGCCGCGTTGGAAGGATGAGTCTGAATGCCCTCCATGATTCGAACGACGGTCCGAGTGCAGAGAGGCAGGTCTGACGCTGAGCTGATCTAAAGCGTTGTTAGCAGTGGACGTGGGAGAGAAGTTGGAATGAGAATAATGGATGAGAAGGCTTGATTGAGAAATGCGGCAGTGCAAGGCGAAAAGTGTGGGTGATGAAGAAGGTGAAATTGATGGCGAAACGCAAGTCGAGGTTATGTAGGCTTGAATCACCGAGCAACAGTTTTGCCAGCTGGCGGTGAAAGCTGGTTGCCCGTGACAATGCATCGAACAGGAAATGGGGGCGGCACAATCAACGAAGGAAACGGGAGACGTACCACTTGCGGGAGATGAACAAATGAATGTCTCCCCTACAATATGATACCCGAGCGAGGTAGACTTGATGCGCCGCGCAGGCAACTCAGGTCAAGCCACAACGCAAAGAGGCAGGACGATGACGGCTTGGAGAAGTGCTCGTTCGAGTATATCGGTCGCAAGTGTTCGCGATCGGCGGCTCATCCAGGACCCGAGGCTCGGTTTACTTCAAATCAACTTTTTTTTTGATCTATTGTTGTCTACGCACGCGCAACGACCCGATGGTGACGACGACGACGGCGTTCGCTCCTCTATCTTGGTCGGTCGAGGTCGGATGCACCAGCAGCGACGGCTCAAGGAACGTGTTCCAGTTTCTTGTTGCCAGGTCGCAGACGTCGTCGGACGCAGTAAAGCCTTGAGACGGGACTCGCTCACGATCGGCCAGGGAAAAACCACTTTGCTCGCTGAGCAAGGGCGGGTAGCAAAGAAATCTTTTCGCGGGCTGGTGCAGGTCTGCGCGAAGACGATGCAGGAGGGAGAGTGCGGAGCGGTGGGCGAAGGAAGCGTGTGTCAGCCAAGCCAAGGTGGGGGCGTGACGTTGTGGAGAGGAAAATTTTTTATGCGCGCGCGCGAGAGAGAGAGCCGACGTGTGTGGGAGGTACGTAGGGCCGCCGGTCGGACTTCCGCGCGAGAACTGCGAAACAGACGGGTTGGGGGAGGGCCTGGGTACTTATAATTTTGGCACCCGCGGGCCCAGGCATTTCTCCTAGGCAACAGCAGGTCTGTGGCGCCGCCGGGGGTAGGCTAGGCTTGTGCTTAGCGTGGGCGCTAATTAGGTATGAAGCCAATCAGGGCGCCGAAAAATGATGATTTTATCTCCTTGGACCCACCGCCTCACCCACTTCAATCCCAACAGACCCCCCCTGGAGCCCCGAGGTATCTTGCTAGCACGCCCTCGGTCGCGGTACATGGGCTGTTCGCGGGCTTGCTGCGCACAGGGCGCTCTCACGGCAATTTTTTCTTTGTTGGCCTTGACTCGCTTTTGCATCAGCTCTCCTCTTCACACATCGTCTCGCTATTGTCTGCTGAACAGCGCTCCCTCCTTCATCTTCTCGTCTGCGTCCACACCGGATCCGAGCCCGGTGTTGCGGACGGTCCAGCAGTGGCGCCGAAAGACACGTCGACTCACCGCAGCACCCGCCATGGCGTCCCAACTCCAGCTCAGCGCGACTCTCTCCTGCGTCTGTCCCGGCGACATCTCCCTCTGGCGCTGCGCCTCTGCAACCTGCCGCCCCGATAAGCAGCTCGCCTCTCGGGGCAGAGGGCAGAGCAAAAAGGGGGGGAAGGGGCTGGACCGGCTGGAAATTACGGGCTATTGGTTGGCCGTGTCGCCCACCCCCTTCCCCCTTCCAAACCCACTGAAAGGCCGCCTGAAATTGCTTCTTGCACCCCTTGACAGCCCCCCCTCACATATACGCTCGCTGAAACACGCGCTCGTGCCCCTGAGTTGATGCGCATACTGGACACATACTGGACAGTCGCTCGACGAGGTGACGCGTTCTTCTCGAGAAGGCGCAGCCAGAAGTGCATATACAAACTCACGGCATCGTCGTGCCCGGCGCTTGCAGACCCGGCACCTTTGCTCTCGCCAAGTCTCGCCCAGCATCGCGACGCATGCCTGCTCCTGCTCGCGATATGCATCCGCATCACGCTTCCACCCCAAGACGCGTGCTGTCTGTCAGTGGCGACGTTGCGCCTCGCACCCATCCCATTTCGCGACGCACAGAGTTTTCCGTCCTTTTTTTCTTCCCTTCCCTCGGCGCGGCGACAAGGAGGCGACAGAAGAGCGAGGGTGAGTCATGGATCCTCATCCAACCAAGTGCCGTGAGCGGCCCTGCCCCTCCAAAGGCCCGCTGTTTGCGTCCTCTGAGTGGCGGGCACGCCAAGTTTCGGTACTTGTGCCTCGCGCCTCGTGCACCACTGTACTCGTCGCGCGTCAAGGGACTCGACGACGCCGCTGGCATGGCAACGCCGGAACCCTGATCTCGAGCATATTGAAAGATGCCGGGCGGCCTCTGCGAAGCCTTGGGCCCTTTTCCCTTCTTCTCGGCAGCTTGAGTAGCCCTGCAAGCGTCTGAGGCTTGATACGAGTCTGCCGCAGCCATGACGAAAAAGTCTGATATGCCCGGGATCATCATGTATCGCTACCCTCGGCGACACAGCCCCGGTTTAGTGGTCTGCTCGTGAAAAGTATCTCACTAACAATTTATCGGCCACGCAACCTACCCTCGGCCTTTCCGGCTTCTCGATTCTGGCGTCCGGAAAAGAGAAAAAGCCAGGGTGGCCATCTGTCTCACGTGAAGGCGCCGGGCCAGGGCACGTTCAGCCGAATAATCAGTTGTCTTGTCTGCTTTATTTACATACACAGCATCCACACATGGCCGGATGCGACCGCCCCGATTCCTCAGCACGCGAGAGCGCCCTATCACCCCGAATCCATGATTCAGGGTTCAGACTGGAACGGACACGTGGAATGCCTGCGCGCAGTGACCTCACCCGCGCCGCTCGTCAACACGCAAACTCTGCTTTCCCGTCAGTCGGGTTTAAGCCTCGGGCACGCCTCGGCCCTCGCTTCGGCGCACCTGCGTGGGTTTTTGCAAGTCCCTCGACAGGTGCCATCCGGCGGCGACGACTTGTCATCGTCGTCTGCCGTGGGCGCGTGTGCTTTCCGTTCACCCAGGGTATCCTACAGTATATGCACGCGGCGCGGTCGACTCAGGTCATGTAGTATTTCGGGCCCTCGCCGCCCTGAGGCACTTGCCAGTTGATGTCTTGCTGCGGCGCCTTGATGTCACACGTCTTGCAGTGGATGCAGCTGGGATCCTCGTCAGCTCGGCTCTACTTCCAACGCATCCAAAGAGGAAAGAGGGGGAGGGGTTGGTAAGTCTCACTTTTGGGCGTTGATCTGGAACCGCACGCCGTGGGGTTTCGAAGCGTCCTCGACGTACTCGTACACCCCGGCCGGGCAGAAGCGGTTCTCCAGACCCTTGAACGGCGGGTACGCTTTGTCCGTGTGGGCGTCCCAGTCCTTGACTTGCAGATGGACGGGCTGGTCCTCTTCGTGATTGGTGCCGGTGCGCGAGACGCTGGTGAGGATGTCGAAGCTGAGCTTGCCGTCGGGCTTGGGGTACTCGATCTTGGGGAACTGGTCGGCCGGCTTGGTGGCAGCGTGGTCGGGTAGCTTGTGCTTGAGGGTCCAGGGCACGCGTCCCTTGAGGACGTAGGCCTCGAGGCCAGAGTAGGCCACACCGCCGTAGATGCCGAGGGGGGTGTGGAACGAGGGCCGCATGTTGCGCACCTCCTTGAGCTCCTTCCATATGGGCGACCGGCGCAGCGAGTCCTCGTAGTCGTAGAGGAAGACGGTGCCGTCGCTGCTCTGTCTGAGGGCGGTCCAGGCGGCCTCGGCGGCCAGCATACCCGACTTCATGGCGTTGTGGGTGCCCTTGACCTTGGGGACGTTTACGAAGCCGGCCGAGTCTCCGATGAGGGCGCCGCCGGGGAATGCGACCTTGGGCACGGACTGGAGGCCGCCCTCGGCGAGGGCGCGGGCGCCGTAGGAGATGCACTTGCCGCCGTCGAGGACGGAGCTGAAGAGGGGGTGGTGCTTGAGCTTCTGGAACTCTTGGTAGGGGGAGAGCCAGGGGTTCTGGTAGTCGAGCGAGACGACGAGGCCGAGGGCGACGAGGTTGTCTCCAAAGTGGTACATGAAGGAGCCGCCGTAGACGTCGCGCGGCAGGGGGTAGCCCATGGAATGGACGACGAGGCCCTTTTCGAACCTGGCGGGGTCGACCTCCCACACCTCCTTGACGCCGAGGCCGTACGTCTGGTGCTGGCTGTCCTTGCGCAGGTCAAACTTGCTGATGACCTGCTTGCTCAGGCTGCCGTGGCAACCCTCGCCAAACATGGTGACGCGGGCGTGGAACTCCATGCCGCGCTCAAACGTGTCCTTGGGGCGGCCGTTCCTGGCGATGCCGAGGTCGTTTGTGGCGACGCCCTTGACGGAGCCGTCGGCATCGTAGAGGACCTCTGCGGCGGCGAAGCCCGGGTAGAGCTCGACACCCACCTCCTCGGCGCGCTCGCCGAGCCACTTGACAAACTGGTTCAGGCTGACTATGTAGTTGCCGTGGTTGCTCATCTGCGGGGGCGCGGGGATGGGGATGGCGGCCGTCTTGGTGAGGAAGCGCATCCTGTCGGCGCCGGCCGGGGTGGCGTGCTCGAAGCGGTTGGGGTTGGCCTCGTCGAGCCAGTCGGGGAGCAGCTCGTTGATGGACGAGGGCTGGATGACGGCGCCCGAGACAATGTGGGCGCCCATGTCGCCGGCCTTTTCGAGGACGAGGACGCGGAAGTCGTCGCTGCCGGCCTCGTTGGCCAGCTGCTTGAGGCGGATGGCGGCGCTGAGGCCGGCGGGCCCGCCGCCGACGATGCACACGTCGACCTGGTCCGACTCGCGCTCGATGCTGGCCGGGTCAAAGGGCTCAGGGTCGGCGGCGGCGCGCAACCGGGGGCGCGCGGTGCTGAAGGCTCGGCCGGGGACGGCGTGGGACGGCGGACGCAGCGCGGGCCGGGGCATATCCGCCGTCGTCAGGGCAGCCGCGGCGCGGAGAGGCAGAGACGGCAGTCGGCATCGTCGGCGGAGGATGGCCCGGGTGGTGCCGCGCTGGACGCATCTCGACACGGAGCAGGCGGGGACGGACATTGCGTCTTTTCTTTGCCGTCAGAAGAAGCGGCGACGGCAAAGGGAGGGGGGAGATGGCGCTCCGGGGCCGTCAAGGGGAGAGAGTTGAGCAGGGAGAGTGGAAGCTGCGGGAGTCACCGTCGACGTAACTGGCTACAAGCACTGCTACTGTACATGGCGGCGAGCTCGCCCCGGTTACAATTATCCGACCAGCAATTGGCTGGCAGGTCGGGGGAGCCGGGAGAGGGCAGTTAGCCGACTCAAGCCGGCGTCCATACCGGATGAGGACCTGCAGCAGGGCTCGGCACAAGAGGTAGTACCTCCCGGGTTGTACTGTAGTTCCATTTTCACGAGCTTCTCCGAGCTCGGCCATGTCGATCGAGCACTGTAACTTGCATTTTACCAAGGCATGGACGGCCCGTGCATCCAAGGAGGCCTTCTACGGTGTGTGCACAGGTCCCATGTCGTGCAGGCCAAGCGTCATTGCGCCGTCTTGGCCGCGGCTGAATCTGGTGTTGGACCAGCAAACTGCCGGCTCGTTGTGCTCGAGTCCAGGCCATGATGGCATCAACAGCAACAAAAACAGCACCATCTAAGGCCCCCTTTTACTAGACTGCGGCCCCGCGTTGCCCTATCAAACAGGGCGTGTGTGTACATATATATCCATGTGTCTGTACTTGACCAAGTCTCAGAAGACGCGCTGGACACGTCGCACATGCCTCCCTCTCTGATGTAATCTATAAATGGAGCCCCACAGCCTCGGTGTTCTTGAGCCCCGAGACACCGTCTTTTGTCGTCCAGGTATCTCGCGTGTCGTGTTGTTTGCCCGCGGGCCGAGTCGGGAGAGACAACACCGGCCTTGCTTTTACATTCCGGCCTCCCCGCCAAAGGGCTCCGTCATTTCGGCGGATTATTCATGTCTGTTCGTCATCTTTTCCCCCGACAAGCGGCAACGCCAGACATCAACATCAACCGGCCTGGCGGCAAGATGCAGCAACGCTTTTGGAGCGAGTCTTTCGGCGAGACAGGCCTGCCTGCCACACACACACACACACACACACACACACACACACACGCGCGCGCGCGCGCGCGCGCACACACGCAAACACACGCAAAGTCATCTCGGCCGGCATGGACTCGTGACCTTGGTCATGCCACGACGCTGATGCCACGCGCCCTGGGTAATGCGACGCCTCTTGCCAAGGCATCCTGCAGAGGGAGAGAGAGACATGCAGCGTCTCGTCTTCGGGGCCATGCGAACACACCGCTTATCCCGTGAGTGGACAGAGGGGGGAATATCAAGCACAACGACGCCATCGTCAGAGTAAGACTTGCTGTGTACAGCTCGCGATCCCACCAACAGGGACAAAAGGCCATGAAGCTTCACTCCGTCGTCCTCGCGCTCGCCGCCACAGCAGCACCAGCCGCTGGACTGTGCCCTGCCTATGAAAGCTACGCCGCCCAGCGCAACCGGCCCCTTTCCCCCGGCAGACACGCGTTCCCTCTGCAGCGCCCGTCGCCGCACTGCCGCACCTACGTCGTCGCCGAGGTGGAGCAAACCATCGACAAGGTCCGCGGCCACATCAGGGACCCCGACCTGTACCGGCTGTTTGTCAATGCCTGGCCCAACACCGTCGACACCACCGTGCTGTGGAAGGGCGTGGCGGCCGAGGATGCCAACCAAGAAGTAACTTTGTTTCATGAACACGGCGTGTTTCCTCCGACTAAGGCGGGCGCGTAATTAGTTGGCCTTTATCACCACGGGCGATATCCATGCCATGTGGCTTCGCGACAGCGCAAACCAGCTCCAGTCCTACAAACGCCTCCTCGCCTCCCCGTCCCACAACGCCACGGGCGACATCGCCGCCCTCTACCGCGGAGCCATCAACCTCCAGGCCCGCTACATCCGCCAGTTCCCCTACTGCAACGCCTTCCAGCCGCCCCCCGAGGCCAGGCTCCCGCCCACCCGTGGCTCCAACCGCGCCGACCTGGTGACGCCGCCCTACGATGCCAACGTCGTCTTCGAGTGCAAGTACGAGCTCGACTCTCTCGCCGCCTTTCTGCAGCTGTCGTGGGACTACTACCAAGCCACCCACGATGCCGCCTTTTTCGCAAAGTTCCACTGGGCCGCCGCCGTCAAGGCCATCCTCAAGCTGGCCCGCGGCATGATGCAGGGCACCTATGCCGACGACGGCACCGTCAACCCATCCCCCTACACCTGGCAACGCGACGCGACGAGCGCCACCGAGACCGTGTCCAACAAAGGCGCTGGCAACCCCGTCGCCGGCAACCTCGGCCTCGTGCGCAGCTTCTTCCGCCCGTCGGACGACTCCACCATCTACCAGTACCTGGTCCCCGCCAACATCATGTTCTCTCGCTTCCTCACCCGGTGCGCCGCCATCATGGAGCCCATCGACGCCGACCTGGCTGCCGAGATGGACACCATGGCCAATGGCATCGCCGCCGCCATCCAGAGGCACGCCGTTGTCAAGCACCCTCGATACGGCAACGTCTACGCCTTTGAAGTCGACGGCTTCGGCTCGTCAAACCTCATGGTAACCAGCTGTCCTCCCCGACTTGGAGAGGCACACTGACCCGAGCCGCAGGACGACGCCAACGTCCCTTCCCTGCTCAGCATCCCCCATCTCGGCTTCAAGCCCGCCTCGGACCCCTTGTACCGGCGCACCCGCGACTTTGTCCTCAGCCCCTCAAACCCCTACTTTGGCCGCGGCCCCGTCCTCAACGCCACCGGTGGCCCGCACCTCGGCCCCGGCATGGCCTGGCCCATGGCCGTCATCATGCAGACCATGACGTCGGACAACGACGACGAGATTGTTGGCGGCATCAAGCAGCTCATGGGCTCCACCAGCGGCTTAGGCCTGATTCACGAGTCCGTTAATACTCACAATGAGGTTACGTGGACGAGATCTTGGTAAGCCGCATCGTACCCAACTGCCATGTCCGCTTATGGTTGACCCTTTCCCGCCATTCATAGGTTTGCTTGGGCGAATGGGCTCTTTGGTCAGATGATCTTGGATCTCTTGGAAAGGAAACCCGAGCTGTTGAAAAGGAGCTTTCAGGCTTGACATGACGGCCAGAGATGATACACTTGTACATCTCGGCGGCTCATCTTGATGCGCTCGGAACTGCAACAACGCACAGCTATCCATCTGCCTCTGCCTACATGTACAAGAATGATCAATGGTCCCGTCAGCCCCAACCATTTAACTCAAGTCGAATCCCGCGCCCGATGTCACTGCGTAGAGCAATTTCTCCCTTAGCCTTTCCTCCCGCGTGTATCGCGGCAGCTTCAACAGATTGACACACGTGCTCGTGCTTGGCAGGCGTTCCTCGTCGGTTCCGCCGTCCCTGATGCTAAAACTGGGCCTCAACTGCGAAAAGCCCAGAAGAGGCGCTCGTGGCGTCGAGCTCACGTACTTGAGCACGTCTCGCCTCTGTGCATCCGTGAAGCCCTCCATCACCTTCCAGAATAGCTTGATTGTCGGGTGCTCCTCTCCATCGTCGCCTATCTCGTAAAGTCCGCTGTAGACCGTATTACGCCGCAGGTCTGCAATGTCGATTTCCGACGAGTCGCCGCCCACGAGACGCTGCAGCTCCGACTGGTTAAACATGGACAGCCACGAGGGGCGGATGATGGCGCGAAGCCCCCGCAGAAATGCCGTCGTCTGCAGTGACGGCTGCACCACAAGTCGATGGCGAGCCATGTATGAAACGTAGAGGAGGCGATTGTCGTTGTTGACCGGCGTCTGATCGCCGTTGCTGATTAGCTTCCTTGTGACTGTCTTAACAGGCTCCCCGGGCCGCGAGACTTGGTCTTCCACAGTAAAGTCAAAGCCAAGCTCCGAGACATCGCCTGCATAGTTTTTGAGTCGCAGCATCCCCTTGTAGAGGCCTTCGTCCATGTCCCGCAAATCGTTGATGCTGCCCTTGTACGTGTTCTCTTCCTTTGGGCCCGTCGACGGCCACTTCAGCAGGAAGAAGCCAGCAAACGCGAGATCGACGAGAATCCCCTCGTACATGCACTTGCCCACAATCCGACCCAGAAACTCGAAGCGCTTGTACATGCTTGCCATGGCCTCTCTCCATTCGGCGTCGTTCTCAGTCAGCCCGTGGCTTCGTAGAGACTCGCGCAAGGTGTCGGCAGCCGTTGGATTGGGAAACAGAAGCCCTTGTTCACTCGAAGTGAACATGCCTAGATCGCCAGTCGTGGCTCCAAATGCTTCCGACGTGACGCTCGTCAGGAACTCCTTGGTGACGCCGCCACCATCTATCCCGGCCTCTGGCGTGTCGAATTGATCCACAAAAGTAATCTGTATGGGGTCTTTCAAGCCTTCCGCCAGCTGGTAAAATTGCTTGTATGCGTCCTCGAACAACTGCCCTCGTCGAATCCTTGCGTGGTGCCTGGCAGACGGGTGTATGGGAAACATGTGGAAGGGATTGTCGCCCCCCCTGCGAGACCGGTCCAGTTGCACAAACTGTCGGAAAATCCGGACCCGGGTCTCAAAGGGGACGACAAAAGGCATGTGCTTCAGAATCTCGAGCTTTGGCCCCATTTCCGCTAATCTGCGGTCTCGTTGAGCACGCATTTGCTGGGCCTTTAGCCGTTCTAGCCTGACGTGGCGTGTTAGTCGCTGGCCCGCGAGTGTCGAGTGAACCCCGAAGTCAGGGTCGAAACCAAGCACGGCAGGTTCCGCTTCTTCTTCGCTCCCCTCATACTCCTCCTTATTCTGTCGTTCCTCCTCTGCTATGACCGCGCTGACAAAGTCCTCTTGCTCTAGTTTTCCAGGCATAAGCCAGTCATCGGGAGCTAAGAAATGCTTTCTCGAATCCCTCTCATATAGCATCTTCAAGGGCGTGGTAAGTATGGTTCGAAGACCATCCAGGTCGACCTCGCTTCCCGCTGGCGACAAGGAGCCGTTGCCAGTCGCAATCGTGTTGGCACCTCCGTCTGCGCCCAGGTAGGAGTCAAGGCGAGACTTGGTAGTCGACTCGATCGTATGCGGTGTTCGCGAAAGTTCGTTGGCTTTGTAATGGAGTGTGAAGGCTGCATTCTTCAGAAATATGGTGAGAGCCTTCACGTCTTCAAGAGGCAAGCTGCAGGACCGGAGACGTGAGGTCGACGAATTCGTTTGCAGGACTTGAGTGGTCATGCCGCTGATGAAATCCTCATCATCGCTGAGGCGGAGGATGAATATGTAAAGCTCAAGAAAAAGGAGGATGATGCGCCATTCTCGCTCTTCAGGCGTCTCACTCAACAGCTGCGAGGTCCTATGAAGGTATCTCCGGAGGACGGCGGAGGGCTGCTCGGATTCCGATCTCAATTTCTGAAAAACCGAAGTCTCCTGCATAATTTGCCATAGAAATTTGATTGTGGGGACCTGGCCGGACGCCGAGGGAATCTGCTCGAGAAAAAGACGCATGCGGGTGTCGTCGGCGCTGGCCGGGAAGCATTGCAGAAGAGTCAGGATGTAGCCCGCGAGAACACTTGTTCCCTGGAACTCATGGTTCGATGTCTGGGACAAGCTATCCGAGAAGTCACGCAGAAGTCTAGAGATGCCATCATGGTCCCCGAGCGAAAGAAGGAGGCGCGAGATGTACGGCTGGAGAGGTGGGATCAGCGAGTCGTCGACCTCGGCGGAAGAGGGCTCGGGAGCAGGTTTCATCGCATGCCGCAAGCTGATTTCAGACGATAAAAACGACAGTTGCGGGAAAAGAGCACCGAGATACGCAAGCTTATTGAGTGGATTTAGCCACCGGCGGCCTAGATCGACAAAGTGCGCCAGTAACCATAAAAGACCGTCTTTGGAGACAGGTGCACATGTGGCGCCTGGGTAACCGGTTCTGATCGCATCGGAGAGCTTGTCTGCGTCGATGCGTTCTGAGAAGAGTGCAATATTGTCTTGGAACTGGACCATGTCGTTGTGTGCCAAAAAGCGATAGGCGAGCGCTTTATACACGGAGGCTTCTGCTGCTCAGGGGGTTAGTCGGAACAGCAACAAGAGGAAATGCCTCCCGCGAAGGTGAAACAAGACGCAATGAGCTTACTGCTTTCCGAAGCTACCCGTAAAGGCGTAGCAACCGCCTCGACGAACAAGGCTGTCCACTGGCCTGCATCACGGACGCGAGACAGCTGAGCCAAGGCCTGGAAATAGTCACCCAAGTCCTTGTCGATCGTGGCGGGCGAGCTTGAGACGATGCGAACGATGAGCTTCAAGAGGGGCCCTAAGTCCTGGTGCAGTTCGCTGCGCGTTGCGGCCATCAGCACTTGACACCCAGCTAGAAAAGCCCCGCTCAGACATGATGGACGTACCTCCTTAAAGACACGATATTCAACGACTTGACAAGTATACCCATGAGGCGCCGTAGCCGAGAAGGATGTGTGTTGGTGGGGCTAATTTGTTCAAGGTCGACGGCGTCTGAATCTCGGGCGAACAGGAACACTCTTCGGACATCGTCGGTGCGGCGAGCTGAGAAGAAGGCAAGCAACAGGTTGAAGGTGGACGTCAACCTCTGACTGGGGCTATTGGCGGAAGCAGAGCGATAGACATGGTCGAAAGTGGCCCTCCAGTTGTCGGCCAGAGTCCTTCTTGACTTGTGCCCCCTCCAGACCCTTTGAATCGTGCCAGCTGCTTTCAAGCGCTGACGTTCGAGCTGCCGCCTCTCTCGCTCGGCCTGTGCGTCGGAGACGGTTTTGGTTGCGCTGGAGGCGAGTGAAGGGCTCCATGCCGTGTTGGCGAAAGGATTGCCGGCCTGCCCGCTCAGGTTGACATTTCGGGGCCTCCTCGAGTTGCCCGTAAAGGTCGAGAACATGGCGACGGTCTAGACGGGGAGGTGGTTGAACGGCGGGTTCAAATGCATGGTAGTAAGAGGTAGCACCTCAGGAAAGGCGATGTATGAGGATGGGGACTGGGCGGGAAAGGGTTGGAGAGAATTCTGTTCGACAGCGAGACTGCCGAGACAAACGGCCTTCGGCGCTGGCGGGGCCCTACATGTGGTTTCGGGACTGAATGAGGTCAGGGAAGGTGCTGGACTCGCCGATAAGATAAGACGATTGATTACAGACAGGGAGCGGTTGAGCTCCGGCTGCTATTTACAGTGTTAACGAACGATTTAAATACTGTAAAGTCTCGCGCTTAGTAACTGGCGGTGGGAGGGAAAAAAACATCTCCCATGTTTCTGAGGGACAGGCACGCTAATACATAATCGGCACACGTGTCCAAGCCTTGACGAACTCTACAAAGGCACTGTTGAGACGACGACCCACGGGGAAGTGAGCAGCAACTGACTCATTCCCCCGGCAGAGATGAAAGGCTCTCTTTCCATGTCTCACGACCCTGCAAGCAAGTGCCCTGCCTGCTAAGTTAATGCTGACGATCTGTCTTGCCTCGCCCGGGGGAAGAGGGAGGAAAAGCTCGTTAGGTCCGGAGCCAACGGCCATGACGCTCACGGTGCTCTCAGTAATGTTTGGCACTAGCAGGTGTGCAAGAGAATTCGCGCGAAGGTTGCTAGTGCGCTCCGCAGCCACACGCGCAAACTATTTTGAGTCCTGTTAGTCTACTTTTTGCTAGCACCCTTTCGGGCTTGGTGCTGCCGGACACAGTACGAATACTTGTTGATACTTCGAATCCGGCTCTCCGTGCCTGCCAGACACACAGTGTAAACGACTGTACGCTTGCTGGCTCGGGGCGTCGTCTGTCTCGGGCAAGTGAGCGCAGGCTGTCTACCACGCCACAGTCTTTGGGCGCTGAATGCACTGTACTGGCGATGCGGTGCCAACAGGCGGTCACACGAACCCCAGCAGCTCCACTGCCATCTGTCGTAATGGAAAAGTACAAGCCACCAGGTACAGGGTCCTCCCACTACTGTATGTACTGCTGCCTGCGTACGGCAGCAGGCCGGGGCCAGCCAGCCTTTTGGAGGGGGAAAAAACATCTTCGCCAAAATTTCCCTCCTCCCTCCTCTCCTTCGCTTTCACCACCCAACCTTATCTCCCCCCGAAAAACCCCAAAACCCATAACAACGAGTCGGTTCAGAGGTGCGGTCTTCGTACTAACCCCTGTTCTTGCTCTTGTTCTTTCAATCCAGAAAAAAAACTTCCAAAAAAAAATTGAAAACCACCAAAAAAAACTCCCAACCCTTCCTCGCCTCCCATCTCTCTTCGACGCACAAACGCCAGCCGACGCCCATCCTCACTCTTCGAGCCACCCCGTCAAGCACGCCTCTTCTCCAGTCGCCGAAGCTGCCTCGTCTCAACCTGTCCCTCCTGTCAACCGGTGCGTTGCTCACCTCTCTACTCCTGGCGCACTGAGCGACTTTGATTGCTGACCCACCGTATCTTATGCAGCTTCGTTCATCTCCCACGACACCCACAGGAAAATGGCCGCCTCGACTGCTTCCGGCGCTGTTGATCAGCTCGCCAACGACCTCAACAACACCTCTCTCAACGGCGGCGGCGATGCCAAGGCCCCTGCCATCGACACCAATGTCAGCGGCGGTGCGTCTGACGATGCCTCTGGCCCCACCCCCAACTCAGCCGTTCCTCACCCCCAGAACTCTGCTTCTCTTTATGTCGGCGAGCTTGATCCCTCCGTCACCGAGGCCATGCTCTTTGAGCTCTTTTCTCAGATCGGCGCCGTTGCCTCCATCCGCGTTTGCCGTGACGCCGTCACCCGCCGCTCGCTTGGCTATGCCTACGTCAACTACAACGCGACTCCTGACGGCGAAAAGGCCCTGGAGGAGCTCAACTACACTTTGATCAAGGGCCGTCCTTGCCGTATCATGTGGTCTCAGCGTGACCCGGCCCTTCGCAAGACGGGCCAAGGTAACGTCTTCATCAAGAACCTCGACGTCGCCATCGACAACAAGGCTCTTCACGACACCTTTGCTGCTTTCGGCAACATTCTGAGCTGCAAGGTTGCCCAGGACGAGCACGGCAACTCCAAGGGATACGGGTTTGTCCACTACGAGACTGATGAGGCTGCTCAGCAGGCTATCAAGCACGTCAACGGTATGTTGCTCAACGAGAAGAAGGTTTATGTCGGCCATCACATCCCAAAGAAGGACCGCCAGAGCAAGTTCGAAGAGATGAAGGCCAACTTCACCAACGTCTATGTCAAGAACATCCACAGCGATGCTACCGACGAAGAATTCCGCGAGCTGTTCGAGCAGTATGGCGACATCACCTCGGCGTCCCTTGCCCGCGACCAGGAAGGCAAGAGCCGCGGGTTTGGCTTCGTTAACTTCACCACCCACGAGAGTGCTGCCAAGGCCGTTGACGAGCTCCATGGCAGGGACCTCCGCGGCCAAGACCTGTATGTTGGCCGCGCTCAGAAGAAGCACGAGCGCGAGGAGGAGCTCCGCAAGTCCTACGAGGCGGCCCGCATCGAAAAGGCCAGCAAGTACCAGGGCGTCAACCTTTACATCAAGAACCTGGACGACGACGTGGACGACGAGAAGCTCCGGCATATGTTCTCCGAGTTTGGCCCCATCACTTCGGCAAAGGTGATGCGAGACTCTCCGCTCGAGGGTGGAGAGGAGAAGAAAGAAGATAAGGAAGGCAAGGACAAGGAGAACAAGAAGGACGACGCCAAGGAAAGCGACGAGGAGGACTCATCTGACAAGAAGTCTGACAAAAAGGCGGATAAGAGGCTCGGTAAGAGCAAGGGCTTCGGTTTCGTCTGCTTCAGCAACCCCGACGACGCAACCAAGGCGGTGGCTGAGATGAACCAGCGAATGATCAACGGCAAGCCTCTTTACGTTGCCCTCGCACAGCGCAAGGATGTGCGCAAGAACCAGCTTGAGGCCAGCATCCAGGCCCGCAACCAGCTGCGCATGCAGCAAGCTGCCGCTGCCGCCGGAATGCCCCAGCAGTACATGCAGCCTCCTGTCTTCTACGCCCCTGGCCAGCAGCCGGGCTTTATCCCCCAAGCCGGCCGTGGGATGCCCTTCCCTCAGCCAGCAATGGGCATGGGTGGTGTCCAAGGCGGTCGCCCTGGCCAGTTCCCTGGCTACCCGCAGCAGGGCGGCCGCGGTGGTGTCCCCCAGCAGATGCCTCCCAATCTCTATGGTATGCCTGGCCAGTTCCCTCCCCAGTATGGCCAGCCCGGCACCCCCCAGTTCATGGCCGCCATGCAGCAAGCCCAGCAGGCTGCCGCACTTGCGGGTGGCAGGGGCGGTCCTCAGGGCGGCCGTGGCACCATGCCAGGCGTTCCCCCCAACGCTGCCGGCGGAATGCCGGGTGCCGGGGTGCCTGGCTTCCCTCCCAACAATCGCCAACAGGGTGGCGTGGGCCGTGGAGGAAACGCCAACAACGGCCGCAACGGCAATTTCCCCACCCAAGGTGGCCGTGGTGGCGACATGAACTCGGGCACGGTGCTGCAAGCTCAGATTGCAGGCGCCCAGCCCGCCCAGCAGAAGCAGATTCTTGGCGAGATGATCTTCCCCAAGATTCAGGCCATCAACGCAGAGCTTGCTGGGAAAATCACCGGCATGCTCCTCGAGATGGAGAACTCCGAGCTCATCAACCTGTAAGTCCGATGCGCAGCCATCGTGGTGAGCAGATGCTAACATCTCTAAACAGCATTGAGGACGAGGCCGCGCTCAAGGCCAAGGTCGACGAGGCCCTCGCCGTGTACGACGAGTACGTCAAGGCCCAGGGCTCCGAAGCCGGCGACACCAAAAAGGAGGAGGCGCCCAAGGCTTAGAGCTGTCGGGCCAAACCTTCTCTTGCAAAACTGAAGAGCTTTTTTTTTGTCTGTCGTTTCACCCTTATACGGACCTTTTGATTGGGATGAATCTCTAAAAATTGGAGGCAATGAGCAACAAGTCTGTCCGTGCTTGCTTGCCTTTGGGAACTGCATTATGTACCGATAGAATTCTCTGCTATTTCCTCTCGGACGGGGGATCAAAAGTTGTGGGATCGTGGTCGGAGGCGCCCTCCAGGGGCAAGAGGAGCCTGTTGCTGGACCAGTTTCCGGCGGACCATTCCACTGGCGGGAACGCAGTCGGAAGGCGTTGGGAGGAAGGGGTGTCGGTTTTCGTGGAAACTGCCTGGATTCAAGGCCTATACCCCCCCAGAACGAATGGCCCGCGTTTATCACCCAGGCTTTTTATCACGGAGATTTGCGCGGATAGGACTTCTTAATTATATGACTATGTCATGTTGTTGCTCGCCGGTTCACAAGTGATGAGGCGGAAACCGCCTTTTTGTCATGGTGATGTTGCTGGTGCGTCCTGGGCGGTAAGATGCAAGTGGGAGGTAGTACTGTTTGATCCACGCCTTTCTCCTTTTCCTGCTGCGCCTGTCGCTTTCCATTAGGTCCGACCACGTACCAAGTCCACGCCCCAGAGGCTCATGAGAGCTCGACATGCGACGTCGCTGGAGGAAACGCCGCAGACCTTGGACGCCTCCCACGTTTGTTTCGCATGTTTCTTCACACACACACACACATACACTGGTGGTACACACATGGGTACACACATTGGTACACAAAACGCCTCTTCTTTCTCTAGGCAAACCCAAAATAAAAAGGCCCAAGCCAATATGGACAAGAACTAGCCGAGCAGCGGGAGGTCGGGCAAAACACAATAATGGAAACAACGCCAAAAAAAGGGAGAAATTGCTCGAAAAACGGTCCCCCTCCTCCTCGCGCCCTTTCCGTGTCGACCCAGTTCTAAAGCGACGCAAACACAAACACCGAAAATGCCCGAGCCCGCCGTCCCCTCTGGAGAAAACAAAACGCCTTTCAATGGGGTTGGATAAACAGCGTGTTTGGAAAGGGGGAGGGGAGGGGGGTTGTGATTATAGGCCGCCGTCATCGATGGCGTTGGCACCAATGTGGCCGATTTCCGGGGCAATATCGTACTTTTTCGTGCGGTCGATGGAGTAGAGCGTTTCCATGACCTTGCTCTTTTGCTGGCGGCGAATGTCGGAGAGGTAGTCGCGCACGCCGGCGATGCCGCGGATCTGGTCCTCGAGGGTGAGGGTGCTCGAGTTGAGGCCGCGCACCAGGTGGGAAGCGAGCTTGCCGCGGAGGGACTCGAGCGACGATCTGAGGGTGAGGAGCTTGCCGTGGTGGCTGACGAGGTTGCCCTTGTTGCGCACCGTCTTGTGCCGGACGTCGTGCAGCAGCGCCTTGTTGCGCTCAAACTTGCGCAGCTCGGCCGCGCGCGGGCCCAGGATGCGCGCCCAGAGGCCCGACAGCAGCTCCACGTGGAACTCCTCCTGCGTCGACGACTCATGCGCGACATGCCTCGCCAGCTTGAGGAAGTGGTCGTCGATGTCGTCGAAGAGCGCAAACAGGCTGACGCTGTGCTCGAGCTCGTCCTGAATGGCCTCCTCGAGGGTGGATATAAAGGCGGTGAAGAGGCGCTGCACCATGCGCTGCTCGCGCTGCGGGTTGCTCATGCCGAAGACGGCCGTGGTGAGGCGGCCGAGGCGCGTGGGCTCGCCAGAGGCGTCTTCAAGGATCTGGGCGTCGGAGAGGAGGTTGTGCATGTTGTCGTAGGCGTGGGAGAGGTGGGAGGGGGGCGGGCGGGTGTTGAGACGGTAGAGATGCATCTTGGCCCAGTCCATGACATTGAGGATACTGCAGGGTTGGCAATGTTAGCAGGCGAAGCTCTTTGGAGCTGGCTTAGCGAGCGCGCGAGGGCGACAGGAGAGCGCGAGGGTCAGACGCACGCATCAATGTCACCGTCGACGTGGGTGTGGAACCTGGTCAGGTCCAGGACCAGCTTCTTCATCGTCTCGCTGATGGCATCGAGGCTCTGCACAATGGTGTTGGCGTCGGCCATGCCGCTGATTCTGACTGACTCGCCGAGGTCCCAGATGGCGATGCTGGTCGACTGCAGGTCGCGGACATGCGCAACGGCGGGTTCGGAAAAGTAAATGAGCGGCTCAAAGGAGCGCGCGAGGCCGGCGACCTTGACCAAGTCACCGACGGGTCGGGGCTGCGCGGGCTTGGCGAGCATCTTTGCGGTGGAAATGGAGATGATGGCGACGAGGAAGCTGGTGAGGACCGTGGTCCAGCTCGAGGTGAGAGCGCGGTAGTGCTTCTGGAGGAACATGATGGCGGCCTCGATGGGTCGCGTGCGCTGGAGGATTTCGGCGCGGACGGCGAAGCGGATGTCTGGCGCGGCGGGAGCGTGGTTAGTATATGAGGAGCTCGGCGGCATCTCGTGCGCCCACGACAATCGCGACTCACAATTGTCCGGTGGCGACGCTGCGCGCGCGGCGGGCCTGGACATCTCGGCAGCCGAGGTCTTGCGGTCGGCCCTGAGGGTTGTGTCCCCAACTCTGTCAGGACTGGGGCTCCGGCCCTTGTCCGGGCTCAAGCTCCCCTGTGGCAGCCGAGTGCGGATGGCCTGCTCGAGGACCACGTCATCTTCGCTGGGGCCGTCGTCGGTCTCTGGCGAAAGGGGCCTATAGTGATGCTGCTGAGGATTCCAGAAGCCGCGGCTCCGGTCTCCGTTGCCGAGGTTCCGCCACGCCGGCGGCGAGTACCCACCGACGGAACCTGTATCCGAGTCGTCGAGATCCTCCATTGGGGGCTCGCTGGGGAGGGCCGACGAGTGGCGCATGCTCGTGGGACTTGGAGGGGGCTCGAAATCCTGCAAGGAGGCGTCGAGACGGTCGAGCGGGTCGACCATGACCGGCGGGGGCGTTTGCGACAAGCGTCGAGCAGTGGTGATCGCGCAAGACGAGCTGGTGGTGGTCGCAGTCGCGGGGCGACACAGGCAGCGGCTTGTCGGTTACGAGGCGGCGGTAGGAGGGCAGTGCGGGCAAGGAGGCGGCGCGAGGCAGAGCAGGGAGCGGGATGCGCGGGATGCGCAGAGAGAGACGGGGCAGGTAGAGGGCGAGGAAGACGAGGAGGATGACGACGGAGGCGAGGAAGCTGCTTGGTGCGACGTTGATGCTGACGAGCGAGACGTTGTTGTTGACGGTCAGGAGTGACGAAGGCATGGATGGATGGGCGATTCGTTGAGCGACGAGGGGGGCGCTCTCTCTCACAGACGGACGGCCTCGGCCTCGATGTCGACTGTTGGGCGCGGGGCGGCGTCGTCGGCAGTGGCAGTAGAAGAAGAAGAACAAGGCGATCAAGGAAGCGAATAAGAAGCGATGATTCACGTCTCAGTTGTGTGACAAACGGGCGCGCCAGGCTGGACCGGACTTCAGGTTCGTGAGATGGCGAGAGAAGGAGGGAGGGGGAATCCGGCACCATCTTTTGCTTCTTGTTCTTGCGCCCGCCGTTCTCCTTGTCCTCCTGTTCCCTCCCTTGGGCCTCCGATTTGGGCCTCGCCTCGGAAGGGGGGGGGAGGGCCACCTCCACCTCGCTGCTCTGCCTCTGCCTCCCCCCTGGTCCGCTGCTCGAAATGGAAGAGGTTGGGAGGAAAAAGCAGCGCAGTGAGCGGAAGAGGTGGTTGACCTGGGCCAATCATGCGTCGCCGTGGGGTATCCAATCAGCCGTGTCGCAGACCCACACCCCACCTTTTGTCCCTTGAGAGCTGTCGACTTTGCTGCTTGCCCCTCCTTGCTGCTCACGGTGCGTGGTGGTGGAGGTCACTGTGCTCTGCACATGTACGTTCTCGGTGGGTGATGTACTGTGGTGCATGTTGTGCCTAGGTATGCAGCATCTATGTACGTGTAATCATAAAGTGCATACATACGCCGAAATGAGGTGCTACAGAATGAAAAGAAACAGAGACTCCCTTGCCCAGGCCCGTTTCCCCATCAGAGACCTGTCGCAGTACTCTGGCAGTTGCGCATGTATGTACCTGAAGCTACCCCGCTCCCTGCCGCCGCAGGCACCTCCCCCTCCACCCCATGATGCCGCACAGCAACGGCACTGCACTCTGCCCGACACGGTGCCACCGACACTGTGCACCAGCCCCGGCCGCTAGTTTGGTCTTGCCGTGTGTGTGCTGTTCGCTCGTCAACAAGGCGCAAGCCCCCCCTCGGTTCGTCCAATCCCCGTCCGCCTCTCCAAGGGGTCATGCGGAACACTACTCCGTGCTCGGCCGCGTTGGGGCGGTACGTACCTTGACAAAAAAAAACAGGTGCATACCTCCAGTACCTATCGGTTGCTACAAACAACCCGAGCTTTCCATTATACAGTATGTATGTACAGTCGACGACGCTGGCTGCATGTACGCACTCTAACTTCCATGCAAGTACTTACCTCGGCGCCTCCCTAGGACCCCGATGGTCCAAGCGCCAATCCCCATTCCACAGCGGCTGAGCCCGCCCCTCATGCTGCTCTGTTTATTTCCGCTGCCGCGAGACACCACTGCCGGGTTCCTACAATTCCACGCTCCGACCGCGATGCGCTCGCTGCAGGTCCCTGCGTCTTCTACACTTGTGCCCTGTATCAAGGAACCCATGGGTGCGGTAAGGTGCTTTCAAAACACTGTAGCCATCAATCACTATCTTGTTCCCCACACTATCAAGTACGAGCATCGGCAGGCGCTCGTCCCGCCCCCCGACAATGGCCGGCCTAGGTCACCCTCGTCCAGCCCAAAGCTTCAAATGTCGTATTTCTCATCGCTGTTTCGCTATCCCACGCTGTAATCCTGACTCCCCATGTTGCCCATGTCCCGTGAGCCCGCAAAATCCATCTATCATCTGGTATTCCCGTTCTCGCCTCACCACCTCAGTCCAAGGGAGCCGGGCCGTCTTCGCGCTGGCCTCTTGCCTCCGGGACGGTACTAGGCTCTCCCTTTCCTTTTCCGCGTGGCTGCCCCCCCTTTCATCCCGGGCCACACCAACAATGCCAATCCGCTCGGACCCGCGACCCGTTTCGCTCCCTTCAGTCAATCTTGGCGTTGGCTAAGCTTCTGGCGGCAGGATTGCTCAAGTTGTTGACTTGGCGCACTGGTGTCCGTTTGTTGTACTTGCTTTGCTTTCGCAGCCGCTTCCGAGCCACCATGACGGGAACCGAGCTCTTGGTCACCAGGTAGTTCGAAAACGATCCGAGTATCACTCTGCAAGTCAGTCAGCATCACCTCACGTAATGCCCAGAAATGGCAGACGCATCCGACAAAGCTTACCCCTTCAGCGCACTCCGGCCTCGACTTCCAATAACAACCAGGGTTGGGTTCACCAGGTCAATCACCTCCGTTATCAGGTGTCTCGGGTTCTTGCAATGCAGCACCTCCACAATCACCCGTACTTGTAGTCGAGTCTTCCTAAGGAGACGGAAAACCTTGTCCGTCATTTGATCAATCGCCCGATGCCGCTCCTCGTCGGCCCTTTTGCGATCTCTCGATGGTCCCGGCGACGATCCGGGCGTGCCGCTCGAGTCATTCCGCAGGTAAAGAGCCGATGCCCTCTTAAGCTCCGTGACAGGGCTGAGGGGAGTGGGGAGCGACTTTGCGTTTGTCACCGTGTTGATGGCCGCTGCCTGCTCCTTCATCGCCTTGGGGTCGTCTGGTACCGAGACGCCCTCGCCCGTCACGATTCCAGTCTCCTCATCCACACAGTAGATGGCAATCAATGTATCGCCGTCCCGGAGCACAGTCCCAATGGCCCACTCTAGCGCGTGCGCCGACTCGTCACTAAGATCAGTCGCCACAAGATACTTCCGGAGCCTATGATGTTCCTCTTCGGCTTGCTGCGCAATCTTGGTGTACTCTCCGCGATCGATGATGCGAATGGCACGGTGCGACTCCGGGCTCGTCATGATGCTGCTCATGAAAAAGGAAAGCTTCTGGGCCCGCTTGATGTCGTCCATGTCGGCCTCTTCGTCAGAGTCCATCATCGACGGCGTCGCAGATGCTGAACCCCGTTCGTAGCTCGTGTTGGGATGTATGCCAGTCTTGGACGGCTTGGATGTATCGCCCGCCGAGTTTGTGATCTTGATCTCGGGCTCGGGAATGAGGGATCGATATTGGTATGCGGGACGCTGCGAGGCTACTTGGCGGCCTACTTCATTGTCAGTCATGGCCCTGAGGGGTGCGTGCGGGCAACGAGGCCAACTCACGCTCTGCATCGGCCGCGGCTAACAGACTCAAGCTTTGGCGCTCTTTCCTACCCGAGGGCGATCGAGACTTGCTCTGATCCTTGTCGCCGCGCGCATCCGGGTTCAAAGATCGAGGGGCCGTCTTGCGACCACGATCTTCGTCGTCGGATGAATGGGCCTCTTCTTCGTCGCTCGATTCAAGTTGCTCGCCATCTGGGCCGAGGTAGTCTTTGATCAACCGGCCCTCCCCAAGTTCCTCGGACCGCTGCTTCCGCATGGGAAGCTGCGCCAAGCTTCCGCTAGAAAAGGCCAGGTTCGCATCTGAGAGCCGGCGGTAGGCGTTGTTGATGTCGAGCAGCTGACCGCCGCCAAGTTTGGCCTTGTTTGGCGACAGCAAGGGTGAGAGGGGGGCGGGTGAGCGCGACCTGGCCTCCCACCGATTGTGGGGTGATTTGGACTGATTGCCCAGACGACCACCAGCAGCTTCGTGACGGCCCCGGTCTCCCGGAAGCTGAAGACTGCTCAAGTCGGGCCCTCGGAGGGAGTCGCCCAGAGCACCGCTGGACATGCGCTTGTTGACCTGGGAGGCCCTCTTGGGTTGGCCGGTGTTGTGGGAGAGAATGCCCGAAAACTGATACTCGGAAGTTCTGTCGTTACGGTTGCCCGCTCGAGGCCCAAAGTCTGCGGGTCTGAGCCCCGAGCCTGAGCCCGACATGCTCCGCTGAGTGAAGAAAGATCCTTGGGACATGGATGATTTGAATTTGGGGTCGACGCTTGAGCCTGGAGAGGCGGGGCTTGCGCTCCTCAGCGTGGCCGAAGGTGGAGGCGATGGGGAGTCGAGGTCCAGCATGCTGCGCACTGGAGGCTGAGTTGTAATGACGGGGCTGTCGATATCGAGCATGCTCCTCACGGGAGCCTGTGTCGAGGGGGCGGTTCGCGTGTTGCTCGGCCCTTCCTCGTCGATGTCTAGCATGCTTCGGACAGGGGAGCGAGGTGGCGCTGCAAATGGCGACGTGGCACGCACTCTCTCGGGAGAGGTGCTGCCCTGGTTCTTGTTCTCCAGCAGGGCCAGCACCTCTTGGCGTTCCATGTCAAGCATGGCATCGATGCTCATAGGTCGCGCGGGGTCTCCTGACATGATGGGCAGTGTGCAGAGAGAACGCTCGGGGCAGTATAAAAGGGGACCAAGACTGCAAGAATCTGCAGTTGGGCTAGAGATGGCAGTGGCGGATCGTGCGGGGCGACCGACGACGTGAACGGAGTGGGCGAATGCCGCCGCAAGTCTTAGCGGGGCAGGTTTCGGGGCAGGTTTCGGTGAAGGCGGCAGCTCGTGAGGATAATAAGTCGGGGCCAGAGGATCATGGTGTTTATGGCCGTGGCGGGTGGGAGAGGTTGCGAAGTGACTAACCGGGGGCCGTATGTATATGCGTGATGGACGCTGGATGATGGAGGGGTCTGGGAGGGAGGAGGAAGGTGGGGAGATACCTTGGCTGCCAAGTGGGGAACGAGGCGTTGCCGGTACCTGCCCGTCGCGTACCGACTTCGCATTTTGTCTTGTGTTCCCGGTAAGCCAGCCGCTACTGCCCATGAATGTCACTGCACCGTGACTCTGCTCCTGAAATGCTCTCGTTCCGGCAGGCGAAAGGGGGCCTCGTAGCTGTCGTGCCACCGCTTTGGGAAGCCTCTCGCTGGTGATTTGCCGCGGCCTGCCGTCACACGGCTCAGCAACACGCCGCCCACCAACAGACGGGAGTCTGCCGAACCCAGTCAGCGCACTGCCCCTGCGGATCAGACCCCCGGGTTACCACTGTAAGTACTGCGCCTCCGGGGTCCACGCCTCCCTCGCATCTTCGACCCCGGACTTGCTGTTTTTGCTGTCCTTCGCCGAAACACAAAAATGTCGTTCTTCCCAAGATCGACATGAAACGAACCGTCTTGGTTCCAAATCGTCATCGCCTGGGCAGGAGTACTGTTGGCGGTTGTCATGCCCCGACCCGGCTTCTTCCGCATCCCCCCTGACCTCCTTATTAGCCGCTTGCGAAAGATTAAAAAAGGTTAATAGAAGCTTACTTCAAGGCACTTGCAAGGTCTCCTATACAGTCACATGATCGGCCGCGTCTACTCTGCGCGTCGGGACATCTCCGATTCGCCTGTTGATGCATCAGAGGGCAGTGACTCAAAGAGTCGCAGCGACGCCCCCAAGCTGTATGGACTCGGAAACATGACTGCGTCGTTTCTTACTCGCGCACCATCCTCCCCGCCCATCAAGGGAACCCGGACAGCAGAGAGCCCTTTCAACCGCTGGCGACACGGCCACATTTCCCCGACATTCGCACACATAGAATACATGCCCTGCCTTTCGTGGGCATTGAGTACAGCGCCAGCGACGGCGACGCCAGCGCTCACTTTACTTCTTCTTGGCCTTGCCAATCTTCTTGGAGCCCACGTTAGCTCTCGACGCCGTGCCCAGCTTGTGGACCTGCCGCCGTTTTTCCCACGCGCCCGACCTTCCCTCCACGACTGCGATAATCTCCTCGGCAATTCGGTGGGGGAACTGCTTCCGCCCACTGCCCCTTGATGGCTTCTTGTCGACGGTGTCGAGAATCCATTTGAAAGCAGTATGCCTCCGCTGTCGCACCGCAAGTGGCTGCGGCAACTCGAGTGCCCGACCTCCGCCGCCGGCTCCGACAATATTTCTGACCTTGAGAAGAGGCGCAACCGAGTCGATGGCGATGGTGATGTAGAGAATGGGGTTGAGAGGCAAATGGGAAGCCGGAGGTGTCCCCGGGAGTAGAGGGAATTTGGGACTGTAAATGGGAGCCGGCGAAGTTCGCAAAAAGTTCATGACCATGGCCATGTTCTATCCCGGATTCAAGTCAGCCATCTCTCGTTCCGACATTGGAGTGCTGTGACGGACCCTTTGCGCAACACTGAGCTTGCCATCCCGCATGAGAAGCCTTGTGATCTGCTCCAGCACCGGATGATATCTCTGCTTCAAATTGAAGCCGGGTGGGTAGGGCTTTGGGGGCAAGCCAAATTTGTGCCCCAGATCCTCCACTTCACCCTCGCTAGGCGCGACTAGCTCCAACGACGATTCGGCAGCTTGCTCTGTTGCCTCGAGAGCCTCGGCCTCTTCCGCGGGCGGTATTGATCCCTCGCGATAGAGTGCCTTTTCTTGCGCCGGTGTCAATCCGCCATCCGTCTCGGTCCTAGCAACCCGACCGCCATATAGCATCTGCTCCAAAGCTGCATCGTCCAATCCAGATATGTAAGAGTCCTGCGACGTGTCTTCGACCTGAGCAACAGCGATTAGCGAAGGCCTTGACCGAGGTTGAAAGGTGGCGGCGGCTCTACCGGCATGGACGACGATTCTGGCACGACATTTTCCGGGTCTATCGATATGGACGATTCCTGCATGGCCTTTTCCGAAGAGCTTTCGGCGTCGATGTTGACCTCGGTCGCGCTCGGAGCTTGGGGCGTCTCGGCGGGATTGCTGGGATGGCCATGGACGTCGTCAGAGTAGAATCTCGTAGCTCCTCTCGTTTGCCAAAAGGTCTCTGCTCTAGGTCGCAGAGCCGGCTTCGGGCGCAGCGCAAGGGCTCTGCACGCTCCCCAGACCCTCCATCCTGCAGACATGGCGACTCTGCGCGGTTGTGGCGTCCCAGGGCGCTGTCTTTTGTCCGTCTTTGCTATCGCGTGGACAAGTCGATAGACGACGAAATTTCCGGGCTCTGCAGAGCTCCCAGGAGCAGCTCGGATTAAGGCTGCCCCGGACCCGAGCTCGCAGTGCTTCCTTGCGGATTACGTGATCCCCCAGTCTACCACGCAGTGAGGATGCAGTAATTATCCGTAGAATCACCAGACTTTCCTTCATCTACCACGCCGTGAATCGACTGTCTCGAGAAGCCAGCTCCCACTTGCATCGTCGGTGGGCAACAGGCGACCGCCAAGAAATCTGCCTATCGGGAGAGGAAGTACCGAGTGATCTGGTCATCTGCTCGATTCCCTCTCATTCGGTCTTGTGCATGAGTCGCCGCATGGCGGTTGGCTGGGACGACCACCCTATCAGTCCTCACGCCCCCACAGGCAATGGCAAGCTGCCATCGGCTCGCCTTCATCATGTGAAGCTCACCCACCTTTGGACCCATCATCTGAACGCTCGCCTGGGCTAAACATCACTTTCGTCGCTTTGCATGTGTCTGCCCGGGTGAGAAGAAGAGCAGCTACACAAGTAACAGCAAAGCAAGAACAAGGACGCTGAATTATGAACCCATATTACGAATGCCTGCCCGTCTCGTCATGCGCCAAATCATGTTGCGAGCCCATCCCGCCCATGGAGTAACATACCACGTCTTCTTTTCGTCGGCCGTTTCCTCGTCCCCGAGGTCATCAGAAGCATGTTGGGAAGCAGATCCCCTCATTAGGACGAGAACGGTGCTGGCTCGACTCCTGATGCCTCGGTGTAAGATCCCGGTCGCCGCCTGTGTGTCTGGGACAAGGACTGGCTGCAGCCGTTATCATGCACGGGGCTTACAGCTGAGTCCCGCGCTGTCCCATGTCCAAACGATGCCAATTCTATACCCCCCCTCTCCGCAATATCCAAGGCGTACCTGCAAGACCAAGAAAACCGTCGATGAGGCATCTCGTGACTGGCCACTGGGGCCCTTGCAATCGACAATGGCAGTTCCCAAGCGGCCCTCGACTGTCGTGGCACTCACCATGAATTCCAAGATTGACTGGTCGAAGTGGTGCTAGCAACGCCAAGCCAGGTGACTGCGCATTCAGCGGCATCCTCTCTGGCATTGTTGAGGTTCTTGCCGTCATACCAATACCTGGCTTCCACCGTCTTGCCGTGGACGATGACCCGGCTCGACCATGCAGTACGGCCACCTAAAACGGAGCACAAGTCAGTTAGTTGGGACTCGTTTCTTGCTCTGAATGAGTTGGCCTGGCGGTACATACCGCGGCGATCCGAAACGAGTTGGAAGACGGGCGGCAGTAGTTTGGCTTGACGGCAGGCCTCTGCGCCACCATGTCAGTCCGGGGCCATTGGATAGGAGACGACGGCGCGGGCTGCGGTTACCTTCAAGGCGCTCTTGCCAGGAGAGGCTCGCGGAAGCGTTCGACCCAGTCGGGCTGTAGGTGGACGAGGTGGCCATGGCGTGTCGTTTTACCGGCTTCTTCCTCTTCTTCCAACAAGGGCAAGAAACAACCGGTGCTAGAGAGGTGCAAGGACAAGAGACTGCGAGCTCTGCTGGTCGTGGAGGAAGTCGTCGTCGACTTTGGGACTAGTGGCAAGGAAAACGTCTGCTCGGGAGGATAAATCAGGTGAGAGACTGGCACGGAGTTGCTTGCCGCAAAGGTCAGACAAAAGGATGACAGTTTGGTCTCGGTTTTCTGGCGAGACCGGTGTGGTAGCCGGCAGGTCTTATATAGCTTCGCGGTCCCTCGACGATACTTGGAACAGGCGAGGAATGCCGAGCGCGAACGAGGATGGGTGTGTGATGTGGCAGCGGCGGATTTGGTGCAACTGGGGGAGGCTGACGACAAGCTTGTGTGAAGCTCCGAGACTGGCAGACGTGGACAGGCACGGCAGACTGCATGAAAAGGGAACGACAGAGAGAAGGTGAAAAACGTCAACCAAAACCCGAGAAGAAAGAAAAGAAGAGAGAGTGGAAATGGGCCTAAAGAAGAAACAAAGGCCATGAATGAGTGGTGGGTGGATGTGCTGGTAATATGACCGGGGGATCACCGCCGAGTTGCTTTTTGTGGCCTACAAAGTTACGTACCGACCTTGGCGATGGAGGTCAAGTAAGGTATGTATGTTGTATGTGTGCATCGTACAGACACGATTGCGTGCGTGTGTGTGTGAATGCACAGTAGGTTGTGTGTTGCTCATGGGGGCTCACGCCATGTGGTGAGGTGGTGCGGAATAGGGTATCCCTTGGCCCCTTGTTGATAAAAGGGTACACTCTCGGTGTACAAGAAAAGCTCCGGAACCTGCCCTTATTACACAGCAAGCATAGCACTTTCTACGAAGCACAGATAGATACTATAAGTGCAGTCTAGAAAGAGATAGCCGAGGGAGGAGGGAGGGGGAGCCTAATGGTCGGTAGTAGCCCAGCAAAAGCAGTGATGACAAAGATCTGGGCTTTGAAGGGGGGGGAGAACAATAGAGGGTGGTTTGAGCCACGGTGAGAAGAAGAGCATCATGGGACGGGCTGCGGGACGGGGCACGACTGGGCGGGCACAGGGGATGATTGATGTGGAGGGCACGGGCGTGCGGGTTGCGGCCGCGGGCCTGGGACCGGGGGTGGAAGGTAGGGGGGGGGGGAACAGAGGGGGGGGGGGGTTGAGGAACTGCCTAGCCCGGGGGAAGAAACGCTGGCTCTGCATCGGGCTTCTCGTTGGCGATGCTGGACGTCCGCACCTTGGACGGGCCAACGGGGGGCAGGGCGTACGGCAGCGGAGGTGGCAGCGGCAGCAACGGCAGCGGCAGCGGCAGCGGCAGCGGCAACGGCAACGCAACACCGCTCATCTTCATTGCCCACGACATAGCCGGCAAGGCAGCTCGGTAGGGCAAGCATGTCGCTGCCACGCTGCTCGGCCTTGCTGATGGATAGCAGATACGGCAGCCAGAGGAGATATATCGCACGGCATGGACGCCCGGCCCCCGGCGTCGAGCGAGCAAGCAAGCAAGCTCTGTTGGGCATTGATTGGGAGAGGAAGAGGCGTCGTTCTTGGGTTCCAATGCCCTGGCCAAGCTCTTGGTGCTCCTCCTCTTGACGACGATGACGACGATGGTAATTGTCTGTCTGCATATGTCGCATGAGAGAAATCACATACCTCCGGTCTGCCTCTCCAGGCCTAGGCCTGCCCATGTACTTGGCATGTCGGTATGTATGTAGCTCGCCGAGGGGGATGCAGGGTGAGTTGTATCCGGCAGTGCCCACTGCAGTAAGTGCACAGTAAGGCCATGTTTGTTTGCGTGCGTTGGTTTTACCATGAGATGGGAAAGCAGCTAAGGCAGGCTGTGAGATTGCCTGCCTCATCAAGTCGTCGACTCTTCTAGACTCGAGAGCGTGGGCATTTTCCAACAAGGGGGTGGCAGCGTGACGGCCACGTAAATCGACTCGCGCACAAACCCACATACATGCTGTACACTGGCTCCCACTGACTTGGTCTCTCTCGCACACACTTACTCTACACTCGTCCACACACGTCTCTTCTCCACCAACCAGACGAGGTCCAGTTGCAACGGGGCCCGAGGTCAATATTAGGGGTCCAGACACTCTGTTCATGGATCCCACTCCACATAACCTTGCCGTCGTGTACCAATCCGGAACCCCACATAGCTCCACGCCGTTTGACAGACAAGCAAGTCAAGCAAGTCAATCTGAGCTAGCCCAGAGACTTGCTGTGCGGCATTGGTATGCCCAGGAGGTGTGGGTGTGGTGCGATATGCCCAACCTGGACCTCCCCCCGTGACGGAACAGCCTTGGGCATGTACCTTGGGGTGCTCGTCGGTGCATTAAGCTCGACAACAAAGGGCCAGCAAACACAATTGTCGAATGGAGAGGCGGACCGGGGAAAGATGCCGTGGCGTTGGTGCGGATCTCAGATTGGGCGGGGGTCGACGGCCGGCTGTGACGCAGCGGCAGCTGCAGGCGGGTTGTCAACTCGGTTGCCTGCCAAACTTGGATGGCGAGAAAACCAACGAGTGAAGCATCATTCCGAGTAGACTTACTGAGCTCTCCCTTGCTAGTCGGCTCTGCCCAGACGGCTAGCGGGACATTGGTGTGGCAGATCTAGGATTCATCGGGGCGTCTCAGATGGTGGCTGGGTTCCAGAAGACTGGGGTAATGATGGAGTTTGCTCCGTACAGTACGGGGAGGTAGGTACGGACTACGGTACCGGACAGGCGGTGATGAATAAGCCGAGGCCATAAGTTACTCCGTCCTCCGTGGATGATACGAGCTTCTTACCTGGGAGGATCATCACATGCAATGTCAATCCTCACCCTCTCCCTCTCAGCCACTCAATCTGCCGCAACGGCCGGCAGTCATCTTTGCACCGGCGAGTGCTAGGGGGGGGTTCGGGACTGATAAGGGGGCTCTTGTTCTGTACCTACCTACTACGTACTTAGTAGCTTGGCCTACTCCGTAGGTGAGCCTACAAGGTCGTAGGATTTCGTATCGGCAGCCCCTGGACTCCTGGCGGCACTGAAGTGGTACCCTGCAAGTTACTGGCCTGCCGAGAAAGTAATGCCGAGCTCCGATGGCTGTTGATCCGGTTCCCTTGCTCTTCTTCTTCTCTCTTCTCTCCCATGACGCCTCTCTGGCCTCTGGTTCGCCATCGTGACGCAGGGCAAGGTGTCGTCTCCTGCGGGCGCCTCACAGCCGCCCCTTCATCTCCCTCGACCGACGGCACCGCCCTGCAGGCCCTTGTGCTCGACTCTCTGCTCTGCCATCGACGAATGCTGCTCCGGCCTCTCGGATGCCCTACCAACCACTCGCTCCGTGGCCATGCATTTATCCGCTGCCCCGGTAGCCAGAGAGCAACTCAGCAACAGCTGGCTCGCTCCCGCATCCTGCTGTGCTGGGCCAAAGTGCAGCTAGAATCGCATCATCAGCCAACGTGGCAGCCTGTTCTGCGTCGAGCGACGATCGATCCATGCCACCCTGTCTGCTTGTTTGCTATCACGTCGGCCTCTAAAACCTGGCCAACTATGCTCGACGCCATCCCTTGCCCAACTTCCTCGCCAGCTTTTGCTACCAAAGCAACATTCACGGATAGTCAAGAAACAAGGCAAGACAAGTCTCGAGTGAGTCTTTGGGGCCAAGCGTTTATTACAGCAAACTCAGACTTTTGTTACACAACCGTCATCATGCCTATCTGATCCTTGATCCTCATCCATGGCTTAGCCCACGTGCCGCTCGTGGCTGCTCTTCTCGCCCTTCACCGTCCCCGATCTGTTCTATAAAGTGCAAAGCTTCTCTTCAAGGCCGCCGTTTCCCCCTCATGTGGAGCACGCATGCGCTGGGCTGACGTATCTGTGTGCTACAAGGCCATCAGCGTGCCGCACAGCCTTGGGCTGATGGTCGGGCTCGAATGCAGTACCATCAGATGGAGCGAGTCCTCATCTGTTTTCAAAGCTTGATCCAGGAGTGCGCTGGCCGAGTGTACACGTTTCCAGCCCCCCATCCGCTAAATCAAACCAGACGTCATCTCATCTCGTATGAGGGCGAGGACCTGCAGGTCAAATGAGGATTGCTGTGGCAGCCTGAACAGATCATCTTCAGTGGTGGCTCCAAATGCATGGGGCCACGATCGTCCACATAACTTCGAGGCGCCCAAGGACAGCAGGTTTCCAATATTCGGGACGAGTACCAAGTATACGCCCAAGAATCCCGATCTGCACCGTGCAGTTGCTATACTTCCACAGAGAGTCCGTCTTCCCGCTGCACACGGCAAAGGCAAGTCGGCAACTGATGCGCCGCCGAGCTTGGACTCTCGCCGCCGCCTCCACCCTCGCAGTTGCAGGCATCTCTGCCGCATGTTTGTTCCAACGTGCAAGGATCGAGAGATATGCGGCTGCCAGCCAGCCTTGTATCAGCTGTGGTCACGTATAACATGGTTTTTGATATATACACAACACATCTGAAGCAAAAGTCTCCCCGAAACAGACGCTACAGCAGCCGGAGTCGCACACAAACTCCCCGAACGTTGTTCCCTTCGTGCACCATATCAGACGACTGGTGCTGCGAGGAGCAGGGACCGGCCATGGCATGATGGGCTGCAGGGGCCAGGCCAGGGTATCCGGCGAGTTGCCTCGGTTTGAACCAGATGCTCGAGGGCAGGCTGCGCATCGGGCCCCGGTGGCGCCCACAGCTCGCTCCGCCGTTCATGTACTCGCACGGGTAGCCGATGGCCATCTGTTGAGCCCCGGAAGACTGATTATGCCATCCTGGGGCGAGCTGTTGCGAGCACCCTTTCCAAAGATCTTGCTGCGAGCCCAAGTCGCTACTTCCGAGAACCGCACAACAGGCCAAGCCGGCTCTGCTGCATATGTGCAATGGCGCGTTCATGGTAGACTGGTGGTGTGACGGGGTAAGGGCTATATCCCTGAATGCTGTGCCATCCGCCTGTGTTTCATCCCGTTGCCGTCGCAAAGAGGGTTCCCGCCCGTGGCCTCGTCACAGACGCGGGCGCACCGTGCCGACGCGCCACAAGGGAGTTGTCGATCGCATGAGCAAGGCCCTTCACCGCTATACTCGACGCACTCGCGCCCTCCCGAGATCTGGGCCACATCGGGAGACTCCTCACCCACGAGATGCTCGTACGGCCACGCGTCGACGGGCGGGGGAACTCGAGTTGGTGCCACGCCGGTTGCTGATCGGCGCGCCGTCGAACACATGTGCTTGCGCCGGCAGCCGGGCGCGGCTCGGGGACGACCACGATGCCACGGATTTGTGTGTTTCCATGCAGAGCTGAAAGGCTTCTATCGCTGGGGCACAGGGAGAGGTAGCAGCTTCGTGCGCAAGGCGGCCCTGAGGGAAAGGATCCTCTCTCCCCACTGGCCCCCCTTTCTCACCAAATCCCGATATGCGATGAAGATGGCCAACCATTTGCCGGCGAACGATTTTATTAGACTGGCAACACTAAAACAAGAAAAAAACTTTGCAACAGGAAGAAAAGAGATTGACTCGAGGATTCAAATATACTTACGACGCGAGCGACGTCACGTCTACTTCGATATACCGGGCAAGCGTCTTGCACAACATTCGAGGCCCTCGTGTTCCTCGCCCCAGACGTGGTCTCGTAGCGCGCCGCATGCGCAGCAACTCTTGTCCTCCGTCTTGCTTCCATCCAGTCCTCACACCAACGTCTGTACTGCAAGTGCCCGACGTCTGACGGTCCAGACTGGAACAGAGTCGCCACCCACCACTGTCGATAGACTATGTCGCCTCTTCCCCTTTCTGCCCCCGCTTCAACTAAGCTTGAAGCTTCCACTCGTACCCTCAAACGGCTTGATATTCCCAAACAGCGGCTTCGCATCACCGTAGTACTTGAAGCGGTACGTGCCGGCCCTTGCGTTGCCGGCCGTCTCCCACGAAATGTCCGCCTCGCTGTGCCCCAGCAACCAGTTTGTTCGTCGCCAAGAAAAGACGAGGAACCAGTCCCTGTCGTCGCGAACGCGGCGCCACGAGCCATCGGGTCCCTGCTGCTCGACCGCGGCAAAGGTCTGCTCGAGCCGCAGGTTGTTGCGGGGGTTGGCGCCCTGGAACGTGGCCTTGGCAGTGGCGCCGAGCGCGTACGACGACTCGGGCTGGCGGATGGAGCGGCCGAAATCCGAGCGTGGGGGATGACTGTCCAGGACGACGCCGGGGATGAAGGAGAGCGCCCTGCCGCGGTTATCGGGCGGCAGCTTGCCCTGGTCAGGGGAGCCGGTCGAATTTGGATGAAGGTAGTGCATGTTGGCGACGGTAAGGTTGATGTAGGCATCGAGCTGGTGAGGACCGAAGAGCGTCGAGGCACCTTCGTAGCGCTGGATCTCGTACTCCTCTGGCGTTGCGCAGTAGTGCGAGTAGCTGTTCGCCGGGCCGCCGAGGACGACGATGGGGTCTTGGTCCAGGAACCTAATGGCTTCCTTGGCGACAGCGGCCCTCCAGCGCCGGCCGCTCATCGTAGTGGCCTCGCTGGGGCTGACGATGATAAGCAGCTGCCCAACGCGTAGCGTCTGGACATCGACGATGTTGGGAGTCCATGCATATGGTTGGTCCATCTCGCCGACGTCGAGGAGTACCGGCTTGGCACCCTGGCACATCTTCTGTTCCTGGCTGGGTGTCCTGATCAGTCCCGAGACCAGCCTCCACAGGGGATTGGCGTTCGGCTTGCCCGAGTCGCCCTGGGTGAAGTCAAAGGCACCGGGCCAGTCCGAAGTGCCCGCGGCGAAGGAATAGCCCAGGGCGGCCGGACAGGTCATTGCTCTCGAGCCATTGGGCAGAGTAAACTCCCAGAACCGCATGTCGTGAAAAAAGTGAAAGGCCTTGACACTGGAGCCGACGACCGGGGTGCTCAACGCGTCGAGCGAGTCCTGGTCGCCAGTGAGCCATTGCCCCTGTGTGATAGATATAATGGACGGAGTGTCCAGGGAAGGGGAGAGAATATGGACTTACATAGATTTTCTTCGCGCCGGCAAACTGTCGACGACCTATCTCGTAGCAGCTCTTGACACCTCGGTCAAGAGCCCGAAACTCGGGCCCGCGGCCGTGGCAGCTCTGTGACTTTCCATCCGCACAGGTGCTCTTCTCCAAGCCGCACTGCTGCCCGGAGCCGTCGTCGCAGTAGGCGCCAAGCACGTTGGGAGTGGTATCGCCCACGTTGGCCTGGCTGAAGCCCGCGACAAAATCTCGGGTGGCTGAACTGTCGCCCTTCATGGCTTCCTCCAGCATCCACGCTGCGACACCCTTGTTGTCGGCGGCGGCGTGTGTGTGGTTCCCGAGGAGGGAGGTGCCGTGGACGGGAAACCAGGTCAAGACTCCCATGCTCTTATGGTCCGAGGCACGCGTAAAACGGAGCAGGGTCATGGTCGTGTCCGTGTCGGCGTTGTATCGGTCACGCTCTGCTTTAGGGTTGGCGAGGTAGGCGTAGAGGGAGCGGTTGATGGCGCCATCCTTGATGGTGGTGGTGCCGACATCGAGGAAGCCCTTTTGGTGAGTAGAAACGGCGAGTCAATAAGAGGGCAAAGACAAGAGAGAAATTTATCACGCCCACCTCCTGAATATTCTCGTGAGCACGTTTAATGGAGAGGACGGCACCGTCCACGAGGGCTTGATAGCTCTGCTTGTCGAAGCCGCGGGTAGTGATCTGCGGAAGGAGGTAGTTGAACCAGGCGCCGGGGCCAGCATGGCTGTGGGTGCCTGTCAGGGCCACATTATTGTGGCCGTAGAGCTTGTACTCGTCACCGAGGGCCTTGAGCCCGTCCAGGACGCCGAACCGCGTGGCCGTGTCTCCCGACTGGGTGTCGAGGACCAGATAGACAAAGCGGTCTTTGGGGTTCTTGACATCGGCGATGATAAAGGCCCGGCTGTGGAGGCGTTGGCGAAGCCCGGTGCCGACTTGCTCGAGGTTTGCGTAGCCGGCGAAGCCGATCTCGACTACCGGACCGGTGATGTCGGCCTTGCCAACGCCGATGAGGTACTTGTCCCCACGCCGGGCGGCGGCGGCGGCGATGCTGAAGAGCAGGAGCGAGAGAGCGATGGCGAAGATGGATGGTCGAGCCCGGCCTGCGCATGGCGCTCCCGAAGACAATGCCATGGCGGAGTAAGAGGGCGAGGAGTGTTGGGATGAGGAAATCGTTCCAGCAGGCGAAGGAAGCTGGAGATTGACGCTGGCGAGCTCCCTGGCGAGCTCCCTGCCTGGCGCGAGTTTTATGCACTGTATGAGCAGAGCTTCAAGCAGGGCTTCAAGAAAGCATCACGCTCTGGCGGCTCGTCGCGTTAGGGCAGCGACGGACGGCACGCCGCCTCCGACTCGTGACCGGCCATGACCAAGTGCCGGCGGCTCATTCATCAGTGAGCGGGCGCGTGCCTATCTAGAGATCAGCTCTTCTCTGTGCCCGGCAGCAAGGGGGAAGAAAGGAGGGGGCGCGGACCATGGGAGGAGAGTGATACCTGATACCTGGCCAATGAGGAGGCGCGGGCAGCGACACCGAAGCACAGAGGTGGGCTGTCGGGCAGGAAGGAGCTGCAAGTCAATGAAGCTTCGCCAGAACAGGCTGGTGGTTGAAAGCGTCGTGGTGTGTACCAAGGGCCGTGTATTTCTGCTAGGCCCAGTGCCTTGCAGAGTACCTCGAGGTACAATGACGTTGAAAAGAGGTGGCATCCATTTCACGCACGCACCCGGCAAGACGGCAGCAAGAGCCCTCATCTGATGCCATCACCATGGGCCTTGTGGATATTATCATGTGTACATGTACGTAGCAGATATGGCTACCTAGGTAGGTATGTATCGAGCAAGGCGAGCGCTGGCGGAAGGGAGGGGTGAATTGCATACGCCGCACAGAGTAGACGATCCAAAATCACACCAAGCAGCAGTGGCTTCGATAAAGTATGAGCTTGCTTTCACCCGCTTCTTGGCTGCCCGTCTTCACAGTCGCAGCCGGCCTGGGTCATGAACACACTGCCAGTCATGCTCCGTGCGCCTCTCGCCGTCGTCGGAGGGCCGGCGAAGCGCCCCACAGCAAGCGAAGCCATTACATCGAGGCCTCACCTCAAACATGACATGTCCATCTTCTCTGCTCACCATTAGCCGCAATCATCGACCTGGACCGCCAGGTCGGCTCATCGTCAACGGCTTAAACGGCTTGCGCAGCCGATCCATCGATGGCGGCGGGCCCATGCTCGCCGGCCGCCTCACGCCAGCCAGGGGCTTCGACGACATGAAGGTCGTCGTGTGGAAGCTCGCCGCCGGCCGTAGCGGCTCCGTCGCCGAAGCCTCCTCCTTCGCCTGCGCCTTGTCCGGCGATGGCGGTCGTGGCGGAGGGCTCGAGAAGCACGCGTATTGTTGCCTAGGATTGTCGTCTCGTGGCGCCAGCGCGTTTGGCCGCGTGAATGTCCTACCCTGCGGCAGCCTGTGGTGAGCTAGTGCCGGATCGATGCCGGGCTTGGAGGCGTCGACTGATGTCGGCGCAGGCGCCGCTTGGGCAGCATGTCGCGATGCAGCAGCTCGGTACCGGGCAAGTGATAAGTCTGCGGCCACAGCCTTGGGGGGCGGCGTCTTCTGCGCCCTCGGCTCTTGGGTCACGAATCCAAGGAGGCTTCGTTGATCTGGCCGACGACGACAAGTAACCGTCCTTGGACCTTGCTTCGCAATGGTGGCTGCCTTTTCCTGTTCAATCGCCGCCGCTGCCGCCAAAGCCGAGTGGTGAGCACCCGCAGAGACAAACCCAGGCAGGGACGACATTGTGAACTCGGACGCGCTCTCCATCGTGGTGAGGTAGTCTGGTCGCCACGGTTTTTCCTCTTCGTCACCGCCCTCTCCGTTGTTGGAGTAGACGGTACGTTGCCGCTTTGAGGTCCTCGCAAGGTGCCCGCTACCATCTTCGATGCCATCAGCGTTTTTGGGGTCGAAGGGGTCAATCGGAAAGAGGTCGTCCTCTGGCGAGAACATGGGGGGAACCTGGGCGTAGATGGTCTTGTCCGTCGGCGCCACCCTGCCCAGAATATTGGCAATCCCCTCGAGAACGGGCCCGTCAAAGGATGGCCCTTGGGGAGCAAGCGTGCCCGCAAACGGAGACACAAAGGGCGACAGCTCGACCTTATTGCCCGTCCCTTGCGATCCATAGAGTGGGCAGCTCAGGTAGAGCAGCGCCTGGGCCCGAGTCATGGCCACATACAGAAGCCGCCTCTCCTCGTCAGAGTCCTCGGCGCGGGAGTGAGGGATGGATCCGGTGTACACTGACGGGACGAAGACAATGGGCCACTCTAGACCCTTGGCAGCGTGTATGGTAGAAATGGTCACCAGCGACGCCTTGTCCCCCTCACCGCCATCTTTCTGCGCATCAGATGCCAGGGCCACGTTGGCGAGGAAGCGGCTCAGCAAATCGTCGTCCTTGGCTTGCTCGACGCCCTCGATCTCCGGCAGAGCTTCCTCGTCCGGTTTGCCGAAGTCGCGCGTGAAGTCCCCGGCTAAGTTGACCAGCTCCTGGACGTTGGCCCATCGTCCCTCATGGTCTTCAGCATACTCTGCCTGCAAATATTTTTTGAAGTCGAGCTGGTGGACAAGATCTTCAATCAGATCCACCAACGTCAGAGGACTGCTCTCGGTCAGCTGCTCCACCTTTTTTCGAAGACTGGACGTTATTCTCAGCAGTTCCGTATTTAGCTTTTGCTCCATCTTGGCCCTGATGTTTGTCTTTGCTCCTCGCCCTTCCCGGCAATGGCGCCACAATAGCTTCCATAGGCTTATCTTGGCCTGCTCAGCCTCCTCCAAGAGCGACTTGATGGTTGTTTCTCCGATGCCCCGGCGCGGAACGTTGATGACCCTGGCCAGTGCGTCGTTGTTATCGGGGTGCTGGATGACGCGGAGATAGTCGAGTAAGACCTTGATTTCCTTGCGGTCGTAAAACTTGTGCCCGCCAACCATGCGGTACGCCACACCGGCCTTGCCGAGTGCGGATTCAATGTGTCTTGACAGAGAGGCAGACCGAAGCAGGATGGCCACGTCTTCGAACTTGAGCATTGCCCCGCAGAGCATGACTGCTCGTCTGATTTCCGACACGATCCATTCCCCCTCTGCGGCCGAGCTCTTGAGTTTCCTCAGGACCGGCCTGGCGCCCCTTGTGTGAACGGGGACCAGCCGTTTTTGATAGCGCTTCTTGTCCTGCTGGATGACATTGAGCGACATGTCGAGAATCCACTGAGAGGATCGGTAGTTTTCTTCCAAGGAGACCTCGTCGGTCTTGGGGTAGTCGCGCAGGAGGCGATAGAGGTTCCGAATCTCGGCCGAGCGCCAGCCATAGATGCTCTGGTCGGGGTCTCCGACAATGGTGATGCGGTGGCGGGCCTGAGCGAAGAGCTTCATGAGGTCGTATTGAATGCCATTTGTGTCCTGGTATTCGTCAATCAGCACCGCCTGGATGTTTGAAACGCAGGAGGGATGGTCCTGCAGGAGCTGCACGCAGTAGACGAGCAAGTCGTCGTAGTCGAGCAGGTTCGCTCTGGTCAGGTGGGCCTGGTACTCGTCGTAGCAAGATTGGAGGGCCGCATTGACCGAATTCTGGCGACCGGGCTGGGCCGGCGGGGGAGTGGTGCCTTTTGCCTTTTTCTTGCTGATCCAGGACCTTGCGTAGGGGGCCTCGATTTGCAGGCTGAGGCGCTTGCATATCCTCTGGATGATGGCTCTCGAATCGCCGTCGTCGGCGATGCCAAAGTTGGAGTCGAGGCCAATGCGGCGTCCGTACTTGGCCAGATAGCGCCTGGCAATGGAGTGGAAGGTGCCCAAGATGATTTTCTTTTCCAGTTCCTCACCAAGGGCCTTGGCGATGCGCACCTTCATCTCCCGGGCGGCCTTTACGGTGAAGGTGGCGACGACGATGTCCGAGGGCGTATAGTTGGCCTGTTGGACAAGCCAGACAACGCGGGAGGTGAGGGTATGGGTTTTGCCGCTGCCGGGCCCAGCGAGAATGGCGACGGTGGGCGCATCGGAGGTGACGGCGCGACGTTGGGCCTCGTTGAGAGAGTCGAGGCGAGACATGGTGGTGAGCAGAGGAAGGGTATCTCACTGACTGACGCCCTTGGGCCGAGAGCAAGTTGTCAGAGCCTCTGCTCCGAGCCAATTGACACCGGGGCGTCGAGCATTGCTGCTGGAAGACGCGATCCGTGGATCCGTGGACGCCGCTGGCCGTATTTCGCGTCGTGGCGCGCAGTCAGGTGATTGGGGGCCGGTACATGTGCGGCAGCGAGTCGATACCTGAACCGCAGGCGAGCTACGGCAATGCTAACATGTAGCGGGTACATTGACGCACGACTTACACGGTACAGATAGTCTCGAAAGCAGCAGCCGTTGATCAATTCGAACGGCAAGCAAAAGGCCAGTTGAATCACTCTGTCATGCCTAGGAAGCAAGTCGTTCGAATGCTCGACACAATCAAGTGAACGGAGAATTGCCAACGTAAGGCGTTTTATTTTTAGAAAGTCACAGCAGGCGGTCCGCTGGGCGCGTTGTTAGTGTCGTGAGGGAGTCGACAAGATAGGACGCCGACGGGTACCTACCTTGGGTACCTTATGTTAGGTTCTCGCTAAAGTGCCCAGCACTATTCTGCAGAAGCAGACTTGGTGCAAAAGCTCCGTGGGTAGCAAGCTGGTCGGCATTGCATCATCAGCCTCTCCGTCCCTTGCAGACTCTCCAAAGCTGCTCACAATATTCCTAGGCAAGGCCAATGTTCCATTTTACCGCCTCTCCAGCCCCCCAATCATCGGCTGCAACCACAAATCGCACTCGACGGACCGCACGCTGCTGCGGGGGAGACGAACTGCGCTGGTTCCCCACTGGTCCTCGCCCCCCGTCAATCACCCCGGGCCGGGCGTCGACCTCGGCGCTTAGCCACCCCCTCTGTCCAACCACACACCACCATCCATCCCTCTTCTGCAGCGCCCATCACCACCATGCACCACGCTGCAGCCAGTGGCCGTCGTTCCCTCCCAGGGGCCCTCCCTCAGCTCCCAGGGGGCCTCGGCGCTTATGTACTCTCCCAGCTTTAGAGCCTGCTGCAACGTCGTCGTAAATATGTCTGATCTCTCCTCGTTGTCTCCCCTCCCATCCTCCGACTCATGTTTCGTATGCTGCCATCAGGAGGTCTCGCTGCGGCATCCGTTGCCTCCTCTTAAGGCCTTTTCCTCCTCCTCCCGCCATGCCGCGAGGGCTCATCGCCCCACTACATGCTCTCACGGTTCTGATTCTTTCTTGTCTCGCCCATTCCGAGCCAACCCTCACCAGCCTCAACAGAGCTATAGCAGCCCGCTCATCACCCACCGCCCAGGCCCACGACGCGCCGTTGCTCTTCCCTGGAGCCTTGCGTGACCCGTCCTATTTGCCTGCGGAAATCGGTGGCGTCATCGCAGCCTACGGCGTGTCCCTTGTCTTCGTCGCAATCACTCTGCTTGCGCTGGCAAAGAAACGACGCGAGCACCTCAAGGCCGCTCAGGACGAGTTTGTCTTTGAAGCACCGGCAGACTTCTGCAGCCCAGATCGCGCTCCCGGGGAACTTCATTCTTATCCAGACGCCGCACGAGTGCCCAATTTCTCCTACCCTTCACCCATCAACACCGACTTCAACGTCTCGAGCCCTCACATCTATCCGTCGCCGACGTCGACTGCCGGTGCCCCGGGAGTCGATCTTGCTGTCGATCAGAGGGTCGTTCAGGCAGACCGAGAGATGGCCCAGCAACAGCTCGAGGAGATGTACAGGCACGTCATGGAGCACGAGGAGGCCAAGGAAAACGGCACCGTGCCCGACGCACCCGTCATCCCCAGGCCGCCTCAGAATCACGCTCCAGACTCGATGGGCTCCAAGAAGGAGAGATCCAAACCCGCCAGCCTCAACCTCAGTCGAGGTGTTGAAGAAAAGTCACACTCCAAAGCACACTCTTTCTTCTCCGCACTCCGCTCACCCAGGAAAAAGTCCATCAAAGGCATCTCCATTTCCTCGCCCATCATGACGCCGCATTCTTCCACTTTCCCAGTACACGACTTCCAGGAAATGAGTCCCATGGCCCCGAGGCCTTACGCTCCGGCACCTCCAGCCCCCGATCAACCGGCCGTTGGCGCACCAAGACCCCGCCGCAGCGCCATGCCCCTGACCCCAGACATTTCACCCCAGAGCGTGCAGACCATAGATGAGCGCATCAGCGCGTTGTCTGGCACCGCCAGCGGCAGCAGACAAGTCTCGCAGGCTCCCACCGAGGCGGACCCGGCATCGGCCACGTCGGAGCATTCTCAGGTCCCTCTGGTCGGACTCCCGTCGTCGCCCAAGCCCTCGGCCAAACCTCCCCAGCTTCCCTCGTCACCCAAGCCAGGTGCCAGCTTCCGGAAGCCCAACGCTCCTTCGGCCGTGCGGACAGGAGGCACCCTGCCGCTACGAGCCTACGAGCCGGCCATGAGCTCGCCGTCTGCCATGGCTTATACCACCAAGCAGACGGTGTTTGAGAGGAGAGGGCCGCTCTCCCCGACCACGGGCAGGACCCCCCGCACGGCTGGGGCGGTTCCGTACTCGCCATATCAGCCCAACACGCCCTGCATACCGGTGACGCCGTCGCTGGTCACCAAGGAGGACAGAAGACGCATGAAGAGAATGATACCCAAGACGCCTACATTGGAGATGGTCAAGAGTTCCGACGATGTATGGTAGCGCGTCACCTTGAGTGATCCGAGAAGCAGGAAGACGGGCCTGGAGAGGAGTTTGATGGATTATGACTTTGTACATGTCACTGAAGCTGGTTTCGAGACACTTGAGGGCGAAGACGACGTCGTAACGGCTGTTCTCCTATTTTTCCGTTAGATAAATTGCTTGCGAAGGCCACACTCGCGGCAAGCACTGTTCATTCAGGTGGTAAAAAAATACATTGACACGCCTTTCATGTCGCTTGGCCAGGGCCTGGTCGTGTAAAGGCCCGTGGACGGGCACATCATCCAATGTCGAATGGAGCGAGGCGGGCACTTGGGAGAGAGTACTGCTCCCGCTGAGCTCGGCCTGGCTGGCATGCCAATTCAGAAGTCTCCACGCGGAGCATCTCGAGCCGAGTCCTGTCCGCGGGTCAATATGCACCGAGAACCTCTGTGGGCGGGCTGATGGTTGGTTGACGTAACATCAACCACTTCCCCTCTGGCTTCTTCATGCAGACATTTTCTTCTTCTCCCACCTGGCCCCCATTGCCCGAGTCCAGAACCGGGACTGTCTTTGGCTTATCACCGATGCCCCCTTGAAGGACGTCAGTTCTGGCCCTCGCGTCGCAAACGGGGCTCAGCGGCTGGCAACTCGGAATTACCGAAGGCGCGTGGATGGGCTTTTGTCCATCCCTGCCCGATTGCCGAACCGCCGCGTCGCACGCCGAGAAAGGTCCAGGGCGACAGGCTTTGCTGATGCAGTCTATGATCTCTTTTGGACATTGACTGGCACACACAACATGCCGCCCGAAGTATAGTGCCAGGTGCCTAGGTATGCCAGGTTATTCACGGGATGCCCTATATAACCGGCACGTATACGGTGAATACAGATATGTCACCGCGGGCCGCAGGCCGGACATTGCCGCTTCGGACCCGAGTCCTCGGATATACTGTACGCATTTATTAGCCGGCACGACGGGCCTTTTTTCTTCTGAATTTCTCGTCCCGTTCCCTCTTCTTCTGATACTTGTGCGTATGAGGCTTTGCAAAACCCAGACGCCGCAAGAACGGAGAGTGCAGACAGCCCACGTAAAATGCTAGAGCCCTACATTATCCCGCCCACATGCCGGGTCTATGCCCGGAAATGTGCATTATCAAAGCGGAATTACCTTGATTCCAACGCTATGGACATCCCTCCCCATATTCTACACGTATTTGTCTTCTCAATTGGAGCAGCTAAATATGCATGCCCTAGTGGCCAAGGTTGCTGTTGGCTGGCTATAACAGGAGTGCTCAACCTTGGTTCTCGGATAACTGTTATGTTCGCCCCTCGCCTTCGTTAGAATGCACTGCAAATGCCGTGCTTGGTGCGTACGTAGGACCAATTCTACGCAGGGTGCCGTCTTGTTTCGAAATGCAGTGCACAGGGCAGTGGCACAGGTGCGAATCACGGCGTCAAGGTTCGTCTCGCAGCGTCAATGCCACATACCTGAGTGCATGTATGTACGACCCCGATGCCGCAGCATGTCTCTCGCCCCGGACGGTGGCGTCTGGTTGGCCGGCACGAACCAGCCTGGTGACAGAAGGAGCGGGTGGTGGACCCGGAATCTATTGAGCGGTCATAGGCGGGCGAATCTTTGGCAGGAATAAGTTAATAACCAAGTATAGGCCCGGTCGTGCTCCGTTTAGCCTGATAGCAACCGCATGCGAGGGACGAGGAACGAGTGCATATACCGTCCTGCGCGAGAGCCAGGTCAGTGCCCCCCATGCCGAACTTCAGCATCATGTCGTACAGCGATTCCTCATCTGCTGCAAGACCCAAGTGCAACTCTCCTTTGTACGAGCTGGGCACAGCCGTGTCACCGATAAGGCCAGTCGCGGTTGGCAAATCGGGCTAGGATTTCCCGCAACCTTTGGTCCAGTGGATATCGATGGCTTCGGACCAGCTGAGCGGCGATGGTTCAGCCGCAAATCAAGGTCAGGACCGGCTCTTGATTTATGATGACTCAACCGGGCCAGAGCACGTTTAGTTATGGCCGTTGAGGGGCGTTTGAAAGACTGCTATCCAAAGCCTTTGTATGTGATATGTGCCCGGCAGTTACTCCGATCAACTCTGGCCATCTACTTTGTACAGCAGCACAACGTAGCCCGAAGACGAACTTTTAAGGTAGGACCGCGGTAAGATGCCGGTATTTCCATAATCAGGACATGCAGATATCAGGCCCTGAATCACCAATGTGTGATGGGGATGGGCCCCGAGCTAGCCTTGGCAGTCAGCTGTCAACCCTGAAGAGGTCCGAACCTCGACCTGCCCAGCACATGGCAGAGTCTGTGGGCTCGATATGCTTCCCTTCCCCCGTCATGTAACCGGGATCAAGGCGGGCGCTACCAAAAGTTGGTAGCACGGTCACCGGCAACTTCCTGGGTGATGGGGTTACCACCGGCGGCGGCTTTGAAATTGGACGAGGGCAGTGCGTCGCCACGCCTGCCAATACCCTCGAATCCCAAGATCGACGGAAGGGGGCCATCTTGAAGTGAATCCACAGATTGCCGACGGCGTGGTGGGTCACGCCTTGCTCGGTTGCAGTCGGCAAGTCGAGGACAGAGAATACCTAGACAAGCTCCAGATAGCAAGGAGGAAGTCCTCCGGGCTGAGCATGACAAGTGACAGGCAGGAAGGGAGACGCGAGTCAGAGAGGGGGCGGGGGGGGGGGGGCGAAATTTGAAGAGCACCGCATCCCGCATTCTGTTCGCGCCGTTCCGCGCTCTTCGAGATGCAACGCGTGCCTGAAAGTGCTTCGTGTATGCGACTTTTGGTTGGAGCAATAGACGCAGGCGAGAAGGGGGCGGAGGCGAAAGATCTGTATACACGCCCACCTACATACCAAGGCACATATATCACAGCTTTTTCATTACCGGACTGTACTGTATCTTGAAGCCTTGCCCGGTGTGTGTCACTGCCGTCGGCGTATTTCCGCGGCTTCTGCCGACCCCAAGCGGTAGCACAAGTGGGCTGCAAGAGTGTCTTGTTCAGTATCAAGGCAACCTGGCTCAAGTGACTCGACATTGTCGAGATCGGACAAAACAGGTGTAGCCAGGCCTACGATTCACCTCTCTGACTCTGCGGCAAAGCACACGCCTGAGTACTGCATGCGGGTCAAGGCTCTTTGGTCTTTTATCTTTTTGTGACCGAGCACAGCAGCGTAGAGGTAGGTATGCCGGTCTCTGGGCCGTGCAGCATCGTCACTGTCAAGTCAAGCCTCAGTGACGCCCGGATCAGGCGTTCGGATGGACAGGGCCCGAGTTTCCCTCAGGACCCAGGTCAGGGGAGGGATGCTGAATCGGTTGGCGAGGCCACCATCCCGGCCCGGCAGGTGGTCCCTCGCCCACCGGCGACAAAGGCAAACGGCATGTCGCCGACGGACTCAAGAGAGGGCACGGCGCAATGTAGACCCGAGAGAGTCGGAGAGCCGAGAATTCTTGTTTTCTGGATTGGAAGAAAAGACCCCCCTTCCCTCCTTATCTCCTCAGCAGGACACGTTTCAGCCACCGGGAGGCGTGTTAAGGCCCACGGTGGCTCTTCGCTTACATGCATCCATGATAAGATGCGAACTGCCGGCTGCGAGCGCCAGCACCACAGCAAAGTAAGTGAAGAGCCGGGGCCGTTCATCCGCGTATGTACATGGTACTGGGACAAAGGTATACAGGTGAGTCTTGGTTCAAGAAGATGAGTTGTCTGATGGCAGCCGTATAGTGCTTTGGGTTCGCCTTTCTGGTTGTGTGTGTGTGTGCTGTATGGGCAAGATGTCTCCGAAGCTGAAGAATCTTGTTTGCTTAAGCGAGCAGACACTGACAGATGAAGTCTTGCCCTGGCGCTTCCGTCCGCTCTGGTCAACAACAGTCGGCCCGTTGGGCTGCAGCATGTATCTGCCACGTACATACATACATACATACAGAACTGCGCCTTGGCTTTGCACATGGGTGTGCTACGTGGTATCGCCGCTGACCAGAGGACAAGGACGGACGTGGATTGTAGGCAATAGCATTTGGCGGTGCAGGGAGGAGGGCCGAGAGCGGAGGCCCGCGTCGCGCCAAGCCGAGGAGCCAAGGAGGAGGCATTCTTGGGACGAGCGATAGCCGGCGTCTAGGTAGCTGACGATGGGTGCTAACTAATGACGCATCGTGGGTTTTTCTTGTATCTGCGGCAGGGGCAAGAAACTATCCGTGACCAAAGGAGTCCTTCAAGCGACGGAGTACAGGGGCCGGTAGTCTGCCCTCGCGTTGCGGCCGGTTGCTCGCAGACACCGGTGCCCCCTTTTGGATCCTCAGCCCGGACTTGATCTCGCGTTTTGTAGAAACTTGAAGCAGAGACATGGACAAGCTGCAAAGCGGATTCGAAATTCGTCTATGCACTTTTGTCAAAAGTAACGCAGTCTGCCTTGAGTCGCAGAGAACGGCCGATAGAGTTTCGTAGTGCCGCATCGCCGGTCTTGCCTTGCAGCCATTCGCATTATCCAGTGCAGATTGATAATCTTGAGTTTGCTGCACCGGAGAAAAACAGGTGGAAGGGGTGCTGGATCAAAAGAAAGGTCCACTCTTGTTGATTCGACCAAGGTGCCTGCCTGCGTTGTGCATGGTTCATGTTTGTGCTGTATGTCCTGGCAGGCTGAGTTTAGGATTGGCCGTTGCTTTCAAGTCACTGGCAACCGATCAAGCCTACTTGGTAGGTAGGTAGTGATAGTTTAACTAACTACGAATATTTCGTACAAAGAGAACAAGGAGGCCTGGGGACGGAGGAGCGGGAGGCGCCAGAAAAAGAAAAAGAAAAGCGTGGGGAAAACGGGGCCTTGGCGGGTGACGACATTACCTAAGGCAGGTACGGATGCATGACTCTGCACGGCAGGCAGGAGGAGCATCTGTGGACTTTAGCGAGGAAAGAAGGAGATGCGGACTTGAACAAGGACCAGTTCAACCCGCAAAGCAATCTACTGTACCTAATCGGCACATCCATTGCTCCCGATGGCTCATCTCGCCTTTGGCGGGCCTTATCGAGGCCCGCCTGGATGCTAACCGAGCGAAGGCGAACTACACGCCGCTAGGTGCTAAACGCAACGGGCCGGCAGGCAACACCCTGCTCTGCACTCGGTACGGCTCCGCTGTACATGCAAAGTACACGTCAGGTACTTTCAGCGAACATGGAACAACTGTGCGTCCTTGCCGAGCTGCATGCATGTACGAACAGGACCTTGGCCTAGGTATCTGTACCAAAACCAGTGCTTGGCTTAGATATCTGTACCAAAACCAGTGCATCATCAAACGAGCATGTTCCCATCGCGCAGGGCTGCTCTGCCAAAGGAGCCGATGATGTGTGGAGCGTAAGGCGGCGACGACGACATTTATTATTATTATTATTAGGCTGATGGGTAGATACCGGTAGGTACCTACCTACCTACGGATAGATGACGCGGAAGCTGTCTCCACCACCAGCCCGGCCTCATGGCAGTCTGCAAGGACGGTGCAGGCGTTGGGGGCTGGTGACCTGGATGTACGGATAAGTACACGGGCCTTGTTCGACAAGTGTCTCGCGGTAACAGCCAATCAGAGCCCGACATCTGCTGCCTCGTGCGCGCGACAACGACCACACCCTCCACGTCCCGGATCGTACGATTATTCTGGGGATCCATCCGGCACATGCCGCACGCCCCCGTAGCGAGCGAGGCTTCTCCGTCTTGTCGATTTCTCTTCTGCCTGTCATTTTCCCATGCCGCTTTGTCAGGCACTTTGTTACAGACTGCTTTCTGCGTGTCGCACGTGGGCCTGATTGCGTAGTCTCTCGCTCACAGTCTGCGCTGCCTGCCTCCGCATCGAGGACACTAATCAGTACGTACTATGGTACGGCCTGCAGGCCCACATGAACCAGTACATACATCCCGCCCGCACTTGCCTTGCTTGCTCGCTCTCTGTACAGTACTCCGTACAGTACCTCCTATAGTGCCTACCTAGGTAGGTACTAGTAGTAGGTAGGGGCGGGCTAATACACTACGGGCAGCACCAGCTGCGCTTCCTTGCAGGGCCTTCCAGAGCCTTTGCCGTACATTGCAGCAGGCACAGTACGTACTTGCTAGGGGCCGGCCACCCGCTTAGCACCCGTTGAATCCTCCGTCCCGACCGAGTGTAGTACTAGAGGTGCTGTACTGTACTGTACGTAGGAAGTCTGCCATGCTTGTTGCCTTTCTCGGCAGCCCATCCCCTCATCCGTCCTCCCTTTTTCTTTTCCGCTTTTTTCTCCTTATTCCCTTCAACCTCTGTGTTTCACCACCGATCCCTCCGCTCGTTTAAAGGTCGTTGGCCATCCCTGTCGCCTGACCTTTGCACTCGGCGCTGGCAACAGAGCCGTCTCCCGAATCCGAAGCTGGTCGAGGCAAATATCAACCAACAGGGCCATTCTCGGCATTAGGCTCCGGCGCAGAGCCCGCGGACACGAAACCGGCACCCGCGTCCCATCGGCCTTGACCCCCGTCGACTTGTCTGTCTCGAAATAGTCCGCCTTGGCTGCTGCACCGGTCGCAATTCTTGGGGAGGGGAAAGCGCAAGCTGCAGTCTCGACCCCTGCTGACTTTGCGCGCTCGCTTCCCGCTGCCACCCTCTCTCTCGTCGCTTGACTAGGGAATACAATACATCCAAACTTTTACCGCCCATTTGCGCCTCGTCCTCTCCAAGAAGAAAAAACCAGGCGTTGCGGGCACGCGCGTTGTGCGACATTGTCTGTCCGTCCGTCGTCTCAAATTCCTCCTGGCCGACTCCCCCATCTTTTCTTCTGGCGCTCCGTCCGAGCATCCTTCGCACCTACATAATTACATACGCCTACAGACCCTCGGTTCCAGGATTGGCTATATTTGGTGCAACTCCTGGTTTTCCCAACCGATTTGGGTTCTCTGACCCGAGCACGTCGAACCGATTCTGGCCCCGTTTCCCGCAATTCGCCCGGCCAAGATAGCAGCCAGCTATACGCCCCTATCGCAGCGCATGGGAATACCGCACGCCTGCGTCTTTCCCGCCCTTGACGTCTTACCACCGAACCACGACAACTTCCGCATCCAGTGGGTTCGGCCAGCCTCGAGCCAGCTGACGGCTCCAGAACACGTCGAGGATTGGCCGAGCAGAATCTGCCGCACGCCTTCCTGGCGCTCCCATTCGCCTCGGGCATCGGATCCCTTTCCACCTTGGCACCGCCTCGCCTCGCCCGAAACTCGCAATCCTCGATGGCTGAGGACGATTCCACGGGCCGCTTCGGGCTCGATGAGCCCGTTTTCGGCTTCATGGGCGACGCGAGCGCCGTCTCCGATAGCAAACTCGAGGCATCAAACGCACCTTCCGACAGCAGCGGTCAGGCCTTTACGGCTCCTCGCCTTGGGACTTCAAGTCAACCCCACTTTCGACTCGTTCGACGTCAATCCCGCTGGCACCGCACCTCCCGTTTCAGCTGGGTCCGTGGCTCCCTCGTGGCCGCTACCCGCATTTGATCAGCCGCAGCAACAGCCGCAGCAGCAGCCACAATCACAATCCCATCAGCGACCGCAACCGCACCGCACCCGCAATCCCAGGCCCAGGCCTCGTCTCCCTCGTTTGATGGCTTCCCACCCCCGTGGACCCGACGACCGTCTTTGGGCCCGGTCAGGGCAATCCTGGCTTGAGGAAGCTCCCGACTGCAGGCACACATCTTCGTACGGCTCAGACCATGTCACATGAAGAACTTCGAAACATCGCCATGCCCCCTCACTTGCAGTACAATTCGCCCAAGAGCGCTTCTAGCCCCGACTCGGCCAATAGCGAGGTCAAGGCCGGAGCTGGCTCTTCACCCGAGCTGATGGGTCCAACAAGCAGGAAGGATTCCCGAAAGCGAAAGGTGTCTGACGAGCTGGAAGACGACGATGATGTAGACGACGAGGATAAGCCCGTGAAGAAGACGGCCCACAACATGATCGAGAAGAGGTACCGGACCAACATCAACGACAAGATCGCCGCGCTGCGCGACAGCGTCCCTAGCTTGAGGATCATGTCCAAGAGCGCCAGGGGCGAGGATACGACCGAGGATCGCGAAGAGCTCCACGGCTTGACACCTGCGCACAAGCTCAACAAGGCAACCGTAGGCAATCTCCGGACGTGTCCATACGTAACCTTCTTGCCACCGTACTGACTGGTGGAACAGGTGTTGAGCAAAGCGACCGAGTACATTCGCCATCTTGAGAAACGCAACGGTCGCCTGATGGACGAGAATAGCGCCATGAAGGAAAGGATTGCGGCGTTTGAGAAGCTCTTCATGGCCGGCGCCATGAACGGTTCCATCAGCCCGATGCAGCATCCCCCAACTCCAATGCAATATCCCCAAGAGAGCCAACAGCAGTTTGCTAATTCGCCTATGGCAACGGCGCAAGAGAGCAATGCCAACCCGGCCGGTATGATTAATGTGCCCGAAGACATGAAGCGCATCATCTCGGCCCAGATGGCTGCCGGCCAACCATGCCCGTGCCCCCGCAGCCGTTCCGTGGAGCAACCCGGCCGTTATACGCCAGCAGCAGATACAGCAGCAGCAACAGCAGCAGCAGCAAATGCAACAAACCGGCTGGGTAAACGCAAGCCCGTACTTTGGAAAGCTCATGGTTGGCTCTCTTGCTGGCCTCATGATTCTAGAGGCCGTGCGAGAAGACGAATTGAGCAACAATGAGCCAGAGGGCAGGGGTCTCTTCGCCATACCCTTGCAGCTTATTGGGCATGCGTCGTCAGCGCTCGACCTCCACGTCATGGGATTCCACGTTTACGTCTCTCAAGCTGCTACTATTCCTGGGCTCCATCTTGTGGATCCTTGTCCCGTCGCTGTTTGCATCGTCGGGTGAAAGGGTCAAGAAGCAACAAGCGACTGGACTCGAGCGCGCGCCGTCCCTGGCGTCGTCGATCGACGTACGCCGCCAAGCGTGGCTTACTGCAATCCAAACAGTCTGGGTTCCTCGGCACAACTTTCTCCTCGAGGCCTCTGCGCTGATCCTCAAGGCCATCAAGCTGAGCCTGCGCAATGCCATTGGCGTCCATGGCTATCAGATGTTGACTGGACTGACTGAAGAGCAAGATACTGCGCGCGTCAAGGCATGGTCAATCGCGCTCGACTCGCAACTCGCTGGAGGGGACATTGACATTTGCAGGAGTCGGCTTGTCTTGACCTTGCTCGCTTCGGGCACCCTGCCCGACACCCCTGTCCGCTTGATGCTCAAAGCGCTCCACATCCGCGTCCTTTTGTGGGACTTGAGCAACAGCAACTGGCAGCTGGGAGCCATCAACGCAATCGCCGCAAAACTTGCCAGGAAACGGTGGAACGAGGCGCGTCAGCTGAATCGTCTGCTTGCTCGGCTCCGGCGTGGCTCCGCTGCCCCGCACGAGCATGAGCTGCCAGAGCATCTCGTCGCATTGGTCGAACAGGAATGTGATGATGTGCTGAGTGCCTCGGTCGTGCAAAGAGCCCACAATCTGGCCTTTAACGTGGATACCACGCACAACGCCGGCAACTCCATTGACGGCATGGATGCTGTGGTTGACGACGCGGCGGTGGGTTCGCCTATGGACGCTGTTGCGGCTTGGTGGTCGACTCAAGTTTTGCACCACGTCCTGACTGCCACACTGGACGAGAATGCACCGGCGCTGCGAAGCCAGGAGCAGAATATCGCATTGGCCATCAAGGTTGCGCCGAGGGGCTCCGCTGCTCAGATCCGCGCGGCCCTGGCCGGTGCGGTTCTGCTCAAGGGGTCTCGTGGCGAGAACATCGAGCTGGCTCGCCAGGCGATGGCGACGGGGAGGGCGGAAAACACCATCAGCGGCTCAACCCTAATGTTTGGACCTGTTACGCGCCCTGACCGAGACTTGACATTCACCTCGACTGCGCGGTTGCGATTGCTCGGCTCACGGATCCAATCCAAGGCAGGCGCAGACACGCGATGTCTGGGCCTGGTGGAAGGCATCGCCAAGTCGGAGCACATGTCGTCAATGACACTCCTGGGATTCACTGCAGTGATGGAGCTGATGAAGCACCTGTTGAAGCACGAGGCTGTCAAGCACGAGCTTGAGGTGACTCTGGGCAAGCTTTCAAGCAATCTTAGACTCTGGATGGGCAGACCGCGCGCAAGGAAGTGCGGTGTCAGCTCCGAAATCCGGAACAAGATGGTCGAGAGGTGTCTTGCGGCGACAAAAACATTGACGGGACCGGACAACGACACTGGATACGGCAGCTTAAGCGATACCGAAGACATGAATGTCTGATGGCCCTGGACCGGCAAGATGGCGTTTAGGATTTTCTTGTGCGACAGATACCAAGACACTCCACTGATTTCAGTTCTTGCACGACACTGACATGTTATGAATACTGCACGATCATGGACAGGCGATTCCGGCGACTAGTGGATCTGATTTTTTGTTTGTTCCCCTTAGTTCGTCTGCTACACTTCCCCTGACGTTTTCGTGCGCAGGTGGGTTTCCTCGATATGTAAATATATTCCAAACAAAAACGCGGGCAGGGAGGGGAAAATGGTGGAGCATGAACTGGTAGGAATCAGGCGGGAAGAAACATAGAGACAGACCAAAGCAGCGAGAGGGTCGCGTTCGAGGCTTTGCCTCTGTTTCAACCATGCGTCGTGACCGGTCCGTCTTTTCCCGCACATGTTACGCCTTGTACTCGGAGGCAGCTTTGTCCCTCTCGGATAGAACGGCCATGTCTATCACTTTGCTCGGCTAGAGTTGGACAAAGGTTGCGCGATATCCGAAAGTGTGTACACAGATGTATGTATCGCTGCGCCCGCCAGAGCATAGGAGAGTTTTCGAGGGCCAAGCCGACGTCTTGTTTGCTCTCTTGCTGACCATCTGACAACAGAATCTGTCCTTGTGACACTGCATTTCCGTGTGCTGTCTCCGGGTCAGACCACCTTTTATTGTTTTGGGTTTCTGGTTTGCTCGCTGCCTGCCGTAATGCTCTGCTTGCTTGTCGTCACGGTAGCCTGCCTGGCAGGTTTTGGCAGGGTCCGGGTCAAGACATGGGGGTATTTATCAAATGACTGCTGCCCTCCTTCTCCCATGTATGATACCCAGCCATGAACTGTACGGGATCGATCGAGGTTGCGTGTTGGTCTCGGTCTGCCGGCTCGGGCTGCGATCGGCCCCAAGGAGGAGGGCTTCGGGACGGTTTCCGAGGGCGAGGAGGAGGGTGGTCACCGGGCCTTGGTTGGTTGGTGGTGTTGATGCTGCGGATGCTTGATTGCACATGCATGCAGGCTCGTGCAAAGCAACGGTCTGCCAGCCGGGCTCGCTATACATACTCCGTACGGCATAGACACGAATAGCTCATCGGGGGCGAGGGGGCATCCTACCGAGCTTCCTTCCGCACCCCCTCCCCGGTCTCTCTCTCCATGCGCCCTCTCATGCTGCGTCAGATTCATTCGGGCACGACGACTCGCCAACTCCCCTTAGGTCCGGCCAACAAGGCGCAGGACAGGAGGCGGCAAGTATACGAAGAGCGTCATCAAATCACTGCGCTCCGTCACTTGCGCAGCATGGGAAAACCGCAAAGCCACAGCAGCACGCAGTCGACGGCGTTTTGCCTCGTACCGCCGACATCTCTAGTCCAGAGCGGCCAATGTGCAAAAAGACTGTGGCCATGATCTCTCAGAAGCTGCCTACCACTCCGGCACCTCCCAGCCTCCCCGGCCATCAGCTCGACCGGCTTTGCCATGCTCGTCCCGGCTGCGCCGACGCCCGACCTATCGCCCTTGGGCTTCCTCGCCCGCTGCCCGGTCCGCCGAATCCTGCCATCCAGCTCCGCAAACGGTGCCTCGCCGCTCGCCTTGCGCACCTTCCAGCGGCTCGTGCCCAGTGCCGCGTCGAGCTCCTCCACGGGCGGCAGCGAGGTGAACCATGCCATCCGCACGGGCCTCCACGGGAAAGTGGCGATGGAGAGGGCCTTGTCGCTGCTGCACGAGCCGTCGCCGAGGTCGAAGTTGCGCTTGTGGAGGGACAAAGACCACGGCGACCGCTCGGCGCTCGAGACGACGCTGTCGTCGCTGAGCGTGCCGTGGTTACCGGGGTCCTGGCCTGGAGGCTATCTGACAGCACAAAGGCGCGTGAGGGCACATTTGCTGCGTGGCGTAGAACCGGCCCCTGAAGCGCCAGACGGCGAGCTGCGTGTCACTGCGCTTAATGGTTGCCGAGATACCGTTGGGCAGCGCGTCGGCGCCATTAAAGTGGGAGGCCTCGATGACTGCGTGCCACGACGCATTGCTCCATCTCTCCCGTAAGCCCTTGAAGTCTTCTTCGGCCGAGCCCTTGGTCCAGTAGACAGGCCGGCTCTGGCCCTCCTTCTCGACCTCGACCGTCTCGACGCCCTCGTCCGTGTTCTGAAACTGCTTGAACTTGGCCGCCATGACCGGGCTCTTGATGGCCTCGGCCCACTCGTCAAAGAAGCTGCCGACGAGTTCCGCATTGCGCCTCGAGAGATGCACAGATGCCCAGCTTGTCCTCGAGCACCACCTCTCGCAAATACGTGATCCCCGGGCAAGCTCTCGAGCCAGGGGCTGTGCGCTGCAGCTTGTCTGCCGTTCTGATGTAGAACATCAAGTACCGGTCGAGGATGGGGATGACTTCAGCGGGCGGCGTCCTTGGCCAGAAGCTGCGCATGCCTGGGCTTTGCACCGCCATTTCCAGCGATAAAGACGTTGAAGCCCTTCTCCGTGGCAATGAGACCGAAGCTGGGCCTACGTCAGCGTGGAAACACTCGAATTCATTATGGTAAAGGTACTCTTTGCTCTGAGCCTCTGCACACTCGCGCACGCAGCCACTCACGCCGCCCTTTATCTTGTGCGGCGCTCGTATCTCTTGTACCGCTCTTCCAACCGCACCGCCATGCCGACGCTGTCGCCAATTCGAACCGGCACCAAGTCGTGCCGACGCAGCTCTTGACCGTTCTCAGCGACTTGGCATAGGCGTGGCCGGATTCCATGCCGGCCGCCACGAGCTGGCCATATCTCGACAAGATCCTGCTTCCTGGCGCCAAACATGTCGATGCGTTGCCCCGTGATCTTGGTGTACAGGTTGTACCTCTTGGCCTCCCCGATGACGAGGAGCCTGTCGGGCGTGATCTCGCCGCCTGGCACCCGAGGGACAACAGAGTAGGTGCCGTTTCGCTGGATGTTGCCCAGGAACCGGTCATTCGTGTCTTGCAGGCCATGGACCGGCTTCTCCATGACGTGCCGGTTCCATGGGATGCGAATATGCTCGCTACGGCGGGCATAATTCGCATCCCGAGCTCTCCTGTCGTTGCCAGCCTCGCGCATCACCTCGGGCAAGGTCGTCAGCCGCTTGACCATGATGATGTTGAACAGGTCGGCGCGTGAGAAGTTGAAGTGGGAGCAAAGATGGTTCTTGACTTCGTTGCCCATGACCGCCATTGTCTTGTTGAAGATTGTGGTGACGAGAGGCATGCAACCGCCGCACCCGGTGCCGGCCTTGGTGCAGGACTTGATGGCGCCAATATCCTTGCAGAGGCCGTCTTTGACGCTCTTGACGATGTCGCCTTTGGTGACATTGTGGCAGGCGGATTGTGTCGTCGTCGGATTGTCATCCCAGCCGCCGCCGTCTTTCTGCGCTCCGGGATGAGCTGGCCCGGCATGTCGAAGCTCCTTCATGTTCTTGACCAGGGGCACCAGCCTCACGTAGTCGCTGGTGTCGCCAATCATCATGCCACCAACAAGGTATTTACCATCCGCGGTGAATATGTACTTTTTGTAGACAATCTGAAAGGGGTCCTGTACGTCAACGTTTGACCGTGCTGGATGGTCTCGGTTCCCGCTCCCGCCGTGAAGCTTTTTGCATATCGAGGAGGACGCGTCGGTCCGTCGCGGTCAGAGAACGATCGCCGAAACTGGCGACTTCAACTCCGAAGCTTCAACTTTGTGCTGAGATCGGGTCGTTTGAATCGAGGAGTGAAGCTTGGCCTGTGTCAGGTTGAAGGCGAGAACCTCGGCCATTTCGACGCCGGGGCGATTAGGCCAAACGTCTGGCCCTGCCAACTGGCACATTCCCCAATGGCGTAGACACTCCGGATCGCTGGTGCTCAAATCATCATGGACAACAATCCCGCCGCCAGCACATTCAATGCCAGCCTCGTGGGCCAGCTCGTCCCGGGCATTTACTCCGACTGCGAAACACACAGTCAGAGCAGTCCATTTCCGCGCCGTCCTCGAACACCACCCCGTGACGTTATGAGCTTGGTCTGATTTGATGCGTATTCTCTTGCATAGCATCACATCTAGACCGAGGTCTCTGACTTGACCAACGACCATGCTGCCCGCGTCCTCGTCTGGCTGTCGGCTCAGGACCCATTTGTTCCGCTCGACGAGCTTCACCTCCGCAAAGGACTCAAGTCCATCATGGCTTTGGCGGCTTCAAGACCAGCGGCCACCGCCAACCACGGCGCCGACGGTCCCTGCTTTATCGCTGGAAAGTCTATCAGACTGGTCAAGTCGTCGATGGTGCGGTGAACAAAGACGCCGCGTGCGTCGTATCCAGGGTTTTGACGGGAAGCGCGGCGTTGGAGCCAGTGGCAAACAAAGGACATCGTACGGCACCACTCTCCCATCTTGGCAGAGAACGGACCTTTGTGTGGGCTTGATGCCGATGACCTTGGTTTTGATGTGGTATGTCAACGCATACTTGGCAGGGTTTGGTACTGCAGTTGGGTTGAACATCGGTGAGCCCGATCCAAGCGTAGACGGACGACTTGCCCACAGAGGATTCAAGTAGAGCTCGTCCACTTTGCGGTGTTGGAAGAAGCTCGTGAGACCGACTCGGTTATAGGCGAGATGTGATTCCTCTCCCAAAACGGTGACGCTGTACTCCCTCGCTCGAGCGTCGTACTTGAAGAGCTTCTCTGCATCGAGGTCAGCCTGGCAGCCTGACGGACAAAGGCAAGAGAAGTGAGGTTTGACTTGCAGGAAGGCCATGGCAACCATGCCCAGCCCTACCGACAACTCTCTTGGTATTTCTGCCATGGTTGAGGTTGACGCTGGCTGTGCTGTTGATACGTAACGGGTAGGAGAGTAGTTGGTCGGCCAGCGCGGGCTGGGAATGTCAGCTCTTAAGCTTGGCGTGTTGGGCGTCGTACAACCATTATGTGAATGGGTCGAGACGCTATGGCTGCTGGTCCTTCGCGGATCATTGAGCCGTTCATTATCTAGCTGGAGCAGCAAGGCCCGCCCAATCAGCTCAACGACGCGGTCGAGCTGTCATTGTCCGCGGAAAGGGCTGGGCCTGATCAACGTGGATCAGGAAGGCGAGCGACGCCGAAAGAGTGCCGGGCTCGGCGTTGCCGATGGCGCATATCCATGGGGCGATGTCGCTGGGATGTCTTCGGCCGCCGATTCCAACAACAGTCTCTTGGTAAATGAAAGCCACTCCCGTCGATTATCCAGGAGAACGCTCGGGGCATCTCGGGGTGCGGAAGAGCGGCTGCGCTGATGGAGGGTTCGTGGAACACGGAGGGTGGCATGGGGAGCTGACTGACGCGCGCGATAATTGGCTCTGAATTGGCCTTATCGGAAGCCGGTCCCTGGATCAGCAGTCGCCAAAGATACAGTCAATGTCAATGTCAATGTGGGTTGAAGAACAAGGGTCAGGGTGCTGTACGGTGCGTCAGTGCATAACCAGGTGCTGCTATGCACTGTACCATGGGCTCACGCTGCGTCGTCATGGCAGTAATTAAGGCATTTCTCTCGACAACGCACATCATCACCAGCATCGCTGCCGCCGAAACAACCCACACAATGGCCAGCACAGCGCCGGCACCCGCCCCAGCAGGAGAGACGCAGCATCGTCCCCCTTCCCTTCCCCGCAGATACCACTTCCCGCCTTCTTCACCCGCCAAACCAACCTCACCACCCACCACCCCAGCTGTCCAAGTGGTCGCTCTCGTCCTCGCTTCGCCCGCCACCACCGCCTCTTCCGCCTGCATCTCTCGGCCGCCGACTCGGACCTCTTCCGCAACCGCCGCATCGACCGCCGCCTCAGCCCCGCCGACATCCGCGACCTCCTCGACTTTATGCGCAGGGACGGCCGCGCAAGTACCTCGATGCAAGGACTCGGGCGACGTCGTCTTTGTCCACTGGAGGAAGCCGGATGGTGGGCTGCCGTCGTCGAGGCTTATATCGAGGACTCGAGCCAAAGGACAGCGTCTTGACGCTCTGAGCTGACCGACGGCAGGCCACGAGGAGCACCGGTCGTCGCCGCCTCTCCTTCCGCAACCTTGCCTGTGCTGACGCACCTGCAACTACGGGATGGATAGTCAAGTACTTCTTAAGGCGCTCAACATCCTGGTCAAGGGGCAAGGCTCAGATTTTCGGCCAAGGACTCTCTTGGCGTTAAATTAACTAAAACTACTAATAACCCTTAGACTATTATAATACTAAAAGCCTAAGACTATTAGAAGTTATATAATAGCAGTCTTTACTTATACCTATAGCGTAGTATAACTTAATAGCTAAGAAGAATCTATAGTTTAGTTATACTTTATCTACTATATAATACTAAAGGGCTTATATTAACATTATAAAAGAAATAAAAGATATTTAAAGTTATCTTAAAACTCCTATATAAAAGCCTTATTTATATAATTAATAACTACTTAGTACCTTACTAAGATATTAAGCGACAGATATAGTATCTAAAGTTTATAATTAAAAGCAAGAACCTAAAAAGACTAGCTCTTTAAGGAAATTAATAAAGTAATAAAGGAAGCTAAATCTAATTAAGGCAAGAAAAACTTCCTAAAGAGTTAAAGAAAATAGATAAGAAACCTAGATAGCCTATAAAGGAGATCTTAGACCTAATAAAAGCCTTTAAAGATATAAAGATTAACCTTACTTATTAGTAAAAGTAAATATTAAACTAGCTTAATAAGGAATAAAAACATTAGTAGTAAAAGCTACTCTTTAAGTTATAAATAAAGAGGTAGTATAAATATTATTAGATTTTACTACCTATCTAATTAATATATATAGTTTTAGGTTAATACTTTTAACTAGCCTAAGAGATACTTTTATTATAGTAAAGAAGGATACTACCTTAATAAGTATAAGGTATACTCTTAGGACTATAAGATTAGATTTATAATATATAAAGTAGTAAATAAAACTCTTTACTTTAAAAGAAAAAATAATAAAAGCGTAATTCCCTTAGTACTTACTAATAGGTTTTCTTAAATAGGTATATATTTTTAAAGGCTATTATATACTAAGTAGATATATAGCTAGACTTCTTTATATTACTACTTATAAAATAAGTTAAAGCTATAGTTATACTATCTTACTTAAATTAAGCTATTAATAAAAGAGAATCTAGTTTTAGACTAGTTCTAGAGATATAAAAGCCTATATAAGTAAAAAAGAATTTAAAACTAAGCGATATAAGAAAAGAAGTAAGAAGGATATTAGTTATTATAATTATAAATAATATATAATAAATGATATATATAATTAGATAATTTATATAACTATAATAGGGATTAAAAACTATAAGGGAAATAATAAAGAGTTAAAGAGGATATAAAGGAAATTAAGATTATAAGAATAGTAAAAACTAGCTTAAAGATTATCTATATACTATAGATATAAAGTAGATCTAAATAAGAGTTTAATAGACTTATAGAAAAAATTATTAGAAATTATATATAAAGAATCTTAATCTATTTAAATTACCTAATTAACTTTATTCCTTAACTAAGCGAGACTTAGTATAAGATATATAGATATAGCCTAAGGTATAAAAGCACTAAATTCTAAACCTTAAAGAAAGTAAAGAGTAATATAAGACCTTATAAAGCTATAATAATAGTTATAAAAGTAGTTAAAGATAATATAAAATAGTTTACTCCTCCTTAAATATCTATAAGGAAAACTCATGGTAGCTTTAATATAAGTTAAAAATAGGATAAAGAATACTAGGTTAAACTAATTAAGCTTACTTACCTTACTTATAAAGAATTAAATTATAAGTACCTTAAAGTTTAATAAGTATTAAAGGAAGTTAGGTTTATAACTAATATAATTAGCGTAATATAACTAGCTTAAGGACTATTTAATTAATAAACTCTAGAGGTAATAAGATTAAAGAAAGATAAATTTATTATATAAGTAGTAGTACTTAATAAGATACTAAGAGATAACTTTAAAGGACCTTATAACGATTCCTATAATATATATAAATATAGTCCTTATACCTTTCCGCCGCTTAGTATATATAAGACCTACCCTATATTTAAGTATAGCTTAGTAGCTAGAAAGCTAAAGTTCTAAGCGCCTTAATTAATACTAAGTTTAAAAGAAACCTTATTATTAAAAGATATATAAATATATAAGGAAAAACTTCTCATGAAACTAATATACACCTATAGTAGGTATATATCGCGACTAAAATACTAACTAATACTAGGAATTAATTTAGTAGTATTAATTACCCTTAGTAACGATACGCCGAGGCCGAGGGGTAGGTAGACGTAGTAGCGGCCCTCGACGTACCGGGCTCGATTAGAGCGCGTAGCGCGAAGAGACGCTACCTAAATTTATATACCCCGATAAAGCGAGTTAATAAACCTAAAGCAGCGATGCGATACCGGCCTAGGCGCCGAGCGACCCTATAGAAAAAGTAGTATACGATAAACTCGCAGGCTTTATCCTAAGCGTATAGTTTAGTAGGGTATGGTAGTAGTTAAACGGCTCTCTAGGCGAAGAGCCGCGCCGGTAACGCGTTATCGGCGGTGCTCGCGTAGACAGAGCTTTAAGACGATAATCCGGGATATAATTAAGGAGGTAGTTGGAAGAACTCCGCCTAGGTATCGCTTTAGCTAGGGGCCTTAGCGAACCTAGGCGCGGTCGTAAGCCGAGACTAAGGGACTAACCTAATAATAAAGCTACGGTAAAATGGGTCCTACTATACTAAACGTAAGATTATCGTAGTCCCTACTAGGGCACCGCCGAAATCCTAAGCCGCGAACCGAAGGATATAGTAAAGGCGGTAAATACCCTAAAAGCTATAAGCGCTATAGCGTGAGCGCCTCTAAAGTAGAGATATCGCGGTTATATTTAATACCGCGGTAAGAGCTATTAAAGGGACTAAGGCTAGGTTAAGGCCGTGTTCGGACTAAAGGCTACGATCTCCCGCCGCGCGTATATAGTAGTTATAAAGAACGTCCTCTTAAGGGTAGCGATAGTAGATAGGGAGCGATTGCTCTATAAGATTATAGAGGCGAATAAAGTTAAGGTCCTCTAGGCCTAGGCGCTACGCCCCCGATCTAAGATATTAACGGCGATAACTATACTTATTAAGGTTAATAGCACAGGAGGCTAATAAGCTCTACGACCTAAGCCTAGTCCTCGAAGTATAGATCTTTTAATATAAACCCTATAATAAGTCGGTCTAATTATAAAAGGTACTATAACTACTATAGATATAGCTATATCGCTAGGCGATATATATCGATATAACTTTATAGCCGATATAAGAGTATAGTATATAATAAAGGCAAGGATAAATATAGGGCTAAGAAGGGCGAAATCCCTTATAACTATATCTTATATTAAGGGGACTACTTATTATAGACCTAGACCTACCTTATAGAATAAAGCTTAGGAAAGGCAAAACTACGTTAACCTAATAGTTTATAAATACTTAGACGTACGCCGAGTAGGTGCTCCCTACCGTCGAAACCTAGGGCGTTCCTAAATCGACTATAGTGAAGCGGGACTAGGTAGACCGCGCTAAGATGAAGGTCGAGCTCGAGACACCCGCCGGCTAGTAGGGCTAGGGAGGCTAAACTAAGTATAAATAATATTTATAGGTATAGTAGATAGAAAAGCGCTAAGAGATAGAGCGCCTCCCTCCCTATATAGACGACCCCTTTTACCCCGACCCTACCTATATATAACTAAAAGTACTATTCTAGAATATATAGAAGAGATATAAGCTAGCTTAATTAGCGCTTTACTACTAGGCTAGCTTCGACCTAATAGTATTATAGGAAGTAGAAGCTATACTGGAGTATTTTATGAGCAGCGCCCTGGCTTAGTTTATAGGGAGGGAGGTGCGCTATATATATAAAAAGGCTTAGGCCGGGGACTTAGTCGCCCTAGTCTAGACTAGATTAAAGCGTAGTAATTTTTAAGGATAGTACTAAACTATAAGCGATTTACTTACTACTAAGGGCGTAGGAGTGGAGGCGCTATACGACCTAAAGCAATCGAACTAAAGTACCCTATAGTAATAGTAAGGGACTTTAATATTTATTACCCGCTCTAGGATAGATATAATAAAACCTTAGATAGCGCGATATAACTTATATAGGAGGCGATAAAGCTATAACTTAACTCGCTACCACTAGAGGTATATAAGATTCTTACATAGCTAAAGGATAGTACTATCGACCTAGCTTAGGTAACGTTAGAGACTAGAATATAGTATACCGGGCCTAACTTAGACCTAACTAGGTTAGACTATATCCTTAAACTATTATACTATAGGTCGATACAGGCCTAGCACCTAAACCGGCCTTAAGGTAGAAAGTAAAAGTAAAGCTAGTGAAGCTAAGACTATATCCGGCTAAGACTATACTAGCTAATGCTAAACGCTAAGGATATCGATAAGGACCTAGACTATATCTTTACTACTTTGGTATAGATCGCGATAGCTATAGTTCCACGCCGGGGCAGTATTACCTAGGGGCAACGTATAGTTACCACTAGAGGTAAGGAGGGCGACGAGGGGCTAAGAAGGTAAGGAGGAAGTATAGGTAGGAAAGAATAAGGCGAACTAAGAAGACCTATATAGGCACATAGCTTAGAAGTAGACTATCTATAAAGCGAGGAGGGCCTACTAGCGCGAGTTCTTAAAGGAATTTAGCGCCGATAATACTAAGCTCTAGAATATAAAGAGGTAAGTAAGACTCTATAGTAGCTATTACTAGAACTAACTTATATCCTACCGTTAGTTAAGGAAGGCGAGGACTAACTAATAGAAACCTTTAAAGGGAAGGAGCAGCTACTAGCTACTAAGTTCTTCTTACTAGAAGCTAGTACGATCTAGGGCTACCAGCCTATATGAGCGACCCTTATAGTTAACTAATAGATCTAGCTAGCTAACGTTATAAGGGCGCTAAGTAAGATAGTAAGCTAGAAAGCGGCGGATCTA